AATACCCTCAGAGGGTCCTGGCAAGGTCCTCGCTAAGCCGGCCATCCTGCAGTGAAGCCGGCTGCAGTGAAGGCCTGATCCAGCACGGCTATTTTTGTGCAAATAAGATAGCACTAGGCAAATTAGCCAAAATCTTGGGGTTTGGTTCAGAATTGCTCATGGCCCCTCATCAAATGGCGTGTAGACTCACCCCGAAGACACTTGCTAGTCCAATGTTTCCCTAGGGAATGTCCTTGCAACAGCCACTGTGTCAAATGGGAACTCACTATGAGAGGGGCAGATGAGAGTCAGAATTCCTGAGAGAGAATCCATCTTGGAGACTGCCTAGAACTTCATAGGAGTTCATCACATAGTTCTTGAATGAATAAATTATCTAAAAACATTTCCTAATTTTTTAAATGATGAGCCTGAAGTTCAGATTGACTCACCTAACTCATACTGGAAATCAGTGACAGAGCCAGACCAAGATCGAATATCACCTCCAGTGTGATCCCCCAGAGTGGCTTTCACCAGAGCCACAGTCACCCACTTAACTTTTCTGGACTGACAGTTTCTCATGTGACTCTTTGTGTGATACATTCTGGGCACAAAGGCCATGTCAGTGTCACAGAAACCTCTTATACTGGTTATAACGAGACTTTATAATGTCAATGGAGTCCCAAGCCATAGTCCATCTCAGAGTTTGTCTGCAAAGATATGGTTGGTGGGAAACCCCCATGCTGACAGAGGGTGGAAGGAAGACAGAAAAAGCAGAGTGAAAGACGTGGGTGCTCACTTTGCTTCTAGCCCCAGATGACACGGTGGTGTCCAGTAGGACAAGCACTCCTAGTGCCCCCTAGAACCTCCACAGAACTCACCCCTAAGCTTTGAAGCTGGGCTCCATACATGGGTCATGAGCACTCCTGGCGGCTCAGGTAGGATGACACAAGACATAACAAAGCCACAGCATTGACAGATGTGTATTTATAGAGCAATGGATTTCTCAAAATATTTTCTGAAAAAGGTAAAAAATTCACTGATACATCATTGGTATACCTTTTAAAGATTTTATTTGTTCATTCATGAGAGACACAGAGAGAGGCAGAGACACAGGTAGAGGGAGAAGCAGGCTCCCTGTGGGGAGTCCGATGCAGGTCTCAATCCCAGGATGCCGGGGTCACGCCCTGAGCTGAAGGCAGTCACTAAACCACTAAGCCATCCAGGTGTCCCCCAACATTGATATTTTTAATTAAAAAGAAAGCCATACATATCACAGAGTATAACTCGTTCAATTAATAAATATTTAGTGAGTAACTACTTTGTGCAAATGTATAGACAGCTCTAGTCCTACCTGGGAGCTTGCAGACAGTGTGGGACATAATAACTGGATCAATGGTAGGAAGGAATGCTGGCTAAAAAGAGAACCGTGAGGGCTAAGGGGACCATCTTATTCAGAGAGGCCCATGAGAAGCCCCTCTGAGAAGGTGGTATTTGAGCCAAGACCAGAATGAAAGGGGGAGCAAATCCATCTGTGAGAAGAGAAACAGAGCAAGTACATTTTTTATTCACTTTAAAGATAAAACATAAATGTCAAGAGATTTTGACTTAGGTGTTGCTTTGGGACCTTTGGTTCTTCTCCCTAACATTTTTGGGATATGTGCTTGCCTTTCCTCACCGTAAAATGCTCTAAAACCCATGTCTTATTTAAGCATTGACACCTTTTCTTAAAAGCCAAATAAATTAACCCTAGCTTATGATAGTCTTCAGAGAAGGTACGTGGGACAGTTAAACTTTAATGGTTAAGGAAGGCTGGTCCTAAATGGCAGGATACATGGGAGCCTCGGGTGCCAGGAATCTCCTCGTTCCCCTGAGTGGGAGCAAGACACCCTAAAGCAGAGTCCTCTCTGGGGAGGTGTGTGCTGTGTATTTGCTTAGAATGCTGCCTACCCACCCCTACCACCCATTTCCAGGACTCCTTGCCCAGTTATTCCAGCCTGTCTTGATGCTTTCTTGCCTGAACTTTCAGATCTGAGAGTTTCAGCATGTAGTGATTCTCCAGGTATTTCATGTACATTTCCTTGGCATTCCCAAAGGCGGGGGAAGTCACCCATACTACTTACACATGTATTTTTTGCTTGTTGTGAAAAAAGAAGGAAGTGTTGATGACCACACAGGAAGAATTCCAATGACAGGCCCAAACCAGGGCAGGGGACAAGGATGGTAAAGGGGAATAGGGAGAGACTGGAAAGCTGCTGGGCACTAGTTTCAGAAAGAGTGGGACGGTAAGTCTTAAGACCCTTGGGGCTCAGATCCGAAATGTGGGACATCTTGATTCCATATGCACAACCATTTTTACCTTTCAGTCCAAGTCAGGAAATGCAAATAGTAGAGCAAATGTTGGTGAGGAGCAGCTTAGGGGAGACTTCATCTCTGGTTAATAGCTTAAAAAAAAATAAATAAATTTGGGCCTGCCAAAGGGAAGAAACCAAAAAAGTCACATTACAGGTGAAGAGGCAGTGTTGTGCAATCTTTGGCTAGTATGGACACAACTGAGACAGAGGGTTTCAGTAAAAGGAGCACGCTTTGTGCTTTTTTTTTTTTTAAAGATAGATTTATTTATTTATTTATTTATTTATTTATTTATGATAGACACACACACAGAGAGAGAGAGAGAGAGAGAGAGAGAGAGAGAGAGAGAGAAGGAGGAGGAGGAGGAGGAGGGAGAAGCAGGCTCCATGCCAGGAGCCGGACATGAGACTTGATCCCAGGACTCCAGGATCGCGCCCTGGGCCAAAGGTAGGTGCCAAACCGCTGAGCTACCCAGGGATCCCCTCAACGTGTGCTACTTAATCACAGGAAGAGAGTGAGTGATGTCCCGCACAAACTCCACATTTTAGTCTTTTACTGCATATAGGATAGTAATATTCAGATACAAAGACCCAGCTCTAAAATCTTCTGATCCTGGGTCTCATATAAATTCAATATTTTAGATATATTTTTTCTTACCTATATTGTAAATTCCTTGAGATTAGGCACTTCTGTAAGTCAATTGGAGAAGGACAATCATCACATGGTTTCATTCATATGGGGAATATAAAAAGTAGTGAAAGGGAATAAAGGGGAAAGGAGAGAAAATGAGTGGGAAATATCAGTGAGCATGACAGAACATGAGAAACCCCTAACTCTGGGAAAAGAACAAGGGGTGGTGGAAGGGGAGGAGGGCGGGGGGGCGGGGGTGACTGGGTGATGGGCACTGAGGAGGGCACTTGATGGAATGAGCACTGGGTGTTATGCTATATGTTGGCAAATCGAACTCCAATAAAAAAATATACCAAAAAATAAAGAGATTGGGCACTTCTTTTTTATTGGGTGTGTAGCAAAAGATTGGAGATGACCATTCCTCATTCTTAAAATGTCATTATAGGCTGAGGGGTCTTTGATCTTTTCTCTAAGGGAGGTGAAAAGGAGGGAAAATGGCTTAACTTTCTTAAAATCATGTTTTTTTTTCATGTTGAATGTAGATGATAAAATACACCAAAACAAGTCAGACAATCATGAGCACAAGTTTAATAAGATAGTCTTTTTTTTAAAAAAAAAAACCATTTTGGCGGTCATTATCTTCTTCTGCTTGTATTTATTACAAAGCTCCAGGCTTCCCCATTGCAATTTCATGCTTCCTGGAATATGTAATATTTCTTCCCCATCAGCTGACACAAGCATTACATGAGCTACAGAAAAGTGACTTCCTGAGAAGCTGTGTATCCAAGGTATAAGAGCTGGAGTGGGTGACTCTATTGCTGTAGCTTGAGGAGCGATGCGTTCCCTCTGTCTCCTCAGAGGAGTAGCCACTCATCTTGACCAAAGAGCTCTGGAGAAGTTTCTTGGCATCTTCTCAGCTGCCTCCATATCTAGATGACATGTTCATCAGCTACACTCTGGATTTGTATGACTCAGATTCCACAAGGCCAGTTATAGTGGCAGAGTTTCACCTTGGCCTGCCTCCCAGTCCCTAGTAGAGTAGAAAGTGTAGACCAGTAGTCCAAAAATGGGCATACTCATCAGAATCCCATGGGAGGCTGAATCACAATCTCTGGGGTTGCAGCCTAGAAATCTGGATTTTAATAAACTCCATAGCTTATTCTCATGGGGTCAAAGAGACAGTTCCCGCATCAGGATTGGGACTATTGGTGTATACTATGCAATATCCAAAACAGGTCTTAGTCGTCACAACATTTGAAAAAAAACAATCCAGACCCAAGGTGTCATCCCATAAATAATAGACCGAATATAAAGTTATATTTAGAAATAGGGGGGAGTAGATCTTTTTGGCCAATAATTTCCAGCAATCTGTTTCAAGGCATCGTCTGCATTTTGAATGGTGTTTTTTGTCTATGCAAGTCATGATGCGCTGAACTGCTGGCAGCTCTCATAAACGTCCTGCCCACAAAAATTCCTTACATATTCCATGGTAAATGAAGATTCCTGGTCTGGATTTTTTTTAATCCTAATGTTAACCTATTATTGTCATATCCAGAGATTGGAGATGGAAATAGCTGTGCTCAGAGTCATTTTGAAGAGGCAAGATCTACCAAAAAATTATTTTCCTTGGGAAAGTCTTCAAAACTGATTTAAATTCTTGCCTATGGTTACTTTTAATGTACCCCTGGGACCAGGACCCACTTAAGAACCTTTTTTTTTTTTAAATTGTCACAGCACCTACCCCAGTGACTCTAAAAAAGAATTGTATTTTAATGATAATAACTGTTATTAAACTAAGATTATGGTAATATTTCTATGAAAGAAAAACAGAACAATTAAGAAAACATAGGGAAATAGGTTGAGAGGCAGCCTCATCAGATTCGACAAATCCTTTTTGTGTGGGATAGAAACATTGTAAATTGATTTTTTTTGTCTCTTTATATTCAGACTACTTGATACATTTGATCCTGATTTTTCAAATTTCTTTCTTTCTTTTTTTTTTTTTTTTTAAAGATTTTATTTATTCATGAGAGACACTGAAAGAGAGGCAGAGACACAGGCAGAGGGAGAAGCAGGCTCCATGCAGGGAACCTGATGTGGGACTTGATCCTGGGTCTCCAGGATCACATCCTGGGCTGAACCGCTGAGCCACCTGGGCTGCCCTCAAATTTATTTTTTATTGATCCCATGATCCAGACGTTTTCAAAAGATGGTGCTGTTGAAATACTAGTACTGAGGGTGTTCTTCAAACACTGGAAAAATTCGAAAGCAACATAAGTTCTAAACAGAAATAACTTGACCTGGAATGTTTTCTTTCATTTATTCAAAAGTGTTATTTACAATATTCCAGATGTTTGATGGGTCCTGGATATTATCCATCCTTTAACAGGAACCGGATGAGTCTTTGCTGCAGTTGCTGAAGTTCAGGCAAGGTAATCAGGTATTACAAATGCTTTTCCTCAGGAAAGACCTTAGAAGCTGACCAAGTGCCAGGTGTGGAGTGTGAATCCCCCCACTGCTGTGCGGGACCGCTCCGGTCCCATGGATGATCAAACCTTGGAGCGCCCGGCAGCACGGACAAGGCTGAGCTGAAATGACTTCTTTGGAAAATATCCTGGGAACTGGTTTTGCTGATGACTAATGACAAACACAATCTAAACCGTGGTTGAGGAGTTAGCTTCTTGAGACCACTTGCTCTGGATACTCTGAGATGGTAGAAACCTTGGGCTTTATGCTCAGGAAAATAACAAAGATAACACGACTTGCTACCAAATTCCTAGGTTTTGTTCTGGAGGATTTTTGTTTTTAAAGATTTATTTATTTACGATAGAGGAGGGAGAGAGAGAGAGAGAGAGAGAGAGAGAGAGAGAGAGAGAGAGACAGGCAGAGGGAGAAGCAGGCTCCATGCCAGGAGCCCAATGGGGAACTCGATCCTGGGACTCCAGGATCACGCCCTGGGCCAAAGGCAGACGCTAAACCGCTGAGTCACCCAGGGATCCCCTGTTCTGGAGGATTTCAAGTGTAGAGTCACGTGAGCTGCCTCCCCCCACCCCAAAGCTCGTCCAGCACATGAGTCCCTACTTAGAGGGGGGCGGGGCGGGGAACACATCCTCCGCTCCTCCCGAGGATCTGAGATCAACTGAAGTTCTGCTGGAGTCTTTTTTCCTGTTTCCAACATTTATTGAAAATATATTCTATGCTAGGACTGTGCTGGGTGCTTTTGCATGGAATACATGGTAACTGACAATTATTATCTCCCTTTTAAAGATGAGAAAATTCAGATAACAGAGTTTAGGTAATAAAGTCAAGATCACATGCCCTTTAAGGGTTCCACTCCTTCTGCTCCCGCTCCACGTGTCCTGCCGCTCCCCGAATTCTCCCGCTCTCCAAGCTCCCGCTCCCCAAGTCCTCCCGCTCTCCATGTCCTCCCACTCCCCGTGTCCTCCTGCTCTGTGCTCCCGCTCCCTGTATCCTCCCTCTCCGTGTCCCCCTGCTCGAGTCCTCTCACTCCTGCTCCCCGTATCCTCCGTGTCCTCCTGCTCTCTAGTCCTCCCACTCCCCGAGTCCTCTCGCTCCCGTGTGCTCCTGCTCTCGATGTTCCCACTCCCCGAGTCCTCCCGCTCTCCATGTCTTCATGCTCCGAGTCCTCCTGCTCCCTGTTCTCCTTCTCTCCAGTCCTCCCACTCTCCATGTTCCCACTCCCGTGTCCTCCCACTCCTCCCACTCCCGTGTCCTCTCGCTCCCCTTGTACTCCTGTTCTCTGTCCCCCACAGCGCACGGCTCAGATGGCCTCTGGTCCGAGTACTCGGGGCAGAGGGACTCGGTGAGTAAGAAGCGTGCAGAGGGATGCCACAGAGACTCTCCTGGCCTGAGAGATGGTGAGGGTGGAGTCTGGGTCTCAGCCGCTGCCCCCAGTCCCTGGAAGGCTGTCCCGGGCTCCAGGGTGATGTGTTGGATGCTCCCAGCTGGAGGCAAGGTGTCTTGATGCTCAGAGATGGCCAGCTCCCCCTAAATGTCTCTCCTAACTCACCCAAGCCAGCCTTCAGGTCCAGGGAGGTGGCCAAGAAGGGACAGCCGTGCACTGTACAGCAGAGACCCAGGGAGCCAGAAGGATGAGGAAGCCAAGACCCAAAGACAGGCAGATGTCAGTCCCGCACTGAGAGGCAGAAGCACGGCAGCCCTGAGAGCTGTGCGAGGCACTGGGGGGGGGGGGGCGCGTGTCTGGCTGGAGGGGCTGACCCGCGGACACCAGTGTGTGCAAACCTCCAAGCAGCCGCAGTGCAGGCGTGACACGGAGGTGAGCATGGACTTTGACTGCCATGCGGCACCAGTCCTGGCTCAGCCTTGTAGAGGAGTTGCCGCCTGGAGCTAAGACCCTTCTGGTCCAGCCTACCCCGATTCCAGCAATTCCATCCTTCTGGGCCTTGCAGATGCTCCAAGTAGGGTCCTCACAGAGGCAGAGGAACAGGACAGGAAAGGAGGGGGAAAAAAACACACACGCAGTTGCATTTTTATATATAGAATTTGTACAATATATTTCTCTTCATTTGTATATTTTACCCACAACTTAACATCTTTTTTACAGGCTGAACGTGCTCAGCTTGATATAATCAAAATTCTTTCTTTCAAACAAATAAGAAAAATTCAAAATCGTAAACCCGTAAGAAAACAAATTAAAAACGATGATGAAAATAAGTCACCCCTCCCACTGGGAGCAGTGTCCATGTTACAATATACAGGATTGGGGTCAGAATCGCTTTATCAGGCACATGTTTCCACGACACCGCTGTCTCCTACCTGGCGGCTTGGTCTTGACCAGTCTTGGCGTCCACTGCTCTAGACACTGTGGGCCCGTGGATGCAGGGAGCAGAGGTGGGGGCGGGGTGCAGGGTAGAGTGGCAGCTGAGCAAAGCGGAAGCTGGGGGGCTCTGAGCAAAGTGGGGCCAGAGTGGCCAGAAGGACAGGGGTGAGAGCAGAGAGCAGCTGCGCGGAGGCCGGCCTCTCTATAATTCAGCCTCCTGACGGGAAGACAGCCGGCAAAGGCGGTAGTGACGCCCTGAGAGCTGTGACCCTGCCGCCCACCTGTCCTGGCTCGGTCAGCCAGCCTGGTCATGAGCGCGGATGGCAGGAGGCCAGTTGGGGAATGTACTGTCTCGTCTCCCAGGCCCCCTGTGTGGGAGCCGGGGCCCCCAGAGAACATGGGGCTTCCCCAGGGGTACAGCAGGGTGAAAGCACCCAACACCATGGGCCCAGGCCTCGGGCCTCTGCACAGTGTTTCAGGGCCTGCCCTCTGCTCCTCCCCTGGGCCCCTCACAGGACAGGTGGGCTGGGAGCCAAACTCCAGGGCTAGGGGGCCGCCCCTCAGACTCCTGACCCAGAAAGCACTTCCGCAGGGAAGCCTTCCCACCCAGACCCTGCAAAGGGAGTTTTGGAGGCCACGGTGGTGCTAACCTGCTCAGCGTGGCCCTGGCTACAAGAGGCCTTCCCTGGGCCCAGACGCCATCCTGCACTGGCTGCTGGCTCAGGTGCTATCCACGCCAAGTGCCACTAAGGCGTGGCCATGGCCCCTCTCGCTCCCCGAAACACGGCTTTGGAAAGAGAGTCATCATTCTGCGATCATTAGGAGAACAGGAAACAGCATTCACTAGAACTAATGCAGTTACTGCCTCGTCACAGCCAAACAAGCAAGCGCTCCCAGAGGCAATGCGGTGTGTGACTATGACCATGGAGAAGAAATAAAATCATATATTTTTTTTGTGTTGTTTTTTTTTTTTCACTTCTAAAATAAGTTCTCATCGGATAACACTTCAAGTCTTTACGTATAGAAGCTTTCACATGAACAGTGTGTCCTCTGAATGACCAATCCTTTGGGCGCCCCTTGAGGCCTCGCAAGGCAGTCGAACAGTTGTTCTAAAAACATCAGGTGGAAATTGAAATATGTTAAAACAGCTAAATGCAGGCATGCTGGGAGCCGGTGTGTGAGCAATGCACGTGGGCGGCCTGCTGGCATGTCCACAGGTTCTTGATCTCACCGAGGACATTGCGCAACAGCCAGGTGCATACTTGGGGACCAGGGGGAGGCCAGGACAAGCTCGCAGCAGCTTTGGTCTGGACACCCAGTCTCAAGAAAGCGCAGAAGAGCTCCCAGGCCAAGCAGGGGCCGCTGGGGTCCTGGTGAGAAGGCAGCTCTGGGCAGACTGTGCAGACGTGAGGGCAGGGCCAGCAGCTCCAGCTCATGGACATACAACCCCATCCACACAGGCTTCTTTCAGATCCTTCTGGGCTGTGGCTTCCACTGGAACCGACCCTGGCGAAGGTAGGTCTCCTTTCTCAAGGGCTCTGTCTGGCTGGCCGTCCTCACGCACTGTGCCGTCTGCAGGAGGCTAGATGGTGATGCGGTGCATTCTTGGAGGTGGAGTGCAAGTGGGAACGAGGGGAAGCCGGGCACGGACGTCACAGCCTCTTCCTGAAGGAGTTCAGATGTCTGCTCTCAAGTCCTGGGGCTGAGCAGCTAGTTGCATGTGTGCCATTCCAGGGCTAACACTCAACGTTCCAGAGGCGGGTCGCCTTGTTTGGGTAGTTGATGGCCAGGCTGATAGCAGCGACGTTCTGCAGGGCCTGTGGAGGGACAAAGGGTCACTGCCAACGTCAAGAACCACGTGTCTACTCACTCATGAGGTGTGGCCTGGACAGGACCCTCAGCAGAGCACTCATGTCTAGGGAGCAAGGCAAACACGAGCCCCAAGTGGTTCCCCTCACCCAGAGCAGCAGCCCAGAGACAGAGACAAATTCTCTCTCTGTGAACATAGGGTGGAAATATTATCACTGCTCCGAGGAGGGAGGGCAACGCTGGGGCCTCAGTGGGCCTGGAGGACCAGCCCAGCATGGCAGGAGCAGAGGGCGGCAGGGAGACAGGCAGAGCACGTCCAGCACCACGGACAGGCTGGGGGTCAGAGTGAGGGCCGGAGGCCGGCCAGGGGCCAGATGGGTGGGAGGGGCCCACAGGCTCGTGTGGCACAGGCTCCCCGTGCCATATGGTTGAACCTCAAACTCTGGCTGCGCATCCTGAGCCCTGAAACGAGGGGTCGGGGGCACTGTGGGGAGGAGAGAGACCTTCCTCTGCCCACAGGGCTCAGGACCTCCTAGTTGATGCGGATTCCTGCTTCCAAGCAGGCACCCAGAGCCTCCCCCCGGGCCGAATGGGCCTGCTCCCGCGTGACCCTGGGCAAACTCCTGTTGGAGCCTCAGTGTCCCCACAGGTGCCCAGGAGAGTGGGACCACAAGCTCTCTGACAGTCAAGGGGTGTCTATGTGGTGGCAACCGTCACAGCGATGCTGAGACCTGATTCTGCCCTTGCCACCTGCAGGCTCTCAAGCATGTGGGGACATTCCCAGAGGCCTGTGCGTGCCGGGACAATGGCAAGGCGCCAGTTGGAGGCCTTCTGCCAGGACGGATGGAATGACCACTACCCTCCTCAGGAACGATTTTATTTTGAAAAATATAGCTGTTTCTCACAGAATGTTACTATTAACATGGAATGAGTACACTATTTCTTACAATGAACTAACGAATGTTTCAGTTTTAATTTCTAAACTTAAAGTCTAGTTTAACGTCTAGCGGCATATGATCAATACATAAAACACACATAAGCAAAAGCTTTTTAGGATGCTCAGTAACTCAGCAGAGTGGGACCAGACAGTCGGGAGTTTTCCTACCAGGGGAACCTGACCCCGAACCCTGAGGGAACCTCAGCACGCTGTTAATTTAAGGCACTGGTTGTTTCGGTTTCAAAGACACCAATCCTTGCTAGCATCCTCCAAGCCACGACCTCACATGAACAATGCTGATAAATGGGCCAAGTGCTCTCGGACACCAGGAGGCAACCGGGTGGGGACAGAGCCCCATGCAGACCCCGGGGGACGTGGTGATGGGGTGGCCAGCTCTGGCGGAGAGACAGTACCTGTGCCGCGCAGCGGAGAAGGTGGTCGTCCGTGGTCAAGGCCAGCAGATACTCCTGCAGCAAGCCGAGCTCCTGGGGAGGGGCACAGGGGCAGAGGCAGCGAGCAGCACCCAGCGGACACCAACCCAAAAGCACACAGTCTCGCCCGGTGATGCCAGGCACCTCACTCGAGGGCTGTAGAAGGGGCTGGACCAGGAGGAGCCGGAGGCCTGGTTCTGGGGACTCTGCCCTGACTCACGCACGGGGGGACCAGGCAGGGGCTCCTTCCTCATGTGGACACTGGGGGGTAAGCCAGAGAACTCTGAAAGGCCTCTCGTGTCTCACATTTAGTGAGCCGCCTATGATCGGGGAGGGAGAACCAGGAGAGCCCCTCATTTCATTTTCTAGAACACACTCCTGGTAAGGACTGAGCCAAGGCAGTTCTTCCCCCATGGGATTTAGGCCTGACCAAGCAGGCAGCGTTCCTGGGGGTCGGGCAGAGCAGGGATCTGTGGCTACAGGCCACACCTGCCCAGCCGGGTGGTGGAGGTAGCACCGGCGGAACCCTCACCTGGGCGCGGTTCTCGGTGACGAAGAAGAGCTCAGTGAGGGCACGGTGCAGGGGGAGGAGGATGCCAGGTGAGGTCACGTCCTCGAACAGGCTGTACTCCATGTGGGTGAAGAGCTGCCACAGGGGCTTTAGCAGCGCAAGGTCACAGAGGTCGCTGTGGGGAGCGGGGCCAGACGTGAGACAGACGCCAGGGATGGGCTCCCCCCACATCTAGTAAAGTCATGACCTTCCCCCAAAATGGCTAAAAATATTTACTAGCAGCAGAGAGGAAAGGAGCAGAACCCCCACGGGGGCTCCAGGAAGCAGGGACCCTGCAGCAGGCACAGAAACCATCTCAACGGTTGCTGTGAAGAGCTTCCACTGATGGTGGGAAAATCCTGAGAATAATGGTAACAGGGAAAAAAGCAACACATAAAACTATACATACAAAATAACACTAAAAAATGAAAACCCAGCTGTACACACAGTGCTGTGACCGTGATAAACGCAATCCACCCAACACATTCTCCGCGCTTATCCCAGTCGATTTCCTAGACTTTCTGCAATGCTCACTGCTTCAACAATCAGACCACAAGACATTCACATGGCAGTGACAACCGTTATCACAATCTTAGGCTCACAAACTCAAGAAATGTGCTGAAGAGGTTGCCTGGGCCAGAGCCCTTCACCATTCCCTGGGTCTCTGCTGAGACTCGCTGACACGTTCGGCTCAGAACGTGCTTTTAATTCCACTTCAACACCCTTCAGAGAAGAAAAGTTACGACGCAAATAATACCCTGGGCCTCGCTACACGACTTTATGCATGTATCACCTTAAATTTTGCCTTTTCTGTGGTGTGTGACCTTTTGTACACCTACTCTCAGAGCCAATCCCTTCCTCCTGGAGAAGCCAGTCTTCCTAAAGCAGAGCAATGGGAAAACCTGGCCTGATGCAAAGGGACAGCTCAACAGCTGTAGGAAAGTGCTCAGGGAGCAAGGCCGATGCAACTGTGCAGCCCACCCCACTTCCATCCGTCCGTCTGTCCATCCGTCTATCCGCCCACCCCAGGGGCTGAGGAAGGTCTGCATGTAGCAGGAGTGCACCTACAATGCAGCCAGGAAGGGCCCAGCGCCTGATGACAGTTTCCAATCCATCACTCAACCAGACAGTTCTCACTGCAGGACATGGCAGCACCAACAGCCACCCCGCTGGCTCTCTCCTTCCCCCTGCCAGCCTGCACACACACAGACGGCGCCTCCTGACTTGCTTATGGCCCCATCCTATCCCTGAAGACGACCTGTTACTCAGACATCATCACTCCACTGACTGGCACCCTGTGTCTGTGTGCCTTAAAAATGCTGGGGGGAGAGTGCCTGGGGGGCCCAGTCATTTAAGCATCTGACTCTTGATTTCAGCTCAGTTCATGATCTTGAGGTCGTGAGGTCAAGCCCCCCCCCACATTGGACTCTGTGCTGGGCGTCTGCTTAACACTCTCTCTCCTCTGCCCCCCACCCCACCCCACCGCCAGCTCACATTCTCTATTAAGAAAAGAAATGCTAGAGAGAAAGACTGACCCCTGACAGGCCAGGGTGCGAGTGTGGACAACGCATGTGGCACAGCTGCCAACACCGCTGTCTGCAATGAAGAACAATGTCTTTAATCCCCACATCTATTCAACACTCTATGGGAGACCCTGGCTCATGCAAACAGGCCAAAAAAAAAAAAAAAAAAGGTTTCCAAGGACCAAGAGGAAAACCTAAAACCCATTATGATTTGTGGGGCTTGAGACAACAGGATTGTGCTCTGAACATTCTATACAAAACCTCTTAGAGTCAATAAACAGAGCATGGTCATTGCACACAAAGGAAATACACAAAACTTAATTATATACGAGCAAAAACAAAAAGAAGAATTCTAAAAAAAAAAAAAAAGAATCCTAAAACATTAACTGCAATGGCATCAAAACCATTAACTACCTAGAAATAACTCTCACGGAATGTTGTGTGGGCCTCTCCACAGAAACCTGTGGAACATCATCAGACCTGAGCAGTGGAGGCCTGCAGAGGAGCTGACACATAATGGCGGTGGAGCAGGGGACTCAGTCTTCTCAAGGATCAAACAAAATCCCATCAGGTGAAGAGTTGTGTGTATACGTATGTCATGCACAGACAACAACACGTGCATTAGGAACAATACAAAGTCCCAGAGGCTCTAACCAGAGCAATCGAGCCAGAAAGAGAAACAAAAGGTATCTATATCTACATTGGAAAGAAGATGTGCAACTGTCTGTTTGCAGACGACATTCTACACAGAAAACACCAAAGATGCCACAGAAACACTGTTAAAACTACTAAACTCAGTAAAGTTACAGGACACAAAATCAATACAGAACATCAGTTGCGTTTCTATACACTAACGAGCCATCAGAAAGAGAAAGCAAGGAAACAAACCAATTTACAGTAAGATAAAAAAGAATAAAATACTTAGAAATAAATTTTAACACAGGAAGTAAACAATCTGTACAACGAACACTGTAAACATTGATGAAAGAAACTGAAGACACAAATAAGTGTAGGGAACAATTTGTGTTCCAGGACCCCAGGAATACTGTTAAAATGTTCATGCTGCCCAAAGCAATGTACAGATTCCATGCAGCCCCTATCAAAATCTCAATGGCATTTCCACAAAAATAGGAAAAACAATCCTAAATTCATATCAAACTACAGAAGACCTTGAATAAACAAATCAGTATTGAAAAAGAACGAAGCTGGAGGCATTGCACTTACCGATCTTAAACTATAATACAGAGCAATAGTAATCAGAATAGGATGGTATTGGAATAAAAACAGGCATAAAGACTGATGTACAGGACAGAGAGCTAAGAAATAACCCAAACATATACAATTAATATTTGACTAAAGTGCCAAAAATGTGCAATGAGGAAAGGACAGTCTCGTCAACAAATGTGTTGGAAACATGGGACGGCCACATGCACAAGCACGAGGCTGGCCCCGTCTCTTACACCACACACAAAACCAACTCAAAGCAGACTAAAGAGTTGAATGTGAGAACTCCAGCTGTACAACACCTACAAGAAAACATAAGGAGTAAGCTCCTTGATGTTTGTCTTGGCAATGATTTTCCGAATTTGACACCGAAAGCAGTAATAAAAAAGTGGGACCATATCAAACAAAAAAGCTGCCCAGCAAAGGAGACCAGCGACACATGAAAAGGCAGCCTATGGAATGGAGGAGCTACATAAACCACAAACCAGGCGAGGGGTTAATATCCAAAATATACAAGGAATTTGTACAACTCAATTTCAAAAGAACCCAAATAACCTAATTGAAAAATGGCCACACAGGACCTAAGCAGACATCTTGTCACAGAAGACATGTAGATGACCAACAGACTCATGGAAAGACAGATGCTGTACATGTCTCATCATCAAGGATATGCAAATCAAAACCCCGAGATCTCGCTGTGCCGATGGGAGCACAAGTAACTCTCCTTCCGTGGGTATGTACATGCACCACATTTGTGTTCTCCACTCTTGCACCGATGGGCACTCCGTTTGTTTCCACACATCGGCTACTGTGAACATCTGAGTGTAGGAGACCCTGCCATTTGTGATACCGATGGACCATGAGGGCATTGTGCTCAGTGGAATAAACCAGAGAAAGACAAACCCTGTGACCTCACATATATGTGGAAACCAGAACCAACCAGATAAACAAACTCGTAGACATGGGAGGTTGGTAGGGGCTGGGGGCGAGGAGAAGAGGAGGGGCTGGGGTGAGGAACAGATGGGGAGGGGCAGGGATGTGAAAGAAAAAGCAATTAAGCTTCAAGAACTCAGGAAATATCTTCATGACCCCAAGATGGAAAACGGCAAAAATTTCCTAAACACAACACAACAAAAGCACTACAATGTAAGAGAAAAGACTGATGAACTGCAAGATATTAAAATTAGAAATGTCTTTTCATCAGACTCCACTGAGAGAGAAACGCAAGTCCCAGTGTGGGAGGAGGGGCTTACAGTGCAAACTCCCTGAAAACGACCCATGCACATCGGCTCACCTGTGGGTGCAGCATTGCACAATCCTCAGAAGCAGGTGGATGGCTTTCAATCGTTGATGACCAGTCTGGCGACAAGCCACCCCCACCAGCCACTCCCAAATTTTGGCCAGTGGGAGGTGTGGCACAACTCTTTCTTCTGACAACATCTGCTTCAAAATCTCGAAGCCTGGCCCACACCCACAAAACACAGTTATTTTTAAAATATTAGCTGCTTAAGTTTTAATAAATATAAAAATATAATAAAACAACCATGATCATTTAAATTTTGCCTAAAATTATGCCTTTCATAAAAGCAACACAGGAACACCATTTTCAGTTTTCCCTTTTTGCAAAATGCCCTGCAAATTCTTTTCTTTTTTTTTTTTTTAAAGATTTTATTTATTTATTCATGATAGACACACAGAGAGAAAGAGAGAGGCAGAGACACAGGCAGAGGGAGAAGCAGGCTCCATGCCAGAAGCCCGACGTGGGACTTGATCCCGGGACTCCAGGATTGTGCCCTGGGCCAAAGGCAGGCGGCTAAACCACCGAGCCACCCAGGGATCCCTGTGCCCTGCAAATTCTAAGAGAAAAAGCGTGTCTGTAGGACCCCGGGGAACAGGTGGCTCTTGTATCCATTTATGTTTATGAGTGCAGGACATGAGTGCAAGTCTCGGAGGAAAGCACCTGCTGTGACGCTAAGACCAGGGACACTGCAGCACCTGCACACATGGAGGGTCCCTGGCGCGAAGGCCACACAAAGGAGAGAACAGAGCACACACCTGTCTGGAATCGGCCCAGGTGTCCGGCTGTCACAGTGAACTTGTAACCCCACTCCGTGTTGCTCATGTCAGAGGTGAAGCGGTAGTATAGAGTATCCCCTGGGTCACAAAGAAACAGAAACAGCTCAGGACACTGCAGCAACAGGGAATGCAAGTGACGTGCTCCTGATGAAAAGGGCTGACCCTGTGTGACCCCCCACAACACCCCTCTCCTTGGTACTGATACTAAGAGCCCAGAAGACCGAGTGCTCCTTTACTACCTGGAAGCTCAAAATCCTTCCATTTCTGCTGAGACCCACTGAAAGTGTGTCGATCCTGCTGGAAGTCGCTACTGCTGGACATGGCTAGCTCGTCACAGCCCTCCTCTGTGCTACACTGTGAGTCAAATTTGATCGAGAGGTAGATTGCACCAGGGATGTGGACTTTATCCTGGGGAGGGGACACAAGAACACTGTCAATCCTGATGGCCTGTCTCCGGCCGCATCCTGTAACTGTAAGTGAAGGCGGACGGGGAACGCGCTGGCCATGAGATGGAGGGCAGGGGACCCCGAGGTGCAGCCAGCCAGGTTCCTGGGCCCACACTCAGTCTCCCTGTTGAAGGTGCCAAGAGTTCCCTGCAAGGACACTGCTGCAGGAAAAGTGACCTCCCCCAGGCCCAGAGGCCCTTGTTTCCTATGAAAACAGGGTCGGAAGACCGGGCTGGGGAGGCAGACTGCAGCTCACACTATGGGAGCCCCTTCTCGGCCAGGGCTGCCCGAGGGGAACGGCCACTGTGGACGATGATGAATCCCTGGCGACCCTCACGGTCGGGCCTGCCAGCCACGTGTGCAGGCCATACCTCAAAGCTGGTGTTGTTGTTATATGGGTGCTTTGACTCTCTCACTTGCACCTCCATCCCCGGCTCCTCCATGAACTGGCAGGCGGCCAGGGCCATGGTCCCCAGCATGCTCCCTCGGCAGCCCTGAAGCACCTTCCGCAGGATCTGGGGGACAGGAGGCAGGAAGGAAGAGGTGTCCATTTCAACCCAAGGCCCATCCAGAGGGGCTGGCTTCACCCTGGGCCCTGGCCCCACCTCTGAGCCAGCTCCCTCAGTCGCCCCTTACTGGGGACCAGGACACTCCGTGCCTCCTGGAAACACTCTGTGGGAGCTCTGAGGGAACCAACAGGGCCGCTCAGAGGGGGTCCCGGGTCCGTAAGAGTCCTGAGCCAAGCACGGGGATGCACGGAGAAATAATCACAGTCTAAGTGCACACATGCTGCAGCATGTGGAAGTGGGGACTCCGGGGGAGGCCATGCTGCTCTCCGGCACCTCCAATGAGAGGCGCTGCTGCCAGGACCCCAGGGACTGCGATCTCCGCTCAGGGACTGAGACAACGAGTCTCTGGGTTCTGAGATGGGCAAGTCAGGGAAGACAAGGAACGCTCACTTCCTGAGGAACCTTCCCGTAGGCCATGCTTGAGCCTGTGTGAGACAGGGGGAGGGCGTGTGGCATGTGCAGCTGCCACGACGAGGGGGATGATGGGGTGGCAGTGATGTGATACAGGTTTTCTGTGCTCAGAAGCTGGGAAGGTGCTGACAAAACTTCCCAGCTCAGCTGGAGGTGGTGCCCACGGAGTACCCCGCCCAGACCAGGCCGTATGGTTCCACGTGGCCCCTCTGGGTGTGTTCACCCCAGGAAGCCTCGCTAGCCCTGGGACTGCTCTCAAAGACGACACTGAAGATTTGACGTTAAGAACGAGACCAGAACCAGAGGCCTAGACGCTGAGACCTGGAGTGTGGGGTTAGACTACGGACCACACTTGCCTTCCAGAGGCTGGGGGCCTCCGACAGCTTACAGTACAACAGGTGCAAGTACCCTGGGGCAGACGGCCCTGGTGGCTTCCTGGACCATGGGAATAGGCCCTCAGCCATAACTCACCCCGTGGCCTGGGCTTGGCATGGTATGACAAGAGATGGGCTAGGGAGGGTGCAAAGCCAGGCTCCATGGGACAGTGATGGAAGGTTCTCTCCCCACACCTAGTCTGCATCAGGCCGTGAACTCAGCTCTGGGCCAGGACTTGCAAGAGCCCAGCCATGAGCCCCCTGCCCCCGACCCCGCGTCTGCTGCACCACAGCTGTCACAAAGCCACACGGGTCACCTCCCTCTAGGAGGGTCCTCACCGGGGGACCTGTTCAAGTGTGGGAAGTGGGGGCAGAGGGTGAGCAGAGAGGGCGAGGGCCTAGCCCAGCCTGCTTCACAATCACCTTCTCCCACTGGTGCTTCTCCTCCAGCTGCATGAACATGTCCAAGATGTAGGTCATGTGGGCAGGGCCGCTGAGGTCCAGGGTGTCCTCGCTCACCGGTACATGCCCCGGCCACTCGGCGAGCAAGGATGCCAGCACATGGCGGGCATACAGGACAGCTGTTGCCTCGTTCACACGGAACAGGTACTCCCGGATGGCCCGCTTGCTCTTGCCATTCAGCTCCTTGTGCAGGAGGGCGGTGCTCTTGCTGCGCCGCTGTTTGGCATAGCTATGCTGCAATTCACTCTCGGTGCTGGAGATCAGCTTCTGGGTCACGGGGTTGGATTCGGCCGTGGCCTGGTCACAGCGGGCAGGCCGGGACTGCAAACCCAAAGACCCCCGTTACCATGGCCTGCGCCCTCACCACCAGGCAAGGCAGGGGCAGACACCAAAGGCAGAGGCAACGTACCAAACACGGTAAGATGATCATGTCTGTATCCACGGCTTTGGTGCTCTGTTCCTCCAGTCTCAGGCCCCTACTGGGCTGCCATCTCTGAGCCAGGGTGCGAATCCTCTCATCTGTGGTGAGCTCATCCCCATCAAACCTGGAGAGAAGGGCACAGGGCTGGGTTCATACACACAGGACACCAGGAGTTCAGGCCACAGCAGTCAGAGCTGCTCTCCTGGTATTCTGCAATCACAGCATTGCCCCCACGTTCCGCCATCTAGACTCAGGCACTCACTGCCTCTCACATGCAGACATCCTTATACATCCTGCTGGTAGGAGACATGAACCATCCCTCAGGATCCATGCTCCCTTATCTTGTAAACAAAGTCCCCAGAACTTTTAGCAAGACACACAACCGCCCAGCTGTGACAGGGTCCTCAGCCCCTCTTCAACTATCCAGGGTAATGCCAGTAGGTTCTTGCCACAGGAGGAGCCTATCCTCAAGCAGCTGGGTGGGGGGTGCACCCTTCTACCTCCCCCCCTTCCTCTGGGCTGGAATGCAGGTGGGTATAGGTGAGCCATGTGATGACGCACAGGAGAGCAATACCCCTGGGGCACAGGGCCACTGCACGGGGCACATCCGCCTACCCACCCTGGATGCCACGAGGGGGAAAACCAGTTCTATCTTCCTGGACCCCATATCTGGGGGTTGCTTAGTTACAGCAGCTTAGACTGGACCCTGTCTCATTTTGTAGAGGACTTGAGGCAACATTTAAGAAATACAAGAAAATAGAAATATAAAATAACACAAAAGAAAAACTAAATTGGAATTGAATGTAAGAATAAGAAGTCAAAAGTAGGATGTGACAGGACAGAGGGGGAAATTGTTGCAGACAGGTAAAATTCCACACACATTTGGGAGCAGAGCCCAAGCAGCAGTTCCAAGCTAAGCTTCCTGACCAAGAGAAAGGCAGCATTACTAACTTTACAATAAGCCTTAGGGAAAACCCATGGAAACACCGTGCAGGGGTAAACACACAGCACCCTGCCCGGGGCAACAATGCAGGGAGCCTGGCATCAGCCTGCACCCAGGAGGGACACACAGCATAGCACAGAGAGGACGCAGCCAACATGGTGGGGTGGGCTTCCACGGCACTTCACGAAGCCATGAACCAGTTCCACATGTTGGCCTCGCAGGGGATGTGGCCCAGAGCTTGCTGGCAGGAATCCATCACGGCCCTGCCCTCTGTGTCCTCCCATCCCCGTGTCAGCTGCACCACGGCTCCCTCACCTCTTCTGAACCTCCAGGAAGAAAGAATCCGTCCTTTTCATCTGCAGCTCGTAGATGGCCCGGAGGATGTGCAGAGGAGCATTGAGCGCATCGTGTGCCATCTGAAGGCCATGGGAGGAAGTACGAGAGATGATTTAAAACTGCTTCAGGTGGGACACCTGGGTGGCTCAGCGGTTTGGCACCTGTCTTCAGCCCAGGGCGTGATCCTGGAGTCCCGGGATCGAGTCCCACATCGGGCTCCCTGCATGGGGCCTGCCTCTCCCTCTGCCTGTGTCTCTGCCTCTCTCTCTCTCTGTGTCTCTCATGGATAAATAAAAAATCTTAAAAAAAAAAACCCAAAAAACTGCTTCAGGGCATCCTTATCCTCTGAACTCAAACCGGGTAAAACGGTTTTCCAAAGTTACCACGGGCTATAATTACTGAGTATCATGTGGTCACTTAAAGCAAATAAAGTTATAAGCTCTAAAACTTGGACTGTAGGATCTGCTCTGCTACTAGAAATTCACAGGAAAACGTAAAGCATGGAAATACGAGGCCATCACATGCAACAGCTGCCACCCACCGCAATGCGCCCACTGCTCACTGCTTCGCAGTTGCCACGTACTGAACTTTGACAACTGGCACCTGAGTCCAAAGAGGTGCTTCCTTCTGGTTTCTGAGTAACTATACTTGCTTTTTCCATCCCCACCCCACACTCTCTGACTCTCCCAGCAGTCACTGAATGTGCAGGGAAGAGCATATCCCCAGGGAACATAAATAAGAAAATGCAACTCAGAAGCCACGAGGGGACACCATGCCTGGAAGGGCTGCAAAGTATGAGCAAAACTGCAGGTGCTTATTTCACAGGACAGATATTTAAAGCTTTTAGACCCAAAAAGCCTAAAAACTACTGTTGCAAGAGCTTCTTTCTTCTGTATCAATTCTGCACGATTCAGACTGAGTCTTCAGGAAGTGACCTCTCAGCACGTCAGACTGAGGCATTTTCACACAAAGGGAGCAAAGAATCCATCCCTCGGAGTCCCCCTCCGTCCACACCTCAGCCCCAGAACTCACCAAGAAACATATTCTGGTGGGCTCGTCCAGGCTCTCCAGAGGGTCTAGCTTCTTTTGGTCTGGCTCACCAGGGCTGCTGACTGTGCCATCTACCTCCTCCTCTTGGTCTCCTCTCTCATCTCGCTCCAGGGCTGTGTGTTCAGCTGAGGTGTGGCTCTCCTTCTTGGAGGAGTACAGCATGATGGACAGGATCTGCAGATGGGAAATGGGCAGGGCAGGGGTGTGGTGGTCCCATGAGTGAGGACGTCATGCAGATCTCTGACCCTCAGATGGTACAAAATATTTGCCCTAACTTTGTAAAAGATACAGCAATTCCCAAGACAATGTAAAATTAATAAAACAAAACAAAACATGTTCAATTTACCTGAAATCAAAAAAATACCTACTGAAACCACGAGGGATCGTTTACTAACTTTGCTGCTGACGTCAACTGGGCTTACTTTTAGAATGCACTTTGTTAATGAAATATAAGGAACTATGACAATGTCTCCTGCCTCTGACCTAGCCAGTAACTCACCTTTTAGGAATTACGTAAAACGTGCTATGGTCAATGAAGCTGAAATCCACCTTCATGTATCACTTGCAGCCATTACCCTGGTGATTCAGGGAAGTGGCCACCACACGCGCTCACTGCGTCTCAGTGCCATGCACTGTTTAACCTGCGTCTATGCGTGTGACAGGGACACAGATGGAAACAACCAGAATAAGGCAATACATAAAATATTAACAAAGGCTGTTTGTGGGGCAGAATTTGAAGTTTTCCTTTCTTTTCCAGATTTCAAATTTTCTGCACTGTGGTTCTATTACTTGAGTCATAAAAAAATTTCGTTTTAAAATGTTTCCTCTGATGCTCTCCAGGTTTTGCATTATAACACTTCAGCAGTTTCCTGAGACCTAAGCAAACCTTCTCGTGGCGCCAGAGTGCAGGCTCTTGGCACTCAGCCTGTGTGTGATGGAGCGCGGCTGATGGACCTCCACCTGCACAGCAGCCTTTCTTGGACCTGTGGCTGCCCCTCAGTGCACAGAACCACAAAGAACCTCAGTAATGCCACAGAGAAAAATCTGAGGCCCAGGAGGAACTGTGAGAAGGTAAAAATTATTGACTTAAATCCTTCATAAAATAAACATGACCGAGGACAAATTCAGAGTTAGGGACAAAGGGAAATGATAATTCAAGGACACACTTCATCAGTGTGATGCCATGAGTGGCCGTGCGCTTCCGTAACATACTTCCCCTCCGGTGCTCTCTAAACAAACATCAGATTCATTCTCCCCTGACAGGGAGGGCAGGGGTCGGAATCCCTGTTTCCAAGAGGGGACACAAATCTAGGCTCGGCTCTGGGACTGCACAGCATGGCATGCACAGGGCAGTGCTAGCCATGGCCACCCCGCTACTCAGTCCACGCAGGGACCTACCCGTCAGTGGCAGGCAGTGCAGCAGCAGGACCCACACCCACCGCTTACCTCCAGATCCCGGAGGAGCCACGTTTTACTGAAACCAGTCCCTTTGCTGCACTTTTTCACCAGCAGCTTCAGCAAATCCGTCTGAAGGAAGGTGGTGTGGGTCTCTTCAAAACTGTGAGCCTGCCAAACACAAGGGACACCACCTGCCGCTGCCTCAAGGGAAGTAGCATGAGCAGGATGGGAGGAGCCCAGTCCCATTGAGTGGCCCAGGTCACGGCATGCAGAAATCCCAGAGTTGGCAGGAGGATGAAACGGCGAGACTCAGCCCTCACCTGAGTCCATCTGCTCAGTACGTCCCCGTCAGCAAGCCCAGGATACCCTGGGCTTGAGCCACATCCTGCACCAGCGGCCCCCTCCGGGCTCTGCCTTCCCAAAAGGCTTCCCCGTGTTCTTTGGAACAAAGCCTAAATTCCGACTCATGGCAGACGGGGTGCTGCAGACCCCCTGCCTGCTCCCCTGCTCTGTCCTGAAGGCCTGGGGGTATCCTCCTGCTGCTGACAACCACTCTCCCTGCACATGTCGCTCTGCCCAGACTCCTCATCCACCACTTCACATGTCACCACCTTGCAGGGCCCGTGCTGTGTCCCTGGCAGGTTAGACTGTCAGCCCACCTTCTCTTGAGGTCAGTGCCACACAGCTCCACTTGGCTCTTGTTGCTCAACAAATATGTATCAAAACAGATTCAAAGAAATAGTTTGTGCCCTCAGGGCATTTATTTTCTCTTTCCTACCATAATCAAACAACTAATAAAAGGGGTGCCTGGATTGAGACCCGCATTGGGCTCCCTGCTCAGTGGGGAGTCTGCTTCTCCCTCTGCCTCTCCCTCTCTCTAATAAATAAGATCTTAAACAAACTAACTAAAACAAAGCAGGTTGTGATAAATGCCGTGGAGGCAACAAATAGCAGCTGCAGAGCCTCAGAGCCCTCAACACGTGCTCAGAACTGGGCCAGAGCCAGACCCCATCCATGCTGACTTTGTGTTGCCAAGCCCTTCTGTGGCCTTCTGGGCAGTTCTGCCCATGTCCAGGGACCCAAAGCTGTTAAAATGAAACTCTTCTCTCACGGCAACTTCTGAGGGGAAGATCCTCCTAAAGGTGATCCCTTCCTTTGTCAGGCCCCTCAGGTACCAGTAAACCCACGTTCCCACAAGCAGGGGCTTCTTGTCTGACACCAGCTACCCCCCACCCCTGGCTCCTGACGTATCTGCTCCTTCCACCCCAACCACCAAGCCTATGGCTACGGGTTCCACGGAAGGCTGGTCCCCTGGCTCTCTTCTCCTTGCCCTATGATGGCCCCAAGGGAAGTGGGAAACTATTCTCTCCAGTTTCTGCCCATCTGCCATGGTGCCATGCCCATCAGGCAAATACTTGGTTCCATGAAACAGTACTAAAAAAATACTAAGAACTGATACTGGGAAAATTCTGTTTCTTCCCTAAAATTATCCTTGTGCAAGACCCCAAGCATTCCCAAAAATAATCGTGATTCTTTGGCTAACCACCCACCGAAATTAGATGGCACTTCCTTGCAGTAAATGCCCCACAGACACTAAATCACAGCAATTCACTAGTAACTGGAAAGTCACCATTACCTTTAGTGTTTTATACAGTCCTTTCAGGGCCAGAGACAGGACCCATGTTGCTTCTACTGCCTCGGGACATTGGCTGTCCATACTGGTCTGCAGAAGGTGACTGGCGATAAAGGCAAAGTGCTGGGAGTACTGGCTCAGCTGGGCCTGAGAGCTGCTGCATTCCTGTCCTTTCTGGACCAGCTGGTAGTCCTTCACTGGAGGGTGATGTCAGGCAGGAAGAGAAAGGCATGAAAGTACAGTGAATGCTTCCTGCAGCTAAGGCTCTTCCCCAGTAACGTGCCTTACCAAAGCAAGAACTGCAGGTCCCAAAATACAAATTGCCCTGGCTTCAAACCCAGCCATTACATTCAAGGCTGGCTTGCAGGTGAGCACAGAAATGGCACTGGTCCACCAAGAGAGACAATTTACATGCCTACTACTGTGCACAAACAGGCTGTCTCCAAGTGTTAAAGGGACTTCTTAATAGAGCATGGAGGTGGGACTTCTACTTCCAAACAAAACTAAGACAGACTGGATAGACTCTCTTATCCTAAACAACCAGAGCATTAAAAATATATATAAGAAACAATGGTTTGCAGACACGAGGCAAAAAGTAGTACAGGACTATGATCCCTGATAGAAGAGACATAAACCAGAGCAGCTCTTCCACCACCTGGCTTTCAGGAGACAATTTCCAGGCTCTAGAACAGGGACCAGAAAGCTAAGCAGAGTCCTATAGGTCTCAGTGAACTGATGATAAAGAGGTGAGCTTTCAGGGAAGTCAAGGCAGCAAGAATTTATGGGGCAGATGATCACAAAGAAGGGAGACGCACAGATACAGAGAGGGTTTGGGGGACCTCTGTGCAAAGCCACAGAAGCTTCCTCTTGGCTGAGTATGACCCGCACAAACATGTGGCAAGAAACCACCTAGGTCTAGGAAAGCAGTAGGATGAACAATTCTTGGAGCTCACAGAGCTGGGACTATTGTCTTTCCCCCAGTGAGAGTAGATGTTTCTTTGAGGGGGAGAGGGAGGACAAAACTATTTGAAGACAGGGGACGCCTGGGTGGTTCAGCGGTTGAGCTTCTGCCTTTGGCTCAGGGCCTGATCCCAGATTCCCTCGATGGAGTCCCACACCGGGCTCCCCACAGGGAGCCTGCTTCTCCCTCTGCCTGTGTCTCTGCCTCTCTTTCTGTGTCTCTCAGTAATAAATATATAAAATCTTAAAAAAAAAACTATTTTGAAGACATAATAGTTCAAAATTTTCTGAATTTAATAGAAACTGTAAATCTACAGATCAATAAGCCCCCAAGAAGAAACAAATAAAATCACGTCCAGGTATATCCTAATTAAAATGCTAAAAAACAATGACTAAGAAAAAAATCTTTAAAGTAGCCAAAGGAAAAGAGACACATTTGAAGAGTAACAGAGAATGAGAGCAAACCTTGTGGTAGAAACTAGGTATGCCATAAGTAAATGGATCAAAACCTTTTAAGTATTCAAAGAAAAACTCTTGGCCTAGAATTTCATATGCAACAAAATTATCTTTCGAAGATAAAATCAAAATAAATATAAATATTTGGTAGGACAAATCAAAACAAAAGCTCTGTAGCAGCAGACCTGTGATACAAGAAATGTTAAGGGAGGTTTTTCAGCTTGAAGAATGATACCAGGTAGATACCTGAGTTTACACAAAGGAATGAAATGTACCAGAAATGATAAATATGTCAGTAAGTAAATATAAAATATACTGTTTTTTCATTTTAAAATCTTTCTTAAAGTACCTTTTATTTTTTTATTCATTTAAATGAGAACTCTTTTTCTAAAAGATATATTTATTTACTTGAGTGAGAAAATGTGTGTGCATGTGAACAAGCTGGGGGCACGGCACAGAGGAAGATGGAGAGAGAGAGAATGTTAAGCAGACTCGTCCCAGTGTGGGGCTCAATCCCACTACCTGAGCTGAAACCAAGAGTTGGATGTTTTACTAACTGTGCCACCCAGGTGCTCCAAAACATCTGACTTTTTAAAGCAAAAATAATGTTTTATTCTGAGGTTTATAATGTATAGAAGTAAAATATGTGACAATTACAGCACCAAGGAATGGGGGTTAGAAATACAAAATCCATGCTTCCTCACTACATGTTAAGAGGTAGAATATTATTTGAAGGTAGTCCCAGGCCACCCAGCTAGAAGGCAAGCGCTCCGTTAGGTGGCAGGGCATGGCTCAAAACTCCACTCAGCAGAGCTCACTCATTATGCCCCGAGGCACACACAGGAGCGTGCCCAAGAAATCCACTTTAAATGGAAAGACAGGGCAGTTTGGGTGGCTCAGCGGTTTAGCACCACCTTCAGGGCATGATCCCAGAGACCCGGGATCAAGTCCTGCGTTGGGCTCCCTGCATGGAGCCTGCTTCTCCCTCTCTCTCTCTCTGTGTCTCTCATGGATAAATAAATAAAACCTTTTAAATAGATAGATAGACAGACAGACACAGACAGGTCACAGTGAGCATACACACCACATGAATGTCAGTAATAAAACAAATCCTAGAGAAGCTACATAAATAGTAAAGTCAATTTCAGCCAAGGAATATTATCAGACATAAAAAGGATATATTTTGTACTGAGTTGAGAAACAGTTATGGTTAGAGTCCTCAACACTCCTCTCTCAGTAATCATTAGGACAGACAGAAAACCAGTAAGAGCATGGAAGACTTAACACTATCCACTGATTTGACCTGAATGACATCTACAGCCAACAACCCAGTATATGAATCTCTTTTTTTTTTTTATTAAGGATTTTTTATTTATTCATGAGAGACACAGAGAGAGAGAGAGAGGCAGAGACACAGGCAGAGGGAGAAGCAGGCTCCATGCAGGGAGCCCGACGTGGGACTCTATCCCGGGTCTCCAGGATCACACCCTGGGCTGCAGGCGGTGCTAAACCGCTGAGCCACCCCGGCTGCCACATGAATCTCTTCAAGTGTATATGGAACATTACTCAAAACAGATCAAATTCTGGACCATAAAACAAGTTTCAATAATTGTAACAGGACTAAAATAATTCAAAGTATGTTCTTTGACCCCAAGGGAATTAAACTTGAAATCAGTAACACAAAGATATCTGGAATATCCCCCAAATATTTGTAAATTAAACAATAAACTCAGGTGCCTGGGGGGCTGAGTCGGTTAGGCATCTGCCTTCAGCTCAAGTTGTGATCCTGGGGTCCTGGGATCAAGTCCCACATTGGGTTCAGCTCAGGGAGCCTCCTTCTCCCCTTGCCTGTATCTCTGCCTCTGTGTGTCTCTCGTGAATAAATAAACAAAATCTTAAAAAAAAAAAAAAGATTTAGTATAAATATACAACAGTTGAGAGAATGCAGTATTTGAGATAATGGTGTGTAACAGAACCCTAAATAGACACACACCCATGGCGGTCAACTAATCTCCAACAGAGATGCCAGGATAATTCAGTGGAGAACTAGTTTGTTCAACAAGTGGTCCTGAAACAACTGGAAGTTAATATGCAAAAAAGAAAAAGGAAAAGGAAAAGAACAAGAACCCTGGTCTTTACCTCACACCACACACAAAAGTAGCACAGACAATGCTAATGCTGAAGCTGAATGTTTCAGAAGCAGAACTACGCACATACACTGACATACTCCAAGGTTTTTCATGTATGGCAAATTAAGTCAAAGGTCTTATATTTTTACTGTTCTACTGATCAAGCAAAATGGAAAGGGATACAAACGTCAACACAATTATTCAGTTATTTTACATTCATGTAGCTTCTGATTCCACGATATGTTTAAATTACCCTAGAAAACAAATCATCAGCCAGTGACAGTATTAGACGTTCAGACCCTAAACCAGAACCCCAAAGCTGTGTATACAAAATGATGGCATGGCAAGACCTTTCCAATCTACCCTCATTTAACCATATCACTTCACAGATGAGGAAAAAGCAGCTCAGGGAGTTATAACTTAAGCAAGAACCACAGTATCTTCACTGACTTCAGGGTATGCAGTCATTTGACAGCTCCCTTCTAAGAAAAAATAATTAGGCTTGGGACCTGTTTTCCTTTTCCGGGTTTTGACATCAACGATCACAGCCCTGTTCTTCTCCGTGAAGTGCTTCAAGATGATGACATTATGTGGCTCATTAGCATGATCCACATACACACAGCGGGTCCCCACGCAGAGGACCTAGAATGTGACAGAGACCAAGAAGGCAACTCAGAAGGCAGCAGACACAGGGACGGACCCATAACGGGACACAAGCCCATCCTCTGTTTGTGCCACAGCTTCTACAGGGGCTTCAGGATGGGCTCTCCTGAGTCCAGCACCCCACCCCCCGTACAGATGTGGTTTACATGCCCACAGGATGAAGCCATGTTTTCACAGCCCTCTCTGTTCCAACCAATTGTGAGACATGAGGATTAAAATGAGATCAAGATGAATGCCAAGTGAGAAACAACCATACTCAGAAGTTCTCTGTAATTCAATAGATTAGTTACCTATTATTCAAAGTACTGGCTAATAAAATGAGTCAAATAGCTAAAATGTTAAAAATGCAGTTGAACAAACCATCCCATAATCCTGAAAGTATACCAATACCGTAAATGCAAATCATGTAACTGAAGGAAAGAAACTCCCAAAAATATATGCTATAGAGAGCCTGCTGTATGCAACAAGGACGGGAAGGTACGCTGGGCCTTGCAGTGCTATACCTGTGGGAAGCCGACCAGCACGAGCAGGGTGAAGATGTTGGTGTGCTTCAGCTGGAAAGGCAGCTGCCTGATACAGTGGTCTGTGAAGGCGGCGATGACGTCACGCCACAGTGGGGCACTGTTGAGGGACCGCAGGATCTCTGCCATGGAGCATGCCCAGTCCAAGCCCACCCGGCTGGAAGGCAAGCACTCCGTTAGGTGGCAGGGCAAGGCTCAAAACTCCACTCAGAGCGTGCCCAACAGCCACTCACCCAAGGGTTCAAGAACTTCAGAACAAAGCCTCTGTCACCTATACACTCAGTATACGGTTAGATTTTTTTTTTAAAAATCTCTGTAAAAAGTCACACATCTACGTGCACTTGTGCACAATCACGTTTACACACAAATAAAACCTAAGGAGGAAATATATTAACACAGCACCAGGTGCATTAAGATGGCACTTGTAGGGGATGCCTGGCGGATGCCTGGTGGGCTGAACATCTGACTCTTGATTTTGGCTCAGGTTATGATCTTGGGATCATGGGATCAAGCCCTAGGACAGGCTCTGTGCTCAGTGGGACGTCTGATATCGCTTTGCCACCCTACTCCCTATTCGAACACTCCTGCTCTCTCAAATAATAAAATCGTAAAAAAAAAAAAAAAAGAAAAGAAAGAAAAGAAAAGAAAAGAAAAGAAAAGAAAAGAAAAGAAAAGAAAAGAAAAGAAAGAAAAGAAAAGAAAAAAAGATGGTGCAGCTGGGTGATTTTTTCCTCCATTTTTATTTTCCATATTTGATATTGTGATTATGTTGCTTTATAACAAAGATAGACCTATTTTCTTGAACCCCAAAGCTTGTACTTATTGCTGCCAGGAAAAAAACCCACCAGAATATATACCATCAGAAAGTTTAACCAGCAGATAGCGCCCAGATGTGAGTTTTAAGTACAATTTTAATGTCAGTTGACACCTTTTCTACTAAATCTTATCCTAATCTCACCAGAGATGCCTAGACACCAGCACACTGGATTCAATCCACAGCCAAATCATGGACCTAAAGGGCGGAGTGTGGGGGGCTACCTGTCCAGACACACGGCTCCCAGGCTAAAGAGCAGGTGGGTGGTCTTCCAGCCATCTGGCACCACAGAACTGTCCCCTGCTGCAAACAAGGTATGCTTGGCGGAGAGGACTTTCACCACCGCAGCATCCACCTCCACTGGTAAGAGGCGGGTGATGAGCTGGCCGAGAAGACCCAGCGTGAGGTGGTAGGTCTCATTCAGGTGGCCTACGTTTGAGATGACAACCTGAAACATGAGTGGGAGGACGTGCTCCAGGTCTATCACGGGGACTGTAGGGTCCTGCCGAGAGAGGGAGAGATGCCTGTTTACCATGGAATCCACATTAACCACAAATGAACACTGAGCCTGTTCACATCTATTCATAGCTGGCCAGCTGCCGAAGGGACTATGCGGTGTCTTCACCAACAGCTGCATACAATCATGTGTGAACATTCTCCGGCATCATCCTGTGACACTACATCTAACTATAAAGCTCTCAGGGACACACAGATGGTTCTTAACAGGTGGTTTCAGTACATGGCTTTCCAAAAAAATATATTTTTCCACATATACCACCACCCCTCTTCCAGAGAGGAAAATACCATTTGTCTCTTACCAACTTTAAGGGAGGTAACATGGCTGCTAGTAATCCCAAAATCCTCTTCTGGGAACACTCAGCAAACACCTGCTCAGGACTTGGAGTAACCGCCTTTTCCTCGATGGACTCCTGAGACAACATGACTGTATTCTCAGCATCTGAGTTATAAAACATCAAATGTTCAGATTTTGCCAGGTTGTGAACATGTACAAATAGGCAAACAAACATGCTGCTAGACAACAGAGACCATCCTGCTCCAGGAGGCCTTCCCTGACCACCCCACGAAAACGCAGAGAGCCCCCAAGTCTGCTCTCTGGGGCTCAGGCCACTTTCACCTGTAACACATCAAACCCCTGATATGGGTTATCTGTCTGTTTCCCGAGGTGTATGCTCACCACAAGCACCCAGAGCTGGACCTGGAGCATGGCGGGTGCCCGGTGAGCACCTGAGGAAGGAGTGAACCACATGTGGACCGGGACTGACCAGGAGAGCCGGCCTGTTATCTGGAAGGTGGAATTACGTGCACTGCACAGATGAGCACACCCCACAGATGGGGCAGGATGCCAGGAGCTCACCTCTGCCTCCGTCAGGAAGCAGGCAGGTGAACAGATGCTGCTGCCGTGGTTGCCCCAAGAGGAGGCTCTTCAACCCATGGCACCTCCATTGACCTTGAAATGCAGTTTGCCGCAGCCGTCCCAAGGCAGGCAGCTCAGGCCCCCACAGTGGAGCGACACTATACCCTCCAGGGCTCCAGCCCCATGCACCTGTCCATGGGACTCCCCGTGTATTAGCCTGGGGGCTTCCCACTCTGGGGTTTTTGCTCCTGTTGCCCAGAAACCCCTTCCCCACAGGGGAGGGTAGCACAGCTAAAGTTCCTCGCAGCCCAACCTTTACGAGGCTTCCTGTGGATACTGTCTATTCCAGTTAGACACCAGTAGGTGCCAGCACCCACTCATCACTCTGTCCTGGACAGAGTCGCATTCCTACTCAGATTACAGTGACCTTAGTCTCCACCTTCCCACACTGCAAGCTCCATGAGGGCAGGAGCTGTGTGTGTGTGTGTGTGTGTCTGCCTGTTGTTCCCTGCTGTACCCCCCCCACTCTAGCAGACTGCTTGGCACACAGAAGACATAGTAAATTCGGGAATCACAAGGGAGGAGAGCAGACAAAGTGAAGGGAAGTGGACTTTCAAAGTGTTATCAGTACCACCGATGCAAAACTGAGAAACCAGGAGCCCCTTGTCACTAGCCAGTGCAATACATCACTCAGGGATAGGTCTGTGAGCATTTAAGATAGAAGAGATGAAGGTAATGATCACAGAGCCTTTACCTGGAAGCCTTGCAGGGGTGTCTGAGATTGGAGTCTGGCACAAAGGACCATTCATTAAGGATGCAACTTCTTCATCTGCCTTACTTCTCTTCCTGCTATCTAAAGGTCTGACTTCCTTAGGACCATCTTCCTTTCCCTGAAAACAAAATGTAAAGGAGTTTGCTCATTAATGCTGTCAGACAATTTTTAAAATCATTAGCCAGTCTTTAGAGACTGAAATACTTTTGAATTCCATAAGAAAATGTCCCTCATTCCTGATGACAAATCTATGCTCTAATTAAGACAGTAATTGCTGCACTCCATCCCCCAAACATCTCCCAAATGCCCCTGTGCCAGCTGCAGTCTCACAAGCAATGACTACACTATAAACCTCTAATACGTTCTACTGAGCTTTGAGAAGCCACGTATGGAAGGTTCTTCCCTTGGGAAGAAGAAAAAAACAAAGACATGGAGTTCCTTCTACCACACAGAGCTGGTCTATACCTCTGGGAATTCTACTTTAGCAAGGAAGTAACAAGGAGCCTTGTTACAGGGGCTCTCACTGGAGTGGGAGGGTTTCCTGTGTTCAAGAGTCGGGCAGTGAGCCGCTCAGACTGGCAAGATGACTTGGCTTGCATTACCTGAGACCTTTTTCCCTGAGCTAGGAAAAGCCTCTGTGGATGAGCCTGAAACATCTTTCTGCAACAAAAATTAAGGAAGCACTCAAACACAAAAGCATGGGATGGACTCAGAGGCCAGTTGGAAGGAGCTTCCACTCACTCACTAAACATGGGACAATTTCAGCATCAAAATATGTAATGAAAAATAGATTTTAAAGATTTTGATTTTAAGTAAGCTTTCTGCCCAACATGGGGCTGAACTAACAACCCTGAGATTAAGAGTTGCACACTCTAAAGACTGAGCCAGCCAGGTGCCCCGAATAGTCATCGATTTTAATCTATGGAATAAAAAGAAATCCATCCAGGTCATTCTGACAGATTAATGGATAAGAGGAAACACAGGGAGTGGAGTGCTCATGGGTGGCATGTGCTAAGATGCTAGGAGCTCAAAGGAAGACACAACTATTTCCAGGCTCAAAGGTGAAGACTGTTGCTACTGACAACGTCCTCTCTGCCTCATCACCATCTGTGGGTGGTTAAAATGCTGCCTTGGAGAAGCTGTTTTGTGGTCAAAAGTATTGACCACTCTGAAGCTCAGGTCGCCTGTCTTATGCTGTCTCTCTGCCGAATGAAGGGGATGGTTTTCACCAGCCATCATCGCTTCTGTGTTCCTCTAAAGGACAATGGGATCAAATCCCACCAAACGGGATCCCTGAACCAGGAAACACCAGCTGCTCCTCAGGTAAAGTCAGGGGGACTCACAGCACCAGCTCAAGTTTCAGAGGCAGCATTGCAGAACGTATGCTGTGCTCTTCCACAAAACCAACCTTAGGATTGCGATCACAGGCTCCACCTGGATCCAAAAGGCTTTCCTTCTACTCACACAGGAACACGCAAACCACTATATCCATTCAGAAAGCAGAGCACTTAGTATTACTGGTCTACTGGCTCACTATAAAAATAGCTTCAAGGGCCGCTGGGCAGCTCAGCTGGTTAAGCATCTGGTTCTTGGTTTCTGCTCAGGTCATGATCTCAGAGTCGGGAGATGAAGCGTGGGTATGGGGTCTGAGATCCTGTCTCCCTCTCCCTCTGCCCCACAGCCACGCACGTACCCTCTCTCTCTCTAAAATACTAACAGCTTCACATACGAGGTGTTCACCATGGGCCAGGAACTCACCTCCTTAGGTGCATAGTGTTCCTTCCTTATACTCCCACCAGAAGGCAGGTAACAGGAGCAGTTAGCACTGACATGGAACGTACTACAAACACTGTTTTAAGCACTGTACACACATTAGCTGGCAATGTGATATGTGTAAATCCTCAGAATAACCCTATGGGATGGGTACTACTATTCTCACCCCATTTCACAGACAGGAAAGTGAAGCAGATTGTGGTAATGTGCCCAGGACCTGGAAGAGCAGTGGCTGGAACCCAGGGTCTGGGTCAAGAGTCTGTGCCTCAACCTCTCTGCTCTGCCCCCACCCCTAAGTGGCTCCTCGTTTCGGCCTGAGATTTCTGTGTAGTAATACACTGTGACGTACACTGTAGCACATAGAAAGGCTTTTATGTGGCAGGTCCTCAGGGCCCCAGACAGCTCTCTCCTCCTCTGCCGTGCGAGTGGGCACAGTGACGGGTGGGGCCCGACTTTCTGGACTAGGTTCACCATCTGGCAATATACCAAGGAGAGCTAGAGCTTTCAGACCTGCATGGGGAGCAAATGAGGGAATGGTTAGAAGTTTTACAGTGAGGTCATTTCCTGCAAATGCCATACATCATTCTACACTGCATGGAGAAAGATGGCTGGGTTCCCCACAAAGCAAACCGAAGCGCACCAACACCAACTTCCCTGGCTATCCACATCTAATTGGCTCCTGACATCAAGCACCTAAAGCCTGAAGAGGCATGCCTAGACTTGATTAATAGCAGAAGACCAAGACAAGACAGGACTGCCTAAGAAGAAGATCATTAACATGACAATGCACAGTAGCCCCACACAATCAGATGTCTACACTCCCACTGACAAGCTCTGAAGCACTGTGCACGTGCTGCCCAACCAGGTGTCCCTACCTCACACCAGAACAGGGAACCTCGAACTCCCAACACCTCAGAAGTGGAACACGCACATTAGGTTCTCTTCAGTGCCCCTCAGTAAAGTCAAAGTCAGCCAGGTATTTTACTAATCAAGCAACTATAACTACAAATGGCCCTCATCTAGAATGCAGTTACGTGGAGATCTGCACACCTGGGTCAAAACAATACTCCTTCAGCAAAGCTAAGCCAAGCAGGCTCAAACACCAAGTGTTTCATCCACAGACATTAGGAGTCTTAATTACTACTTTTTTTTACATCTTCACATGAATATTTTAGAGAAATTAAATGCATTTTTAATGTCATTTTTCACAAATGCACATAGGAATGTGGACTGAACTCAGAAGCAGGTGAACTCGGAACTGCCCCTTTCTCCCTTGCCTGGGGTAGAAAGTGGGTCGAGCTGCCTCTCACCAAGCACAGAATTCCACTTCTGCAAAGGCTCTTCCCACCCAAGCAGCTGAGAGTCATCCTGGTCCTATGCAAGAGGAACAATTACCTTTTCCCTGGTGAGCCTTCATCAGACAGTCCCCGACAAGCTGCATGCACTGGCTCCGCAGCAGGCTGGCAGTGCCACGGTCCTGGGGATTCAGCTTCTCACCATCCACGTCCTCTGCACTGGCCAGGTGGGCACTGTAGAGAGCCAGGGCAGCAAAGAGCAGCCAGGCGTAGTTGTGGATGTATGGCTGGATGAGCCTCTGCCGGTCGCTGATCCGGATGGTCACCATCGGGTGGGCTGTGACGCCGTGGGTGGGCAAGTGGCTGCAAAGGCAAGACATGCTCATGGCGTACAAGCCTTTGTGAGGGCTCGAAAAGAAGGCAGCGCTCAGGGTCAGCACTGGGCACTGTGACCTCTAAGGCTGTGGTAACTGAAGTTTAAACACCCTTTGCCTAGAACAACGAAGCAACACAAACACTGTACAAGCCACTTCAGGATCTCATGCCCCCATCCCTGCCCGGGCAAAACAATGCCTCTGGAGAGCAGGTGCCAAGGAGCCCTCACTGTGAAATGCTTAGAATGTGATAATATCATTTTGGTAATGTGAGAAAACACTCATAATTTTCAGATATAGATATGGAGTGCATATGAAGGAAATGATCTAATGTCTGTGAATTGCTTTAAAATACTGTAATAAAGGAAAAAAGGAATAGGCTAAGCACATACAGCAAGCTCTGCCTAGCTGTGGAATCTGCATAGTGGCAACAAGGGGATTCAGAGTACAAGCATCTTTACTTGTGGGTGTGTTTTAAATCTGTTATAGTAAAAAGGTTTTTATCACTGAGGAAAAAAAAAAAGGCGAAGGAGTACACAAAGAAGGCACTCTGTGGCCAGAGGTCATCGCAGGCATACCCGTAGGAGTATCTCTTTGCCGCGTAGCACCCGTAGCAAAGATCGAAGTCATCACACACGTTGCAGTTCATCCTCCGGCCGATGATCAAACCCTGGCAGTGGTCACAGGTAAACTCCATGCTGACCATCTCGTGATCATCTCCATGGCCCTCGGGCTTCACCCCACCTGAGGAAAGAACATGAGGTCATCGGGCTAAGGGCTTCCAGAAGTGCTAGTTTCCAAACACTAACTATCCAGAAGCAGGACTCTGCCAAGTTCCTGCTCAGGATGTGAGGGGCCACAGGCATGTTCTGGATCCAGGCTGTCCTGGACGGAACTTCTCAGCCTTGTACCAGGGATAGACCCCTAACACAGCCCCACACAGCCCCACCAGTTCCCATCATGACCACCCCTGACAGAGACAAGTTCGTGTACCCACCGTGAGCCGTCTCCTGTGTGACCCCTCCTCTGACAAACATGAAGTGTCTGCTGTGTATTCCTGTTAACAAGCACTGAAGAGTGACCAGGTTTTTGCTCTCACTTTTTCATTCCAGAACTACAGACTCCACAACCTCAAACCCAGTGAGTGAGAAACTGTCCATGTCCTGTGTGGTCCAAGCAAGCTCCACCACATCCCGCTCACCAATCCGGACAGCTGACCCACTTCTGCTCCTACTGCCGAGGACCTGGTCCAGGCACTAAGTCCCTTGTTGCTGCTGTGACTGCCTCCCTAAAGGACACTCCCATAAGGCCGGAGCACCTTCCTCCAGCAGAAGCCTGCTGATGTCAACACCCCACTGCCCCAGGGTCCAGGTCTGGGAGCCCCCATCTCAGCCCATCACTCAGCCGGAAAGACACTGACACACCACAGATGCTCACTCCTGGGCCTGGACTCACTCTGTGTCTTCGCATCACACAGCTCTGACTTTCTTCAGAGACCGAGTCACATTGTACCTCCCACTGCCTCCCGAGCCGTCCCTGCAACAGGGATTGTGGCTACTTCTGAACTTGTGTGGCCTGAACCCTGTACCCCCCACCTGTACCCCAGCATGCACACCCTTGTCCTGGGACATACACTGTGCAAGGACATCCAGGCCCCTGCTAAGACTGTAAGTGCTCCCAGGACAGGGCGGTAGCTTGCACGATGGGGCTAGGCACACGGCTGCTCAGACTGTCAATTTGCTATACATCAGGTATAGTCAAGAATTTCTGAGGGCTGCTTTTGTGTGTATATCTACTTGTAAACCCTGCATGATTCAGAGAGGAAAACTGTGTTCCGGAAACTCAGCTGAATGTACATTCAGTGGTGCTGTGTGTTCACCGAGTACCTACACCCAGCAGGAGGGAAGACAGAAGCACCTCAGGTAATAGCTATGGAGCTTCTCGTTCACTCAGGGAGGTAAGGCTCCTATCTGCCCACGGGTCAGGGCATACCACCAGCAGTATTTCTATCTCGCACAAGAGGCTTTACACAAATGATAAGGTCACAGAAAATAGAGCAATGACTGGCTCGGGGGCGGCACATACCTAGGAAGCAAGTTTTGCAGAGATCCATGTCACTGCACTGCAGACACCGGTAGCGGTGCCAGGGGGCAATCTCATCACACCCATCACAGGAGATGTCCACGTTTAGCAGGTCGCAGTAGCGAGCAATGAACATGTGCATCTGTAGGGAGAGATACACACAATTAGCCCACAGACTTTCCGATGGGGCCAAGACTCATCAATCATGCCGTCCTCCAACAGGTACTTAAGATCCACCATGCAGCCAGGGGCGAGGATGAGGAGAGGGAGGAGCCTGGAGTCTACTGGGGAATCCCTTTGAGGACCGCACAGGGTGACAACAGCTCTGATGTATGAAGTCAGGGGCCAAGGAAACTCTGCAGAGGGCACCAGAGACTGTCAGGAAAGGTCATGGGGCAAGACCTGGTTGAGACCCGAGAGATAGACACGTATCTGCTGCGGGGAGGCAGGTGGCAGGCATGCCAAACAAAATTTGAGTTCTACAGGAAGCACCAAGAGGCCAGATAGCAGTTCCAAAGACTGGCCGTCTCTCAGCACCAGGCTGCAGAATGCAGGAGACCAAGAGACAGGTGTGGTACATGATCACTCGGAGTGTTCTCAAAGTTCCTCTGCTGAGTGGAGGATGGACTGAAGGAGTCCAGGCCACAGCCCCGGAGACCGGTCACGGGAGCAGCTGTCAGAGTACCCTGTGAAGGGGCAGGGGCCGCACGGCGCCAGGGGAGACACAGCGGTGCAGGGGGCAGGCCCAAATGGTGTGGCACCTCGGGCACGGACCAGACGCAGGGTCAAGAAAGGCGAGGTCAAGAACATCCAGACTTCTGGCTTGGGGACTGGGTGGGACAGAGCAGTGTTCGGAGAGCAAGCAAGCTGTTTGTACTGGAGAGTGGCCATAGGCCTCGGTACAATTTCTCTTTACAGCCCAGAGTGATGGGACATTAGTCACTAAGTCACAGAGGCCACATCAGCGTGCCCCATGCAAGCCCCAGAGAGGTGCTACGTGAGCACCGTAATGGCACACAGCAGGCATGCACCACCACAAACACGAAGGACTCTGAGGCAGGAGCCACTTGGTATCACATATTCTGACACACCAACATCTCACATGAAGATAGATGCGGCAGGTTGGTGCACGTCAGAACAACAGAATTCCAATTCCGAGTGCACATGGCTGCTTCTGCGCCCAGCAGTCAGCCCATGATGAAGATCTGGCTCCCGCTCCTACGCCCGCAGGAAGGGAGCATGCTACCCGAGGACGCGAGAACCCAAACCCTTGGGCAATCCTCTCTCTCATTGTAAATTAATAAGCTGGTACTTTATGTCATGCTCAGGCCGCACAAGCCCACGCTCTGAGTCCAGTTCTACCGGAAGGAGCTGTGCTCTGAATGTGGTCAACCCCAGGCCACAGAGCAGAGCTGTCTCCCTAGGATCCACTCAATCCAGGGTTCAGGGACCCCCTCCCTCCCCTCCCAGGCCACAGAGCAGAGTCGTCTCCCTAGGATCTGGTCAATCCAGGGTTCAAGGAACCCCTCTCACCCCCAGGCCACAGAGCAGAGTCAGTGACAGCATCTCCCGAAGGTGTGAACTAACACTGGGAGCCCTCTGGGACATGGTCTGCTGACATTCCCCTGGGCAGTCTCCTCTCCAAACTCCCAGCCAATCACTTCAGAAAACTCTGGTCAAGAGGTCTTACTTTCCTCTGCTTCTCTGGATCTTCCTGGGCTATTTTTTCATACCAGGCCTCAAACATGCCATCCTGACACTCATCCATCCATTCTGAATTCTGCTTGGCATCCGCGAGCTCATCTTCTTCACTGCACTGGCTGAAAGGACACAAGCAGAGAACAGGATGCCTCTCCCAATAACCCACAGGTGCTGGGTGGCACACTGTCCCACAGGTCTAATGACGGAGCATTTTCAGACTTCCGAGTGGAAAGCATGCACCTCTGGTTTTTCAAAGCCCCCTGATGTCCAGGCTGCTGACAGCCCAGGGCAGTAAGGGAAATGCCCCTTCCGGAGCAGACGACCCTGAATGAGGACTCAGACCCTGCCAGCCTCATGTGGTGAAGCTACCATGTGCTGGCGCTGCAGCCCAAGTGGCTCTGGTGGATCAGCAGGAGAGAGGCAGGCACCCCAGGGAATGGCGCTCCTATCAGCTGCCTGGCCCTCACATGGCACTCAGCCCTGGTTCAGGGCTCCTCATTGCAAACAAGGAGTTTCATACAGGTAATCTCACAGGCTCCTTTAAGATGCAAAGTCATGAATTTCTGTAATTTTGGTTTCTAGTTTGTTTTAGCAACCAGAACCTCAAATATAAAAGGATCTGCTGAACCACAAATGCAAACCATTTACCAACAGACACATTGCTGATTCTGGTGTGTGAACGGACTGTGGTCAGGCCTGCTCACACTCCAGCTGGGTGCTGGGGGACCAGGGCACAGGGGGTGGACTCTGGGCACACCCGTGGGCTCATATGCCACCCCAGCTACGTCCACCCACAGAGGGCGATGCCAGTCTCTGGGACAAGGAGTCAGGGTAGTTTTGGCTCCTCTTCCCAGAATGTCTGAGAAAGTGGAGTCTGTACTAAGGCTGACTCACTAACTTCCCCTCCCCATGCTGTCCTTCTCCTGTTCTGTTCTCTCTTCTATGTACACGAGTGGCTGATGGGAAGTAGACTCAGGCAGGGTGGAGAGACACAAAGAGTGGGAAGCAAAGAAAATCCACGTACTGTTGTTTCTCACATCCTAAGTCCTTATGATGTGCAAGAGGTTACAAAGGCTGAAATCCCACATGCATGTAATCAAAAAAAAAAAAAAAGATTCTCCAATTCAATAAGTTCCAAAACCACAAAGGGTCCAGGTCCTCTTGACCCACCTCCACCAGCTTCCAGACCCTTCCATGCAGCTGACACTGCTGTCAACTGAGAAGCATCGCCATCTACCCTCCACCATCACCTCCAGGTGTAAGGAGAGGGAACTGAGGCACAGCAGGGTCAAACGAGTGGCCCAGGGCCACCCAACTCAGTGTCAGCAGAGCCAGGACATGCTCCAGGGAGTATCACGCCAGCAGCTACACTCTGAGCCCTCTGCCTCAGGAACTGCAGGCTGCAGTTCTGGCTTCTTACCTGATCACGCTGTCGTGGACGCTTATATTCTCTTGTGACAGTTTCATGAGAAGGTGTGGTAACCCAATGTCCACAAAGAAAGCGAGATCGCCGGGTTCCCAGCCCATATCCAGAAGGTGGAGCAGGGCTGTCTGCACACAGGACAAGGCAGGCAGCAGCGACCTAGGGGACCCATGAAACAGGGCATTACCCAGGCTGCCCATCACAGGACGCCAGTCAGAACCTGGGGTGTCTGTGAGCGGAGAGCACAGGGGCCAGCCGTCCTTTCAAATTCCCACATCCTACACAAGCCCCCTTCAAAGGACAGTTTGGCAAGGGTCCTGCAAGTGCGCTGTGAGGCTTCCGCCCGGCCACGCCTATCTCAGGGTACCCTTTGGACAAGGCCGGGGAGGAAGAATCACATCCTGACAAGGAGCCAGCCCCAAACGAGCACAGGTCATTCATTCAGCGCAGATTGATGAGGGACGAGACTGGGGGATGGCTTCACATTCCTGTCTTAAAACTGCACTGAAACATGAGCAACTGTACAGGTCAGGCCACACGTTCTCACGGAAACCAAGGGCTGGCCCCTTGAAAAACAACACAGCACATGGGAAAGGCTGGAACAAATGTACCAGTGCCTCCAAGCGACCATCTGGCTCTAGACGGTAACACCAAGGGGGGTCTTTTTTACTTTGCGTTTTTCCACATTTTCAACACTGAACATGTTATTTCTTTTAAAGGCAGCAAGAATAGAAATGATGTTTTCTGTAGAAATGATAAAGTTATACCATACCTGTCATTCATGCTGCTAAATTCTTTAACTGCTTTAACCAAAAACAGAACAAACTGGTAGTAAGTGTCTCGAATCTCTTTGCGCAGACGTGCACCACAGCCCTCCATGTGTGTGAAATAACTGGAAGCAGAAGGAAGCACCAATCACTCCAGGGCCGTCACTGAGCTGACGATCGTTACTCCTTACGTGAAGCCAGACCGAGCAGCAGCGAGCTGACCGTGCGGCGCGGAGGCAGGAGCACAAGGACCAAACTTTAGGGAGTGATAGCTCGAGGCCGTCAGTAGTATGGGAAGGCAAGGATTCCTGTTTCTCTACGCCCACCCACCCCGTCGGCTCACTCAGCCAGGCCCCTCAGGCCTGCCACTCTCCCCTCACCTGTGACCTTGGCACCCGGGAGACTTAGACATCCATGGTCACCTCCAGGGACCTCCTCCATTCCAAAGGCCGTCCCATCCTTGACGCTGTCCCCACAGTGATGGCAGGACTTCTGAAATCCCAACTTGAGTGTAGCCAGTGGAGATCTCCTGGCCCTAACAGGTGCCCACTCCCCACTGCTTCCTCCCTCCAAGGCCGGCTTGAGAAACCCTGCCGTTGTATGCAACGTCATGCTGCTGGAGGAGGCCACCAGGCTGACGGGCACCGCTATACATTCATGACCACGGGGCTCAGGGCAGCACTCAAACTGCCAGGCCCACGGGCTGGCTTTTCCGCTGTGCATCCCTGTTGGCAGCCTTCCTGCCTCTCCATAAACCGCCACTACTTCTCCCAACCCTTTCTTTTTAACTGACGACTATGTTATTTTATTTTTAAAAAACAGAAGGACCACACAGGCCCCATCTCTGCACCACTGAACCCACCAACCGGCCTGCTTCTTCGTGCGCCACACTGCTCCTGCCACCAAATGGTCGCCCTGGCCCTGTCCACACTGACCCTCTGCGTCTGCAACCAGCCGTGTCCTCTTCCTGCATTCAGTGAGTCTAGGACTTTCCCACCAGCGTGTGGACACGTGCTAACACCTCTCAAAAACCCTCAGCGGCGCCCCTGCAATTCTGCCTTTCCCTCTGCTTCCACCTAAGGCCAGAGTCCTTGAAGTGGTTGTCTGCCCTTCCACCCCCCCACCCCATCTTCCACTCAAGCCTGTCCAGCTGGGCGCTTGGCCCCGTGGCTTCCAGACAAACCCAGTGTGTCCCTATCTGGCACAAGCTCCTACATCAACATTTGATACGCTGGCATGTCCTTGTCTTGGCCTTGGCCCCACCTCCAGCCCCTGGTTTTGGCTCTTGATGGCCTCTTCCTCTGCCTGAGCTCTGCACACAGAAATGTCCCTCAGCTCAGTCCTGGGCCCATTCCTGGCCACCTCTGTGCTCTGTCCTGATCATCCAGTCTCGTGGTTGCAAAGACCAGCTACACACAGACAGTGTGCAAACTCTATCCCTACCCTGGCTTCTCTCCAGAACGTCAGACCCTTAACTCTGTCCTCTGGAACCTTGATTTGGATGTGAAAGCAGGTCAAACCTAACACGCCGAGCTGTTCCTTCCATTCTCTTGCCCTCAGTACGATGCATCACCATCCAACAACCACTGCAGCCAAGACCCAGCTGCTCCTTTTTCCCGATTCCTTCCATCTCCACTCTATGCCCAACCCTTCGTGCATCCTGGCAACTCTACCTCCAAAGCAGATCCTGCGTGCCCCTGTTTCTCTCCATCTCCAGGACTATTCCAGGGTCCAGAGCCCCCCACCTCCTGCCTGGCCGGCTGAGCCATTTCCCGACTACATTGCTTCCGTCCACACTTTCCCACAGAGTAGCCAGAAACATCTTTCATAAACGTAAAATGCAGCGTGCTCCTTGTGAGCTTAGGATTCCCCAGGGGTCTCCCATCTACAACTCAGGACAAAATCCAAACACCTGAAATCCTGTCCTATAAAGACTTACATCATCTGAGCCTCAACTCATTTCCTGAGCTGGTCTCCTGCTGTCCCCCCTCACACAGGCACACCGGCTTTAGTTCACTTCCTGAGGACAAGCCCCCACCTCGGGGGCACGGTTCCTTCTGCCTCCAGTGCTCTACCCTCTAAGCTCATTGGTCATTCATCTCTTTATTCACAGGGGGACTTCCCAGCCTGCTCCCTGACCACCCAGACTAAGTCACCACATGTCTGGGATGGGCACATTATATGGATGGATGGATTTCTTTGATCATCTGTCTCTCCTCAACAGAACAAGCCCCTTAGAACAAGAATTTCGTCTGCCTTGTCCACCGCTGCACCTGCATCACCTAGAACAGTGCCGGGCAGTCAATGCTCAGGAAATAGTTAGAGTGGCTATTAGAACAACCTTGTGAGGTACTCAGATTAATGTCCTTACTGTAAAAGAAAATTCTACATAGCTCACGGCTTTCAGAAGTGTGGGCACCCAGGGAACACAATCCTCGCTGTCTGGTAAAATAAAGCTGATAAACTCACCAGGAGGAATAAACAGATTTCTGGTATTTATTTACTAAAAGGATAGAACCCATTTCTCCTTAGAATGAAAGAATTGGCCAAAAACATAAATTTGCATCCTATGTGGAAATAATAGTCACTAATTAAAGACAATTGTCAGGATTTCTCTGAAATGAGCCCTGTTTTCCTGGCAGACCTGTAATTGATCCTTACTTGGTAAACTCTTTCTGGCAGGTGAGAAGCTCCATCAGGAAAAGTATACACGGTGGGTGGAAGCAATGAGGCCGTCCCAGGGACTCCGTGCAGTACTGAATGATCCTCAGGACCTCCAGGACGCTCTGAGCTTGAGCTTTCCTCAAGGCAAGAACCTTTACGACACTGAAGACAGAAGACAGGTCAGGGCCTCCGAGAGAACCCGCGATTGCAGCACGGAAATGCAGAGCTGCTCCTGGGAGGGCGGTCCTGCACCCGTCTGCTACGTTCAGTGCTCAGCATCAACAGGGACAGCTCATATCAACAGCCCAAACTAATTCATTAGTTAAAAAGGAACAGTGATTATTTCTACTGCCCCACAGAGACAAAGTTTTAATTCTTAAGGCAGGAAATTAAAACATGCAATACTTCTGGAGATGCAAGCACGCTGACAGATATTTTGTCAGAAAATCTCAAATCCTAAATTTATCCCAGGATTAAAATAAGACACATTGTAAATGGCATCCTCCAAAACAAATTTTTTTTTATCCTAGTAGTACCTTACTGAGATACAATTTACGTACAGTATAAGGTACAAACCTTCAGTGAAAAAATACTTCTTTACAAGAAAGAATCACCCAACTTCATCTTGAAGGTTCTAAAACAAATCCTGACCCCTCCCTCAGCATGAACGTGAAGCCCCTGACTGGCCCAGGGAGGGGAGGGCACTGTCCAGCTCACCTCTCATGAGAGAGGGACTGGTCCTTAATGAAGTCCAGGACATCCTTCAGCACGGGGTATTTCTCCTTCACGGTGGGCACGGGCCTGGCCTCCTCCACTGACCGGAAGGAGAGCAGTCGAAGTCGCCCTCGGGTGAAGGGAGGCCGCCGGGCAGGAGCGGAAGGTGAAGAGGGCTCTTCGGCAGTGGCAAAGGACACCTCAGTGGCAGGGGGGCCACCACTGGGCAGCAGCTTCAGCGGCACATCTGAGCTAGGACCCCCACTGCTTGCGGCAAGGGTGCCCGTGTCCACGGGAGACTCCGAGGCCTGGAAATGCTCCTCCACCACAGAGCTCGTCCTTGGGCACCTGTCGCAGGGCTGCAGGTGATCTGTTTCTACTGCAGCCACCAGCTTGTCACAGCTTTCTTTTGAACTTACTCCCATGGGCAAAAATCGTAGTAACAGAAGACTCTTCTGAATACACTCTTTTGCTAAATGCAGAAAGCAAAGAAAGCACGGAAAAAAGTCAAAATTCAACTTACTGTTTTTTTTTTTTTTTTAAAGACCTTATTTATTTATCCATGAGAGACACAGAGAGAGGCAGAGACACAGGCAGAGGGAGAAGCAGGCTCCCTGCGGGGAGCCTGATGCGGGACTTGATCCCAGGACCTGGGGATCATGCTCTGAGCCGAAGGCAGATGCTCAACCACTGAGCTGCCCAGATGTCCTAAAACTCTACAATTTAGGACAAGAAATACTTCCATTAAAAAAGTGGCATATGCATCTTCTGAGGAAAACAAACTTCTATGTCATATACAAATCAAAACTTTCCCAGCACTGTTTTCTTCCCTTTTTAAAAAAAAGATTTTATTTATTTATTTGAGAGAGAAGGAAGGAGAGAGTATACGTGAGTGAGGGGAGGAGTGGGGGTGGGGGGTGGTATGAGAATCTCCAGACTTCCTGCTGAGCAGCGAGCCCAACACAGGGTTTGGTCCCATGACCCTGGGATCACGACCTGAGCTAAAATCAAGAGTTGGCTGCTCAACTGAGCTACCCAGACGCCTCTATTGTGGAGATTTTCTAACATACAGAGAGAAAAGACTATAAGGACCCATCATGCACACCTGACCCTGTCTCCTTTCACCAGCCACCCTCTCCCTGGTTTATTGCCATGCAGATTGCAGGCATCACACTTTCATCTAAAAACTTCAGCATTTTTCTAAAATAGTAATAGTTTCTAACAGAACTATGATATCACTAAGATATTAACAGTAATTCCTTAATCTCACTGAATATTCAGTGAGAGCACACTTTAAAAACGTAACAAGAGGGGTTCCTGGGTGGTTCAGTTGGTGAAGCGTCTGCCTTTGGCTCAGGTCATCATCCCAGGGTCCTGGGATCAAGTCCCTCATTGAGCTGCCTGCTGAGCAGGGAGCCTGCTTCTCCCTCTCCTTCTGCCTGCCACTCCCCCTGCTTGTGCTAGAGCACTTTCTCTCTCTGTCAAATAAAATCTTTTTATTTTTTTATTTTAGTTTTTTTAAAGATTTTATTTATTTATTCGTGAGAGACACAGAGAGAAAGAGAGGCAGAGACACAGGCAGAGGGAGAAGCAGGCTCCATGCAGGGAGCCTGACGTGGGACTCGATCCCGGGTCTCTAGGATCATGCCCCGGGCCGAAGACAGCGCTAAACCGCTAAGCCACTGGGGCTGCCCTTTAAAAACAATTTTTAAAATATAAAAAACAAAAACACAACAAGATGTAGGTCAAAAGCACTTGATGCCTCTCACTTGTGAGACAAGTGCTCTGTTTGGATCATGTTACAAAACAGTGACTCTCTGGCATTTTCTATTTGTGACCCATCCGTAGAAACCACATATAGCTCCTGCAGTACTTTCCATAGGTCAACACACCTTCAACTAAAATCACCCCCAAGACAGGCCTCCGGTTTCCCAAGACATGTAACAGAAGGCTCAGCACACTCACCCAGGCTCTCAGGGTTCGCCTCGGCAGCTTCTGGGCCATGCTTTTCTTCTGCCTCATTCCCCAGGTTCATCAATGACTTCTGCTTCATCTCCAGCTGGGGGGCAAAGTTGGAGCCACACGATTACACTGTGGAGGGTGGACTGCATGAGCAGCCACACAAGGACTTCAAAGCACACAGCACGGACATCACAGAAAACTGTACAATTACTATCCCGCTGCTGAGGACATGGGGTGGAGCTGTGTGGTTTTTCCTAGAAGGAATCCAGGCTTTGAAGCAGTCTTCTTTTCAACTATGCATTGTCGGAGGCGGGGTGTGGGGGTGGGGGTACACCAGATCCTATTACTTAAAAAATCATGGGGCATCTGGGAGGCTTAGTCGGTTATGCGATCAACTCTTGATTTCAACTCCGGTCATGATCTCAGGGTCGTGAGATTAAGTACCCCATCAGGCTCCGGGCTCAGCAGGGAGTTTGCTTCCTCACCCTGCTCACACTCTCCCACTCTCTCAAACAAATAAATAAAATCTTAAAAAAAAAAAAAAAGTAGAACACTGGGGCTGGAGGGGCCCTTATCTAAAGCCGACCTGGTACAGACAGAGCAGAGGAGCTCTAGAGCAGTGCAGGGGCTGACTGGGGTTCCCCACCCAGGTTGGTACACACTGGACCACAATCTGATCTCCATTCTACCCTGTGTGAGGGGACCTGTGTAAGTGAGGCTGGGCCTGCCGGGCAGTGAGCAGTGCTCCTGGTAGCAGCACAGGTGATGGTCATGCTGTGCGCCACAGTGCTCATAGCCCAAGCACAAGCCATGTGTGACATCTGGGAGGCCAAGGTCTGAGAGAGAAGGCTGGCATTGCATTTAGCCATCGGCAGTCTGTCCTACCCTAAAGCAGAGGCACGATCTATGCTGTGCCTCGTCAACTGCCAAATTCTTCTGCTTCAAGCATCTGTGGTAGGCGGTTTTATCAGAATCTCTTTTTCTTAAACTGCTACTACTACCTTAGTGTCTCATCAACACTGGCCTGACCCTCCTTTTACCATTCTGACAACACCTTTTAGTTTCTCTCAGGAGACTCTGTCCATCTCGGTCTCCATCTACCTATCCTGTACGTACTGAGCACCAACTACGTTCTCATCATTGTGGTCCCTGGTCAAGCCTCTCTGGTTCCTGGGTAAACTCATACATTAAGAAACCCCATTGCCAGTGATCTGAAGCTACCTGTACCTCTGTTTTGACATTTCTGTGAAGCACCAGCCAGTTAGATTCTTCCAGGTTCACTGACTTCTCCAGCCTGGTGTCTCAGATCACCTGTGTGGCCCCAGAACAAATTCACCCCACCCTACTCCCAGATCAAAGGCCATTTCTCCAGTCTGGTCAACGCTTCCACCAAATGGGACAAGTCACCAAGCCGGGAATGTGGGAAGGGTCTTGGGACACACCACCGTGCACGACTCACTCCAGCCACAGAATCTGACCATCCTATACCCAGGAGCAGCCGCTGTGCTCATCTAAGAACTGCGGCTGGTCTCCTGCTCTCAAGTTCATTGCCCATCCTCTCCATTACTTCATGACTCCTCCCCATTCCTACACAGCACTCAAGATGATTGTGAATACCGGGACCATAATGAAAATACATAGGGATTCTTCTCCACGCTCAAGAAAAAAAAATGATTCTCCTGAGTTTGATGTTCATCATTTCCATGACTTTGTATACTTTTACTACCTACTTATATACCTAACACGACACAGATTTGGGCTGTGTGTAAACTTTACACAAGATAAAACGTATTCATGGGTTCCTCTAGGACTGGCTTCTGCTCATCATGTGTGAGCTCACACACACACTTCACCTCCTTCACTCTCACTACAGGACAGCATCGTACAAATCACCTCACATGGTAGCGTCGTATTGCACAGTAACACAACTTACTGTTTCTCTGCTCATCCTACTCATGGACATGTTCCTCCATGGCATGGCTGCAATAAGCAACGCTACAGAACTACATTTCTACAATGTAGGAAGGCCTCTCCTTGGAGAGCAGCCTCACACCCACCTAAAGCCATCAGCGCCTGCCCAGTACTTACAGCAAAATTTTCCCTCCCAGTTGAAGAGGTCCCGCAGAGTGGCCTTGGGGTTGCTAACAGGTGTTAGGGGGCTCCAGGCATGCGCCCTGTTTTCTCTGAACATTCTCAGCACTCATACCACGATTTCAAGCATCCTACGTTATTTTAGAGCTTTTCGTGTCACTGAACTTTAGTTAAAAAAATTCCTAAAGTTATATCCTTGAGAAGAGAGCTACTTACCTTAACTGCATGAAACCATGGTGGGACAACTCAAAATACATAAAAATCTCAAAGCACATCTTACCATCCATACTCGGATCCCATCTGCCAAGCAATACACCTGTGCAAAGTCCTCGCTCAGGGCTGTGTTGCCTCCACTGTTTACTGGGGAAAGGAGAGACGATGAGATCATACTCAGTTAATTCGGTTCAGTAGTGCAACCTACACATAAAGTAGCTTCTAAATCTCCCAACACAGAGAAATAGTCTTTCCCCTGAGGCTCATACACCATGGGTGGTATGAGGCTTGGGGGGGCCGGGGGGGGGGGGATCAATTAAGTCACAAGTACCTGGCACAGGTTCTTTGTGTCACTGCAAACTAACTCTTTTCAAGTGAACATCTGAAATGGACATACTATTAAATGGAGTAAAATATTTAAAGTAAAAATATGAAAGTGAAAAAAAAGTAAAACAAAGATTATGTGCAGGTAAAAAATAATTACTGACATGAAGAAAGTTCATAGTATAAAGTAAAAAAGACTGTTTTTGAAACCATATAAACACAAAGTTACCTATTTAAAAAGAACATACATATTAAAAACATGATGTGTGTGTGTAAATATATGTATATGTATATATACACACATCTACGATGCATATACAGCTATATATACCACACAAATATGCCCATGTAAAAAGGCCAGGTAGATACACAGAAAAATGTTAACAGATGCACCCTTCAAGTGGTCAGATTATAACTGATAATTATATTAAGCTTTCCTGTACTTTGTAAGTTTCTACATGAATGGGTAATTTTTTCATGATTAGAAAAATAACAAAGTTGTTTAACATAAAGACCTCTGAGGCCCACTCCTTACTTGGCTTGTAAAAACCAGAGGATGATACACCAGAAAAGCGTGAAGCTCTCTGCAGACCCAATGCACAGTGCGAGGGCTGCTTTCTGTGCAGGTGTGAGGTACAGGGCTGCACCCCAGACACTCAAACACAGCACTGAGAAGCTCAAGCAGCTCCACCCGGCAGGACTCACAAACAGCTCTGGAGCACGCAGACCAGCTGTGCTTCCAAAGCCCCAGTGGCAGGTTATTCTGGAAACAACCTGTATTCAGCCAAGTGTTTCTAGTTTCCACATCAGACTGTGTGTCTCGCCCCTGAAATTAGGGATGTGATACAGGAACATAATCTGAAAAGAAGCTGGGAGCTCGCCACCAGCCAGAAACTTTGTTTCTCAGCTTTAACTCGCAAGGTTTTCATCTATCTCCTGAGAATTCCCACAGGTAAACAACAATAAAGACTGCACAGGTCTCTTGCTATAATTTGATCATGAAAACATATATTGGATTTCTTTAAAAACCTGGCAGGTCAAAAAACAAAACAAAACAAAACAAAAAACCTGGCAGATCCTCCACTCCCTGGCAGAGACACACTCTTCCATAGAACACTTGTTTTCATAAACCACTCATGCCTCAATATAGGTTTTATCTGAGCAGCTTCTTCAAGGAAATAGTAAAGCTTGGGAAGCAGGATTAATGGAGATGTTTTAGAAATTGGGAAATAAACTCTGCAATGTGAGACCTAAAGACCTCAGTGGCACAAGGCAGCAATGGTCGTCACTGTAATAATTACCATCTGCTCCTCACATCTGCATCATGGAAAGAACACACACCCCGCCAAAATGCTTGGGAAAAGCCCTATCTCATTCCTAAGTAGGGTCTATAATGTTTCCCCGTGAGAGATGATGAGGAGAGAGAGGCCGTCCCTCCTGTGGTTCCTGCAGCCTGCTGGCGAGACACACACACACACACACACACACACACACACACACACACACACACACGCACGCGCGCCGTAGCAGAGGCATCTCTCTGGGGGGATGGGAGGAACAGAAATGGTGGGGAGCAGGCTACCAACCAGGAAGCGTATAAAAGCTACAAGGCTTTAAACTAAAGCTAAGAGTGAAGACGTTTCCTTCCTTGGCTATTAGCATACTGAATCACCTAAACAACTAAGGGTTTAACCGGCATCTGTGAGAAGGGTAGAGCTTCCAACTCCCAAGTTTACAGACATAGGTATGAAGGTGCAGAGAGCTCGTTTGATCAACCTGAAGCTGCACAACTTCTAGTTTTTGCCTGAGACTATAACCCAAGTTACAGTCTCCTTCTGTTAAACTTCTGGGCAGTTTTCCACAAGAATTTTGGAGTAAGAAGTGACCTGGTTAGGAAACTCAAGGCTACCTGCCATAGAGGACAATCCACTAACTATAAACTAGTCACGAATCTTCTGACTGGCAGAGTAGGACTTAACCAGATGAGTTCTACAGTTGTAGAAATGTTTGTTTTAAAATGTTCACAAAAGATAGGCTTTCTTAAAACTTAGCAACTGGCCTTCAGATCAGAAATATTCCCTGTAGTATAAGTTACCATATTTTTGCAGCTTCTCATATAAGCCTGGAGTACGACACACCAGAGCAGCAAAGGTGGCGTTCACAGCTTGATCAATAGTGGAACCAGCAACTATATCTGTCTTTGGGGCCTGTTTTCTACATGCCTGTATGAATCCTTTGAAAAGTTCTGAAAATGGCCCACAGAAGTTCTGGGCAGGGTCTGACTGTGCAAACTCAAGAAGAAAGTGGTGGCAGGGATCATCGGGGATGTTCTTGACCTGGAAAAAAACAACACATACGTTTAACACAGTCATTCTAACAACAAAGCTCATGGGACACCGACTAAGCCTAAGCAGGACAGTAACCAGACAGATATGTGGATTTAAAGACAAGGCAAACCTAAATAAAACACCTAAGAACATGAACAATAGCGCCACTGCAGAACAGAAGGTACCCGAGGGCCAAGTGCCAGGAGGCATTGGCCCGTGCTGGGAGCTGGTGGGAGAGAGCTCCTGACAGGCTCTGGTGGTAAAGAGAAGCCTCCTGGAGGGTGTGGGCTTTGGGCTGGACCCTGAACACTGAGCAGCTCTGCCCAATGAGGAACAAAATCGTGAGCAGAAATTAGGATTCGGTGGAGATGCTGACCCGGCCTGAGGTGTAGCTGGGGAGTGGTGGGAACTAGAGGCAGAGAGGTAAGGCGAAAGGACACTGGACAGAGCTCAGCCACCACCCTGAGGAGCCCAGACTTCACCCTGTGGGCAACGGGAGCCATGAATGGTGCTTGGCGGCAGGTTAACAAGGTATTCGGTGGTTAAAAACCCCTAGTAGGTCCCAAGGTAACCTTGCACACTGCAAGTGCAGGAAGAGGGCCTGGAGGAAGATGCAGTCAGGGGAGACGGGAGGAGCTGGATGCACCCCAGGAAAGTCCATGGAGTGGCGGCCAACTGGGCAGGAGAAATGAGAACAAGATGGGGAGCCATGGTTCAGCACCAAGGAACACAGGACGCACAGTGACAGCAGCAAGTGGCCAGGGAAGGGACACGTCCTGGCTTGCCACTCCAGACAGACTACCTAATGGGAGGACAGAGACACAGGAGTGGAGCCCAAGAAGCACCGGGGCTCCAGACAGAGGCGCAGGGAGGTTCTACACAAGTGTAACAGCACAAGAGAGGGGACAGGATAAAGTGTCGGCAGCTGTGGGACAGGGGAGAGAGCCCGAGGAAAGCCTACTTTCCAGGGAGGAAGGGGATGAGGCCCAGCAAGGAGGCCAGGGTGCAGCTGGAGAAGACAGCGGGCCACACGGAGCCAGAGCAAGGCAGGGTGTGAGGGAGCCAAACATAACAGAGGCCATGGAAGAGCCCCTGATTCTTGGCTGCCCTGAGTGACGTGGCCAAGGGAAGGAGCCAGATCAGAGTGCAGGGCAGAGACGGAGACAGGGGGAACGGAACAGAGACCATGGGCAGACCTGTCCAGCCCAGGCAGGGTGCTGCTGTTCCATGGGGAACAGAAGGTGCAGCATGAACCGTTAACTCAGCAGGTGCTGGGAACACACTCACTGGACCCATCCAGCGACCTAGCCAGATTTCCTGAGCACTTACTGCTCGCTGGGTCTGAACACCACTGCAACTGGCACCTGCCACATGTGATGCGGATACCACATGAACAAGGGATGGCATGTGCCATCAGAGCGCCAACAGCTGAGGGGGGTGAAGATGACGCAAACACAAGGGTTCGTCACTGGGAGCAGGAGCCATCAGCAAACAGACTGCGCTCCAAGGAGAAAGACATAAATACCTCCTTACTATCCTGGTGCAGGTGCGTGGGCCAGCTCACTGCTAATCCCAACTCTGGACTCAACTGATGCCTGAAAACAGGTTTCCACAGCGGAGAGTTCAGGACCAACGCCATTTTTGCTGGAGCCACTGCCATGTCGTCTCCAAACTCTGGAAAGAGAAGGTGGCTGGTGAGAGCCCCATGCTTTCCCTGGGACCCTAAGGTTGGTGGGCCAACCAAAAGAAGGTCTCGACTATGTGGGCATCCTGCGGACGTGCAGGGTATCCACCCCCACCTGCCAGCACAGAGCTAGCTGTGCTGCTTCATGGACATGCACCCCAAACGCACCCCCACCAAGAGGGTGCCCGGAAGCGTGGCCCTACTGTGGGACAGCCTGTCACAGGCACCCCTGCAATCCCGGTCAGGTAGATGAAGGGATGTGAGGGCCACCACCAGGGAGTAACTGCAGGCTGGGCACACGTGCTCAATGATGGAGAAGTTTTTGCAATTCATAAACTTACGTTTGTTAAAAAAAAAAAAAAAAAGAAGAAGAAGAAGAATTAAACACCCACCCACACGTGTTTATGACTAGATAGCAAAGACTAGATGGGAATATGTGAAAATGTTAAGTGTTAGCACCAGGAATGGCTCTTCTCCTTGATCTTTCTCCATCATGCAATTTCTATATTTTCCTTTTACAGACAAAAAATCTCCAGAAATGAAACAAGACATACTAGAAAGTTTCATTCTATAGTTCTTGCTTCTTGGATGCACTTAATAACTAAGTTGAAAAAAACCACTTTAAGACAAAATCCAAAAAAAACCCAAAAAAGACAAAATCCAAGTTTCCATATTTAACATAAGTATTCATGTGATTAAAGGATATACGCTTTATTCTATTTCTGCCTTCTAAATGTCACTAACACAAAGAGATGACCATGCTGCTAAAAACCAGCCCCTGCCCAGGCTGCGCTCCAGACAGGGGAGCCTAAGCACCCTCAGGGGTACATGCCCAAGTGTGTGTCAAGACGCTTCAGGGCAACAGCGCTGAGCAGACGCCGTGCAGGGTCTGGTGCACAGGGCCTGCAAGGGCGCCCTGTACACGCCTCCACCCTGCCCTTGTGTGGAGCCAATGCGCCTGAGACTCACGGTGCGCAGACTTGAGCGCCATGCACTGGGCAGCGAGGCGTCCCATCAGCCGGCAAACGAGCAGCTGTAAATCCAGGGCCCAGGACACGGCCACATCGGGCAGGCCATAGGCGGTGACGGTGAATTTGTAACCCCACTCATTGTTACTGCTGTCAGAGTGAAAGAGGAACTGCAGCCGGGGGCCAGCCTTGAAGATCACTTTCTAGAGACAAGCACAAAAGCCATGAAGTGGAACGCACCGGAGAGGCGCACCCGCAGCAGCAAGCACATCCTTCAAGATTCAATCATTCTATGTTTACACCCGGTCTGCCTTCCAGCCGCACTGTCTCAGCTTGCCCACCCTGCTGAGAGAAGGAGGGATGGACGAAGGAGCAGCTGAAACAGTCCACGATGGCACCGCGTGAAGCAGCAGTTGTGGCAGTTCTGTCACCTGTGGACACCCACCTGTCCACTTCCTGCTCATCCAGGAACAGGGCTTGTGTCCCCCTGCTGCTCCCCGCCAAGATCACCAATGGCAGAGTGCGCCAACAGCAGGGAGTGGCACTTGGCTCCATGCCCTGGAGACCTGGCAGGCCTCAAGTGGGCACTGCTGCCCCCCCCCACATACTGGGGGCCCCCTGGGCCCGGCCCTTCCACACTAAGGGCCACTACTCCCCCATTCACACTGGGCACTGTGACACAAACCAGGGATTGGTCAATGTTCCTGTAAACAACCAGACAGGAAGTCATTAGACCCCTGGGGCCATCTGGTCTCTGCAGTGACCATTCAAGTTGGCCCCACAGTGCCCGAGCAGCGAGATGACACATCAAGGGAATGGAGATAAGTAACTGTATCTACGAGACAAGTGGCCGGCAGTCCTGTACGAACCAACATCAGCTCTTCCTTTTACCAAAGTGCGACAGAAATGGTTCCCTCGTGGACCATGCCCCACCCCCGGGGACCAACGGCGAGGAGAGCCAGTGCAGAGGGGCAGGCATCACTGGTGCTGGGAGCACCACTTACCCTGGGCCACTTCTCAGTGCCAACTTTGGTGTCATAGCGTGTTTTCCCGCCTCTAGCGTCAGTGAACTCCAAATAATCGTACCTGGGGAGGCATAATGTCTGTCACTGTCCTCCTCTCGCTTTCACCCACTGTGGCTCAGGGAGAGAACATTTGAGTCTTACCTCTTCTCAGTCTCACAGCGCTCATCAAATTCTACCTCAAAGTAGGTTGCCCCAGGGCTGATGAAGACAGACACCTCATGGCAATTGTTCTCATAGTTGTGGGCAGACTCCTTGGTCCAGGTGTGTAATACCACAGGACACTCCTGCTGCCAAGTGTCTTCATCAAGCTACACACACAAATGAGTCAAGAAGGCAAACTCCCGTCACTCTGTGTGGGCCACAGAGAAAACCGTGCTTGCGTCAGCGCTGTGGACGGGCAGCCCATACATGGGACGCAGATGGTCACACGGGCTAGCAGCCTCCCCACTGCTCTGTCTGCATACACAGCTCAACACACACTGAACCCTTGGCAGGGGACACTGGGCTCCGCAGTACACGACAGGATCCCCAGAGTGAGCTCCTGGTTCTGGCCATGACTGAGCTATTTCTTTAAATCACCACAGTCATGAATTTCCAAATTTCAGTGGAAAAAACACTGAATTTTGGACCCTGGCAAATCTGAGCCCATCATCTCCCTTGTCCACTTTGAGTCCTTGCTTTATTCCTTTACAACAGGCTTCACAGCTTATGCCCTTTCTATTCCCACACAGTTGTCTGAGACTCAATAGCAAAGAATCTCTGTACCCTGGATCCTTTTAGTTTGTCTTTCGCCATATATTCTCTTTTCTGGACTTCAATCTGGTCATTCGCTACATGGTTTCACACACATTCATGCACCGTTAAGAGGAGACAGACCTCCACATGGCTTCCGTCCTAACGCTGACCACGCCGGTCAGCTCGGGCTGTCGCTGCCCTCTGCCAGCAAACCCCTGCTAGAACTCGGGGGCTCCCCGCAACCTCTCTGGGTCTGCACTGCGCTGTACAGGTCACTCAGACACCCGGGTTACCTTGTCTGGCTCTCCTGTGGGGTCCGCGCAGAGCTGCTTTAACAGTTCTGTCAGTGTACTGAACTCTCGCAGGAGAGCACAGTGTGAAATGTCTAAAGTGCAAAAGTCCAGCAGGAAGATCACCTAGGGGGAGATTGACAAGGCACTCAGCACCTGCCTTGGGCTCTGCCTGGGGTCAGAGGTCACCACCTCTCCTCCCGCACAAAGGCTGTAGCCGCATCTTACCAGTTGACGAGCTGCCATCGAAAACACCGAATTACACAGTTTCTCTACAATGGTTTGTCCACTATACTGTGACAAAAGGGATTCCAGAATCACTCTCGTGCTTGCCACAAACTGTCCCACATCTATCGAGACATAAAGACAGTAATTAACATGATAGGTGGTGAAAAACACCACCGGCTTGGTCATCCTCGAGGACAAAACTGGAGAGGGTCCCAGACCAAGCACCATGTGAGAAAGACCTTGGAACCACGAAGAGTCACAGATCGGTTTTCCTCTGGGAGGAAAGGAGTGCAAATCTCTTGGTCTTTGCTACTTTGGGATGAAGCAGAGAGCGCAGCCCTTGTGTAGGTGAAGCTGTCGGCTGAGCGGCCCGGTGGCCAGGCTGGGGGCTCCCTGTGCTCACAGGGGCCCGTGTTCAGTGGGCAGCCCACAGGCTGAGCCACAGGAGCCAGGGCTCGGTGCCGTCAGCCGGTGTCTCACTACTGAGACCAAATGTGATGGGATTTCCCACCTGTGCAGCTCTCAGACCCTAAGAAAGGTCACAGAACTTTCTGTGGGTTTACTGGACACGAGTATGAGGATTTTCAGGCTCTGAAATGACCAAAGCAGTGCTCACCTATACCTTAGATTTTATTTTTTTAAATATTTTATTTATTTATTCATAAAAGATACAGAGGGAGAGATAGAAAAGCAGAGACACAGGCAGAGAAGATAAGCAGGCTCCATGCAGGGAACCCGACGTGGGACTCAATCCCGGGTCTCCAGGATTACACCCTGGGCTGAAGGCAGCACTAAACCGCTAAGCCACCTGCGCTGCCCTACCTTAGATTTTAAAAGAAAAGACTTTCTTTTTTGGATAAGTCGATTAGAGCTGGGATGACAGGCTCTAGTGAAGAGTGTGGCATTCCCCTCTACGTGCTGCATCCCCTCGGGCTGTGAAGTCACCCGACCTCATGATGAAACTCCTAGGCTGATCACAGTCAGCAGAACACTGGGCAAAAACACGTGTACAGCTTCCCATTTTAGGAAGAAAAAACATCCCAGAGACATAGAAGAACAAACCCCATGTGCACCGCATGCACAAGGCATTAAAGGAGAGAGCCACGCCCAGACACCTCTCTGTGCTGGCGGGTTCATGACGCCAGGTGCTGACACTCACAATGGTCAATGAGGTGGGCGGCGAGACCCCGGGCTCCCGCGTCGGTGCTCTTCAGCTGCAGGTAGCACCAGGAGAGCAGGCTGCCCTGGACGGCCCAGAACAGGGAGAAGAGCACGGAGCTGGGCCGTCCCTGGGCCCTGGTGAGCAGCAGGAGCTCACACTACGAGGAAGGAGACAGAGAGCATTTACAGCAAGGCCTTCCAGGATGCAGGCAAGGGCTCCTGACCCACAGCCATCCAAGGGAGCGGGGATGGGAAGAAGGGATGGAGAGAGTGGGCGTGCAGGAGCCCTGTCACCCCCCATGCCCTGGAAGCCTCCCAGAAGGCCTGCGCTGCCTGTGTCCTCCTCTTCCACCCCTTGGGGGCTCGTCCCACAGTTACCTCCTCCCTCTTCCACCTGCAAGTCCCCTTTCTCTCTGGCTCCAGCCGCACCCACCCCACCTTTAAAGTCCTTCCACATCCTCCGTGACTCTCCCACTATCAGCTTCTCTCTCCTGAAGCTCTCTCCAGATCCACCTGACCTCGGTGGGAAATTCTTACACAAAAGAACCACGGAATACGTTCCTACCACAATTTCCGCTTAACCTCCCCCACCTGGAAACAATCTAATTACCCCTCCAAAGTAAACCAGGTTCGCCATGGCAGGTGTAGGGAGCCCTGACTGCCAGCGACAGGTCAGCACAGACAAGCCTCAAAAAGCACCGTGGAGTGCAAACAGCACATCCCCAAAGACTGTGTACCCTGTGACCCTGTGGACCTGACACCAGGCAAAATCAGCCTGCAATGTAGGAAACGCTCGAGAAAACAGGTTCAGATAAATTGGAGGGGTGGCTGCCGCCAGGAGGAAGGAGAGTGAGCTGCAGGCAGGCATGTAGCTAGCCAGGTGGTTCCCTGTACCACCTGTAGGTCCTACTCTCCTGTACATGAGCTCCATCCCACTAAGACACCTGCGGCTTCTATGCATTAGCCCTTCCCTCCTGGCCACCCCCTGCTGCCGCTCGCTGACCCGGTTCCCCAAGGCCACCGCTCCCACCCAGAGCACACAACCTCAGTACCCGACCATGAGATCAGTGGCTCTCCCTTCCCTGTGCTTCCCAAAACTCCTTTTTCCTGAGACTTGCGGCTCCCAGGAAGCCTTGCTGCCCTCCTGCCTTTCCAGTGAGATGGTCCTCGGATGCCCACAGGTGAGGAGGGGCCCCTGGCTGTGGCTTCGAATCTCAGCCGCTGGTCAGTAGCTGCCAGATGCATAGCACTGAGTCCACTCTTGAGCACCCAGAGCTCCCGCCACCTGGAGGCCCCCAGAGCCGCCAAGTCAGCCTATCTCAAGTCGGCCCACAGTCATCCTCCTCTGCAAACACCCGGCTCTCCCCGTCTTGTCACTGGCCTTATGCACACGTGCAAGTACGGGAGGTGGCCTAAATACAGATGGGGCACGGCTAATGGGACGCAGAGTTTCAAAGAAGATAGAGATGGGACAGTATGCAGACAAGACCGGATGCAAAGTCACTAGAGCCCTGAGTGACAGCAGCCATAGAGCACTCCGCACAGGTGAGGCTGACACAGCACGGCACCCTAAAGGACGCGGGTGTCACGGTGGGATAGAGACCACCCTGGATTGAAAGCCATATGAAGTGGCCAGCCCGTAGGGTGACCCTGGCAAACGACATGCTGGTGCACTCAAAGATGTCTCTCCAAGAGCAAAGTAGCCAGAATGAATGAAACTGTGTCTCTGGTGGCACCTGAAAGCAGGAAAGCACTAAAACCAAGACCAAGACTCAAATAAAGTTCAGCCACAGGAAAAGTTCTGTCATCCAAAGCCTCAAGGGTGTCGTCTGTCCCCATGTCGCACATCCCCTGGCCATGGGGGTCCTGTCCTATCAGAGTCCCGGGCACGTGCGCTAGAACACAGACCCCTAATCCCATCCCCAGAAGTTCTACACCAGGAGCCCGGGCCGGGCCCTGGAAACCCAAATTTCTGTCCAAATACACCAGCTGATTTGGATCCAGATGACACATGGACTACATCTTGAGAAACAATCCTTCATGTTAAAAAGAATAAAGTAACAATTTGGAAATCTCATTACCACAGAAGAAAAGACACCATCTCTCCAGACTTGATTTACCTGAGGATTTACTAAGCAATCTTACACTTTCCTCAGAACTCACACCACAGACACATGCCCAAACGTCGGGCTCTGTAGCCATACCACAGACCCCCTCATCTTCTGCACAGAAGTCTCCACGAGCATCCACACATCTACTGCTCACTGGTGACACAGAACAGGGCAGCGTGCCTCACTCGCCATCAGAGCGGGAGAGGAGCCGCGGTGGGCTGCGGAGCATCAGTGCCCATCCGTCACAGCTGTGGGGACAAAGCTACATCCACACTGTGACTGATCACCAGACCACGAGGTGAAGGAGGAAGGACGGAAGCAGAGCTACCCCCAGTTACCTCTCGAGCAGCAACGGACAGGAGGGTGCTCATGACAGCCAGAACTTCGCTGCTGTTCATGTCGGCCAGGTTACCTTTCTCAGGCAAGAGCAGAAGACCACCTGGATCCTTGTCACTGCAAGTACACACATCTGTCAGGACACCTTGTTCAGGCAGGCGTTTTCACACTTTTACCTCAAAAAAGTTATTTTTTATTCCAAAAAAGAACCTAGCAGGATTTCAGTGCCAGTTTTCAGGAAGGTGAGGGGTCTGGGTCAGGAAAAGGCCACGTCCCAGCAGGGTCTATGCCACCCTCTGTCCCCATGTCCTTAAAAGCAAAGCCCGTAAACCCTCAAGTCCTAGGAGGAGATTCTGAGAAGTCAATCTGATGAACCTTGACCGTAAGCAAGATGTCATGCTGGCGAACGTAACAACCCAGGCTGAACCTCCTCTGTCTCCAAACGCCCTCCACAAGAGCTCCGCGGCTCTCTCTCGGCCCTCGACCCACAAGTCCAGGCACCCTTCAACAGCCCTCACATGGCCCTCCAGTCTGCTCTTGCACCAGCTACAGGCAGAGGTGCAGACAGTAGCCTGGGCAATTAGTTCCCTCCTTCTTCAAGAGCCTATTCCTGCGGTACCACAGCCTACATGCCCATTGGCTGCTTTGCTAGCCAAAGCTCGTACAAATCTCCAAGTCAGCCCCTTTCCTTCCTTTGCTCAACTACCCTTCTGTGCATCTGGGTTTTCAGACCTGGGTAGAGGACTGCAACTCCTCTGGCTTCAGTTTGTGTCTTCAGACATCACTTAGAATCTGAAGTGCTCAGAGATCCTCAGCGAGTTCTATTCCAAACGGTCTCATGAGGACTGGGACTTGGATTAAACTCCTGACAAGATTATTTTAGTTCTAGTCATCGCTGTGACTGGTGGTAGCTCACTCTAGAAACCTGGCTGAGCAAACAGGAGGGACAGCTAAAGAAAACTCTGCAAAGATCTGAGCTATTACACAACCTAAAACAACGATGAACTTACCTAAAATAGGTGCATAGTGACTGGAAAGTGAGCTGCTGGGACTGCTTGTGTTCCTGCTCGGTGACATTCTTCTAGAAAACAAGGAAGAGCACGATCAGAGGATCTGCTCCACAACACTCCAGAGAGTGGGGGAGCATGCACTGGCCACTGTTCCCAAGTGAGAGGAAAGCTGAAGTGGGCACATGCTTCATGGCGCTAGCTAAGAGCAGCCTGGTGCTCGGTGGAAGCACCCGTCTAAACAAGGCAGCAGGTTGACTTCTGTTCACTGCCAAAGTTAACATTTCCAAGCTTTCCTGCTGGAAATCTTGATGCCAACGCTAAGATGTGTGCTTTCCATCAATGGGTATGGTGTCGCAAGAGGAAAGGGCAGGGGTGTTTCTTGTGAGTGTTCTCTTGGTTTTTAAATAGATCAAAGCTTTTCCTCCACAAGCCAGAGCAGCCTGTGAGGACAGTTAACAGGAATCACGTTCTGACAAGACTACTGGGCTACTAGAGGGCACTTTCTGAATTCCATGAATGCACTGAACATGAACTGTTAGGTAAGGTGGTGGATTTCCAGAGACCTGAGCCCCGGGGCCCATCTGCACAGCTGTTCAGTCATCAGCATGAGACGGGAGGACCCTGACCACTGCCATCGGCAGGGAGAGGCCAGGGAATGTGACAGGGCTTCTCCACTAACAGAAGTGTCACATGAGAGGCTATATGCCTGTTCCTTTTCTGTGTGGAACACATGCTAGCCAAACCTATCATAGCTCAGCAGCCTGGTAAACAAGTCCAATGGGGTCCCACCCATAGTCCGGGGCACAGGCAGGCCACTGATGCTGTCCAACGTCATGGCTCCATGTGAAAGCTGATCCTCCAGGCTGATGTACAAACCCTGCAGAGCACTGAAAACTCCCCAAGATCCTTCCTCCTCTCAGGAACCACCCGCAATCACTTGCCCCATCATGATTCTCCTCTAAAAGTGGAATGCATCTTGGGCAGCCCTGGTGGCTCAGCAGTTTAGTGCTGCCTTCAGCCCTGGAGACCTGGGATCGAGTCCCATGTTGGGCTCCCTGCTCAGTGAGGAGTCTGCTTCTCCCTCTGCCTGTGTCTCTGCCTCTGTGTGTGTGTGTGTGTGTGTGTGTGTATCTCATGAATAAATAAATAAAATCTTAAAAAAAAAAAAACAAAGTGGAACACATCTGCGTTTTTTTTCCTTGTGGCAGGTGTCCCCAGCTGGGCTGTAGGCCTCGGGCACCAGAGGCCACATTTTATGCGATTGATCCCTCCTTTATTTCTTTCTACACATCCCACAGATCACTTTATTACATTTGCTAATTAGCTGTTGCATTTAGAAATGATTTTTCTTTTTTTTTAGAAATGCTTTTTAAAAATGCTGTATCTAGTTTTCTTCATCAAACTCTTACCAGTAATTCAACTGCTGGCTTGTCTACAGACAATAAAAAATAATCTATAACTGTATCACCTATAAAGAATTATTTCTTTTATCCTTTCCAACTGGTATGTTTATAATTTCTCTTCCTTGAGGCGCCTGGGTGGCCCAGTTGGTTGAATCTGCTTTCAACTCAGGTTCATGATCTCAGTTTAGCGCCGCCTTCAGCCCAGGGTGTGGTCCTAGAGAACCGGGATCAAGTCCCACGTCAGGCTCCCTGCTCAGTGGGGAGTCTGCTTCTCCCTCTCCTCCCCACTTGTGCTTTCTCCTACCATCTGTTTTTTTTAAATTTTTTTTTTTTTTTTTTTTTTTATTTATGATAGTCACAGAGAGAGAAAGAGAGAGAGGCAGAGACATAGGCAGATGGAGAAGCAGGCTCCATGCAGCGGGAGCCCGATATGGGATTCGATCCCGGGTCTCCAGGATCACGCCCTGGGCCAAAGGCAGGCGCCAAACCGCTGCGCCACCCAGGGATCCCCCATCTGTTTTTTTAAAAAATTTCTTTTCCTTGTCCTACCGCACTGGCCAGACCCTCTAATATGACATCATGGAGAAGCAGCGGCCAGTAAAAATCCTGTCTGCTTCCTCATTTTGAAAGAGATGCTTCTAGTGGCCCACTCACCCAGTATATAATTTATTAAAGGTTCATGTCCTCCACCGGTTGAGGGAGTCCCTTTCTTTCTGTTTTGGGTTTGCTAATGGTTTTACAGTTCTAATCACCCACAGAATTTAATCTTATTTATTTATTTATTATTTTTTTTAATCTTATTTAAATGTTTTCTTTATTTACTGACATACCTTCTTCCTCTGACTTCATTTACTAATTTTTAACCTTAAACCACCCTTGTGTTTCTAGGGTAAATTCAACTCTGTCAGGACTTTGTATTTTACTGAAGTGGTTTACTAATATTTTGTTAGTTTTTTCTAACTATGTTTACAAGTAAGACTGGCCTGTAATTCTGCTTCCTTGCTACTCTTTATGTTTCCCTGTGTTGCACCATCACTGGAACGCCAGGAACTCTGAATCTCCCTGACCTAGAAGTTTTCAGTGTGGTTTAGTGAGAGAAATTTTTAAGTTTTTATTTTTATTTTTTTTAATAATTTGAGAGATAAAGAGAAAAAGAGAACACATGTACCCAAACACATGGAAGGGGAGGGCAGGGAGAGGCACAACCAGACTCCAGGCTGAGCACAGAGCCCAACCGCAGAGAAAATTCTCCTTGTCTTACGTTATCATTAATTATCTTTCTCCATGTATCACACTCATTTTTCACACAGAAATACTGCCTTCGGAATGAAAAACCTGGATCTTTGTACAGGCTAGTCCACTTGGTAACATAATGCTTATAAATACCGAAAGCATATTTTACCGCCACTACTAATGTCTGAGTGATGAGGAGACGGTGTCTGCAAGGGCTGCATTTCATGACAGATATAATCTGAAATATTTATGAAGAGGTCAGGGATGGACTCTGAAATAATACTGCGGGAAGGGCAGGGAGAGCGTGGAAGACCCAGATCACAGATGAACAAGATTAGCCCAAGTTTACAGTCTAAGTGATGGGTACACAGGGGGCAGGAGGTATTGTATTTACTCTAGTTTTGTATTTTAGATTTCCCCACAATAAAAGATGAAAATGTTAAAAAGAATGCTTGTTGCAGGCGAATCACTAAAAGGGTGGAGACTGCACCCCGCTGTGGGAGCGCAGGCTCTGACCTTCTGTCCCCTCCTGCAGGGTGGTACTAGGTCCTCAGTGGTCTGTGTCCCACACTGCTCCACACATAGTGAGTATTACATACACATCTGGAAAACTGAAACTGAGGAGATACTTAGAGAAAATGAAGATGACTAATACATGTCATCCCCCAGACTTGTGATGCAAATGGTTACCATCATGGTGAAGAGATGGCTCCTCCGGCTCTGTCGATCAGGAAAAAAGACGGCAGCCCCACTGAGAAGGGTGTTCCTGACTTCTTGTTTTAATGTTTCCATGGGCACAGAGTCTCCGTCCACCCTATCCACCACTGAGGAAAATGAATAATGGACTCAGCTTTAATATTTCCCATCTACTCACTTTCAACACACACATGGGCTTTAAGTTGCCCACAAACTCCCTACTCCCTGTCGCGCAGAGAATGGTACCTCTGCACGGCAAGGCGGTATCAGGAAACCACACTCAACTAACACAGCGACCACACGTGCCAGGTTTCCTCTCATTATTTCCCTGTCCCTTTGAGACACGACCCGGCACAGCCCTGAAAGTACTGTCACGTGGCCAGGTGTGTGATCCCTGGCTCATCCTTACCCTCTGCCCTCCACCCAGCCCAGTGTCTTCACGACAGTCAATACTCTCAGGGTGACACACCCGTGTCAGAACCCAGGAGATAGAGTCATTAACGAGTGAATTCTCGGACAACTCACAACAAGATTCAAAGAAACACTCATTTCCCAAACCAGGGATCCCTCTCCTGGGTCTGTGTGATCACAGGACCCCTGTTCTCACAGCAAGAGGCCTGGAAGGTTGCCAGCACACAGTCTCATTCAAGAAGCCCAGTCCCTACCGTCGCATAAGTGTGCGTGGAGCTCCTTGGCAGCCCCCGCCCCTCCAGGGCTCTGCCGGGGAGCCTTGGCCTCCTCGGGGGTGGCTGGCCCGTCTCTCTGCAGCACTGACAAGCAGCTCTGCAGGAGCCGCAGAAGCAGGGTCTGGGCACAGATGCACTCTTCCCTCGGGCTACAGAAAGACAAAGGGTATCAGAGGGCAAAGAGGCAGGCTGCTTTTACCCTCCCAAGCCAGCAGCTGTCTAAGAGGGCTCTCCTCCACATGTCAGCACCGTACAAACAATGCCAACAAGAGGAAGAGAGGCAGGATGCAAAAAAGGACATCTTGGTAGGTAGAGTCTGAACACACAGACCCTGACGGCCTCTGTCCACAGTGGGGCAGAGACACACATTTCTGACCCTATGTCCTCATCTATAAAATGAGGGTACTACCACAATCCCTGACCTGCTTTCCCCACCAGGTTGTGATGGGAATCAGATGACAAAATGTTTGCAGAAACACTGCCCAAAGTACGTTACAGAAACGTGAGCTGTTACCTTTAATAATAACCAATTCTTTCAAATGAAAACAATATAAACTAGTGAGAAGTCTAAAAATCTTGGAAGAAAAAACTACATATGTAGAATGTAAAATAGTATTTTCACTTTTGTTTACAGGATTATCACCTTATAACAAATTCTGACCTACTTTTGCTTTAATTTACTATAAAAATTCCAGAAGATCTGCAAATCAAGACCCGCGAAGTCCAGAAAAGATTTATATTTTAAGCCACTTTCCTTCTGCTGCACCTAAAAAATTAGAAAAACCAGAAAAAATACAATGAAAAATGCACTCAGAGAAATATTGTAATGACTCATCTACTCCTCGATGTGAGCGGGTGAGGCAGCGCCACACATGCAGAATTCCCATTAGCCAGTACTAACGCTTCCCAACTCAGGAGCACCTGAACAACTACTCCTGGTGTGAAACTTTCCACAAGACCTGTGTGTGTGTGTGTGTGTGTGTGTGTGTGTGTGTGTGCGCGCGCGCGTGCACATATATGTAAGAACACATGTGTAAATGTATGCACACACAAACATACCCAGGAAGGCTCCCTGACCACCATACCCAGAGTGCCAGTGAGATTACACAGCATGCACTCTGACCCCTGGCTGCATGAGTCCTGCTCCAGTGTACCCGCGGCTCCAAACATCCCCATGATGAGCATTTGCTCATTTATGTGTTCTGCTGCCACCGGAGAACTTGAATAAAAGACCAAGCACACCAAAGGTAAACTGAGTCACAGCCCCCAAACACACCCTGATGAGTGCGAGAGGTTAAGTCGTGTTCTCCACGGTGACAATGGCAAGAAGCTTCCCTGGAGCAACTAGTCACTGTGTTTTCATGAGTGACTCTACAAGTCAGCATCAGAAACAACTGGTTTTAAATCCTGACATTTTGGTACCTTTATTGAACAAACCATTCACCTGCACTTCAGAAATAATTCTCCTAGTACTTAAAGGAGACAGGAATCCCATAAACCTGTTTTGTGTCCCTAGTCTACCTCTGGCAATCACAGCTGGGGTCTCTACGGTTGCCTGTAGTCTATTGTAGGAAGCCTCCCAGGGACACCATACGCCTCCATTGGTCCTTGATTCACTGACCCCCTTGGTGGCCAGCACCTCACTCCCCTGCTCTTCCAACATCATCACAGCAGCACAACGTTCACACCGCATGCTTCAAAAGGTCAGCTTTCACCGGTGGCTGTTCATTCCCTCAATGCCACCATTAGTTTTCCCCAAGGAACAAGGTTCAACAACTGAGGAAACACTACCAGGTCATGGGCAAGCTGCTGAGTGAACTGAAGCGTCCTGAGGAGTAGCGTGGTCCCGCAGACACTCTCCTCCCCATCCTTTCTGCAGTGGGCACAGACAATGTGCTGCTCCGCTTCCACTCGCTTCGGCCGGACATACCCACTAATGCTGAGACCTTGCACTCCCAAGCGCTCTGCCGACTCCTGACGGGTGCAGAGGAACTTCACCATCAAATACTAGGGAGGACAGAGAGATTTAAGGAGGACTCAGAAGCTGGAATACGAATGGGAGAGAGAGAAATGCCCTTCTGGGAAGGTCCCCCGAGGACTTTAATAATTAGGTTCCACTCTCCCTAGCACGGGGCACAAAACAGAAACCCAACATCTCAACAAACAGAAAAAAAAAGTTGTGCTGAATCGTGTCGGGCTTTGGGAAAGATCACAACAGGAAAAACAGCATTACTCCCTCTTCGCGGCATAGGGTAAAACAGGATGAATCAGAGACATATATCTGCTCTGTGGCCCAGTCATTTTGAAACAGAAACCAGGTATGTGGTAAAAACAGTCGACAAATGCCCTAAGGAAGCCCCCAACTAATATACAATACAACAATACAATAATACAACCATAGCCCAGGACACAGACTTGTCCGCTCAAAGACAAAGCCATTTTAAAGCCCGACTTGCGTGCAAACTCTCTGCGTCTTGCAGTAGAAGCTCCTTTGTCAAGAGCCATTCAGACTCCACTACTCGAAGGTATAAATACTTAACTGAACACCTACTACATATGAGCCCTAAAGATAGTTCTTATTTCTCTTATATTGAAGCTTCTAAGATTTACACTAAGGGTTAAAAAAATGAGGTAGCTGGATAATCACTGCTCCTTTCACAACCATGGAGACAATCTCTCGTGCGCTTAGGCCAGTGTGCTTTCTGCTTCCCAGCTGCAGACACCCTACCCCACACTCTCAGCCTGGCTGTGGGTGGGGACTTCATCGACTTTCAACACTTGGGAGCACACCACCTTTCCCAGGAAGCCTCCCCTAGTGAGCTCTGGGTGCAGTAAGACTCTCCTTCTCTGGGCCGTGACAGCCCCGTACATCCCTGTATGTGGCGTCTCATCCATCTGTGTCCCCGTGAGGGGCACAGTCATGGCCGATTTGGCTCTAGGGCTCTGGGGCTGGCACGGGGCTGGCACATGCTAACCACTCCATAAACACGGACAGAATAAAAGCAGGGAGTGGGCAAATGTGTGAAGGCCAAAACTCACTAATGCTTACTTTGGCAACTCTGCACTGCTGCAACTTGACATCTGCTTCATCCCATTCTTCTTCTAGCTCAAACCAGCCAATAGGGTCATCCTCGCCAAGGTCATCAGCTGAGCAACCAACCCTGTAAACACAATGGTAATCACAAAACATTTTCCTATTTCTACACTTCTCAAGGGTCTAACAAATAAAGCAGCATCTGAGTGGCACTGAATTGTATGTGTGGCCTGCAGTTAACAACCAGGGACAGGTTGTGGCACCTGGTGCCTCTAAGTGTGTGAAGTAGTTGGTGGTGATCCCCTCCCCATCCCTCAGCCTCCTTATCCGTGACATAGGAACCAGCACCAGTGCCAAATATAATCTAGGAACTAAAGAGGAAGTCTGTTTCTCTAGATAGCTGGCATATTTGAAGAATGAGACATGAAACCGAGGCATCGGAGATGAGCAACTCAGGAGGAAGGAACAATGCAACAACCACTGTGTGCTTCTAGAAGTATCCAAAGGAGAGACAGGTTCCATCGTTTTCTTTCCCTAGGTCTGGCTACTATATGGACGATGAGCCTGAGGTTCGGTGCACTTGCAACAACTGGAGGGTAAAAGCCAGGGAGCGTTCAGATCCTATAGCTCCAAAAAAGGAAACTGTCAGCCTCCAATTTTTTTCCTGTTCCTTAAAAGGTCCTTCCAGGGAAGCTAAAGGGAGCACAACTCCAGCCACTTCTGTTTACAAACCAGACATTTGAATTGTACTCCCTTTTCAGGAATTAAATAACCAAAGGAGAAAAAGACAGTCTTTTCAAGTCACATCTGTAAAACTTTCCAGTACTTATCCTGTAATATAGCTAGCAAGCTAGCTACACGTGTGTGTTCTGTGAGGACGAGCTAACATGGGCATGCACGGCAAGAAGATGTAAAGATTAAGGTCCTGAGTAGGTTCTGTAGCAGGGAGAAAAAAATGTTCTCCTCTTACCGTAAAAATTTCATGACATAATTAATCCTAAAAACCAATAGCACAGGTAGTATTCTGTCCTAACCCAAAACCATTTCATCAATATCACATTGGAAGATTTTTAAATTTGCTCTGTGGCAGCCATTAAGAAACTCTTTCAGAGAGAGAGACAGCTGGCTAGAGTCAGAGAGCACAGAGAAGCATCCTTGTTCACTACACCACACAGCAGGCAGAGGGCAGAAAAGAGAACTTCACCCTCCTAAGTATGCACAGTGCCAGTGGGCACAGGGGCAAGCTGACTTACCCACATCTGGCCAGAAGGACAGAAAAGAAAAGAAAAAGGAAGAAGATAGGTACGTGTACATTAACATTTTGATCTGCAAACTGGAGAGAGATTGATACCATGCAGGCCAACCAGACCAAGATTTCAGAGCAGTGCAGGCTGGAGCCAGAAGCTAAAATCAGCAAGGGAGTAGTGAATAGGCCTACATCTAGGGTAAAAGAAAGACCTACATAAGGGGTGAAAGATCTTATTTAACAGCAGGTTTAGGGAAAAAAACTTATTTTAATCTGTTCCAAGAATAGGACAGAGCTGCTTAAAAACAAGTATAATTTCTAGTTATCATCATCAAAAAAAAAAAAGGGGGGGAACCTTTTGAAAAATCATATACATATATGGTGGGGAGGAAGATTTTAGGAGTGAAGGGGACTTGTTCAAGTTCAGTTAGAGGCCTAGAATTAACAGTAGTGATCAACTGAACATAATCTAACCACTGAAGGGCAGTGAGTTCTCCAGCAGGAAGGGGATTCCAGAGGCTGAGCAACCATCGGTCAGGAATGCCACCAAACCAAGTCCAGCAGACAGAGAGAGTTGTTCTAGATCCATGCTATTCAAAGTGTGGTCCACGGGTGGGGAATGCCATCACCCAAGAGCTTCTTACCAGAGTCTCCACCCAGAACTACCAATCAGGATCCATGTTGAACACAGTCCTTGGGGACACGTACACACACCCAAGCTTGGCAACACAGTTCTGGATGACAGTTAAGGGCTTCTGGTAGTCTAGCACCCCGTCACCCAAGACAAGTCTGGGGCTCAGCTCTGTTAACTCACTGCTAGGAATGAGGGGGGCAAGGCTGCCTGAGGCTCACCAATGACCTCTGGGCTGAACCGGGCAGGTCCACTTGCAGACTTTATCCACCTGAGCCTGGGTAGCATGTGATACTGCTGCCCACTCTCTTCCTTTAGCATCACGGCCCTTGGCTTTGCGATGACACACGGGGGCCTCCCTGCTGCCTGTCAGCATGCTGAGCTATAGGGTCTCTCTTCTCTCCCAGGCCACATACTCTTCCAGAATCATCTAACTCACTTAAATCATCCTTTAAATGTCTCTCCTGTTGGTACCTTTCATACCTCTTCCCAGCTCCAACGCACATGTCCAATGAGCTGCCAAGTACTTCAAAGTCTGCTGAGACCTCAAGTTCAACAGAACCAACACAGAGCTCATCAGCTTCCCCAAAGACTGTTTCCCCAAGTCATTTTCTATAGAGAAGGACACTCCCAGTGGCCTCACCTGCCTAGTCCTAAGTTCCTGGCTCTCCCGGTGCCTGCGGCATCCTTACTCCTCTGCTCTACACTCAGTCACCTTCTGGTGGTCTCTCACTGGGCCACCACCTCCCCATCACTGACAGTGCTGCTGTGGTGAGGTGACCCCTGCCTCTGGCTTCCCCCTCCTACTCCATCCAGCTTCCATGCTGGCTCTCCCTGGCCACACACAACATGCAGTGTGACACAGAACAGTACTGGTAAGGCACACATCTGGTCTCCTTATTCTTCCCTCCATGCTAGCCCCCTATCCTTGCTTAGAGGATCAAGCCCAAGCCTTGACTCAGGCTGCCTTCCGGCCCTCTAGCTCCTGTCCCGCCACTCTCCACCTCACAGTACACTTCTGATACTTGCAAGTCCCTGAGCTCACCATACTTCACCCGAGTTCTCAAGTCTGCTCTGCTCTTTGCTCAGGATCTCTCCTTCCACTTCTTCCTGTGGCGGTTCCAAGGTATGTCGTCCTTTGTAGCTCTTTCTACAAACAACACTCGCTCCAGGGTCTTTCTTCCCAGAGCCCCCACCCCTCCTGCCCAGTGCTGACACTGTGAGCTGACAGTGAGCAACACAGAGCAGGGACCGTGCCGACGTGTTCACTGCATCTCTTTTGCACCCAGCATCAGGCTCAGGGCAGAGTCAGTGATTAAAAGTATCTCCAATAAAAGCATGATTAGGAGGGGGGAGGTTGGAGTATCAGTAAGCTTCCCAGTGACTAGGTAACACTCATGACAGTGCAGGCACGCATCAGTACCCAGCCATTCTGGAGATGCATATGCCTGGTTACAGAAGGGACCAAGTTAAGAATCTACAAGCAAATTACAACATGTTTTCACAGATACTGTTAGAAAGCAATGAATGTTCCTGACCACTGGGGATATCCAGGAGCAGCTCTTCCACAAAGATACGAAAGCATATTTTGCCAGTAAGAAAACACATATGGACTTATTAACTACAAAGATTTTTATTCTGTTCCTTACCTGCTCTTTACAAATTGCCTGAATTCCTGAAGCTTCCACTTGTCATATTTTTCAAACCTTTTGAAGTGTTCTTCGGCATGAAATTTTTCAGAAGATGAGTTATAGGCAAACACCAACCCACACTGGGCACCGATGCCACCACGTCGAACCTAGAAACAGAGATCTAGCTCAAATACATGGAAGGTACAAAAATCCTGTGGCTGTTTTGTTTCCAAATAACATGGTTAAATTCAAATGGCTTAAAGGGAAACTCAAAATGATATTTTGAATACATTAAGTCCTGGAAAAAATTAAAAAGCTGCTTCCTAAGAAGAGAGCCCTTATCTTTCTCAATCCTCATACTCACACATTCCCAGACAAAAATCTACTCATCTCTGTGCCCGGTGCTCCGCTACAGTCCTGGCATGGGATAATCACTCAGCGAGAGGTGAAAATCCAGTGACAGGGACTTGGAAACATGACTCTATGTTTAAAAATAGCAGTAACATTGCTTAAAAAGGGTAGCGTGAGAATTACCATAATCCTGATCTGTGTAACTTGGAAGGCAGATTCAGTTCCTGCAGAAAAAATGGTACTTGCTCTGGTCTTTCCCGTCTCTGTAAGAAACCCTGCAAAAGGAAGACACTGAAGTGAGGACGACTGACTCCCTTGTCATGACCCTAAGAACTAACGGAGAGTAGGGGGTCGGGGGTATAACTAGTCTACCTGGTATTTTCATAAAACTCAGGAAGAGAGCTCCCCTCTATATAGGTGCAAGCTCACTGCCAACCCCACCTAACAGCCTGTGGCCAGGCACGGCCTCCTCAGCACACAAGCTTCCCAACCACACTGGCAGCCCTGCTCTGAGGTAGCAATAAAGAGATATCAAATTTATACAGATTGTGACTTGAATTCAAACACACAAAAGATAGGACCGCCAGTCGTCTTTCCATGCCATTCCTAAACCTGCCTGATGCTTGACCAGGTTAAAGGCACGTGGGTCTAGAGGACAACGCAGGGATGATGGAACTTCAGGAACACTCTGGCAAGGAAAGACTGTGCAAGACTTTGACACAGGCAGAAACGCTGGCCACACTCTTTGCACTCCCTCCACCGTTCATGGTTTGTGAGCTACTCAACTCCATAAACCGTAGAATAAAGACAGTTGTGTGGACGGTTCTGTCTGCAGAAATAAAGACGGTGTTCTGTGGAAAGGTACCTGCTGAAGACTGATCAATGCTGCACCTACCTGCAGGTCCCTGTGGCATTCTTACTGTCTGTATGTGTCTTACGAATTCTCCTTTGAACTGTGCATAACACCTCCCTGGTCTCTCACTCATTAATGAGATAAACAGTGTAACCATCCACTTTAGATTTGTATGAATCATGGTTTACCTCTTTTGTTGCTATTATCCTTTAATAATCCACAAAAAGGTCTGTTACCAGACCCAAGGCTGTCTTTCTCTTTCAAACATCTGTAAATGATAAAATGCACACACATGCCCACATCAGCACCAACCACTCAATCAGGAACCATGAACTCGCCGTAAACCACTCCGCCTGCTCAAGACCCAAAGATTAAACCTGCCTCATGCTGCTGCCTTCATTACACTAAATTCAATAGACAAAAATGTTTGAAGTTGAATCCCCATGAGACAATATGCAAAAGTGTCACCAAAACTAAGAAAGTTAAACCCAAAGGAGCACAGTCTCATTCAGAGAAAGAAGAAGCTAGGGCAGGACCTAGTTCTGCGGAACAGTAACTACGTGGTAAGCGAGGAAGCCACACAGTAAGAAACCCACACAACTCACTTCCAGTAACCCTAATCTGTGAGCTGCTCTGCTGTGTGCTCAAGGCCTCCATTAACTGACCACCCGCACTGGCCATTTGTCTCAAAGGAGCTGAAGCGGTAACTACATTGAAAGAATCAGACACTTTTTATTTTTTTTATTTATTTTTTTATTATTTATGATAGTCACAGAGAGAGAGAGAAAGAGAGAGAGAGAGAGAGAGAGAGAGAGGCAGAGACACAGGCAGAGGGAGAAGCAGGCTCCATGCACCGGGAGCCCGATGTGGGACTCGATCCCGGGTTTCCAGGATCGCGCCCTGGGCCAAAGGCAGGCGCCAAACCACTGCACCACCCAGGGATCCCCCTGAATCAGACACTTTTTAAATGACATTGCCACCAAACACACATCGAAAGGTTTCTTCCAAAGCCTAAAAGGTGAATAAATAAAACTTTGTTCTTTCTTTCCTTGGTAAAAAAAAAAAAAAAAAAAAAAAAAAAACAGCTCATGTGATGTCCTACAGCTCGGTTTTTTTTTTTTAAAAGACTTTATTATTTATTCATGGGAGACAGAGAGGCACAGAACACAGGCAGAGGGAGAAGCAGGTTCCCTGTGGGGAGCCTAATGTGGGACTCGATCCCAGGACCCTGAGATCACGCCCTGAGCTGAAAGCAGATGCTCAATCCCTGAGACAGCTCCCTCTGTTTTGATATCATTCCCCTACTCACCCAATTTCTTTTCTTAAAATGACAGTAAATAAATAACAAATCACAGATTTAAAATATTTCACAAATCTACCCCTTCGTTCTGTCGGTAGCACCTGGTAGTCTTTTAGAATACGGGACAGGAAAGTAGGCCGTTCGGAGGGTCAGTGTGGGGGTTCTGGCACTCTGGGCGGCAAAAGGCACTTGTCCAGAGCGGCACTTTGTGTATTTGGGAAGCCTAAAGTCTACCAGGGAAAAGAGCCTCTTTCCCCGTAAAGGAAGAAAGAAATCACTCAAGACTCAGCTGTTCTGGCCGCAAGGACCTTCCCCTACCTGACCTATCTCCCCAGACTCACTTTCTGTAGTGAGCAACAGAGACCCAAACCTAGAGTTACAAGACACAGACCGTGATGGCCATGGAGTGAGCGACCAGGGGAAACCAAGGCTCACACACATCCCACCTGTGTACTTGTCAGAAACATAACCAAAATTACCAGCCCACCAACTACAACTATTTTACAAGATCCATCCACAGGAGGGAAGTGGAAGGGAGGGAGGGGCAGTGGGCAGAAGAGTCACAGGGAGAGTAACACAGTACTCAACTCTCATTCTACAAAAAAACGTGAGGTCCTTTTGGACTTTGACTAGAGTTATAAATCCATATACTGTTTTTTAAGATGCTGAAAATACTGTGTGGTATTATAATGATGGCTACATGTCACTATACATTTGTTTAACCTCCCAGAACATACAACATCAAGAGTGGACCCTAAAGGGGGTGCCTGGTGGGCACAATCATTTGGGCATCGACCTTGGATTTGGCTCAAGTTGTGATCTCAGGGTCGTGAGATCAAGCCCTGAGTCAGGCTCTCTGCTCAGTGCAGAGTTGGCTTCTCCCTCTCTGCCCCTTCACCTGACGTCCTCTCTCTCAAATACATAAATAAATAAATAAATCTTAAAAAAAAGAATAAAAAGAAAAAGAAAAGTGGATCCTAAGGTTACCTATGGACTTTGAGTGATTATAACATGTTGACATAAGCCCATCCTCAGTAAGAAAATGCCTCCCTCTGGAGTGACGCTCATCATGGGGGAGGCGGTGCATGGGGGAAGGGGTTATACAGGAATGCTGTGTGCCTTCCTCCAATTTTGCTATAAACTAAAACTGCTCTAAAGAAAAGTCTTAAATAAAAGAAGAATAGATGGGACATGATTTGAAATGGTAATAAAAGGGATGCCTGGGTGGCTCAGTGGTTGAGCACCTGCCTCTGGCTCAGGGCGTGATCCATGGTCTCAGGGTCGAGTCCCACATCGGGCTCCCTGCCTGGAGCCTGCTTCTCCCTCTGCCTACATCTCTGCCTTTCTCTCTCTGTGTCTTTCATGAATAAGTAAATAAAATCTTTAAAAAAAAGAAAGAGTAATAAAAGTAAAATAAAAAGATAAAATAAAACAGAGACTTTTCAGTGGATGATGATGAGAGTACAAGACAAATCCACCTATAGGTTATGAGAAGGTTCTGTCTTCTATGCTCTGGAGACAAAACTCCTGACTCTCCAGAGAGTGAAGAAAAATGCAGAGCCTTTGGCAGAGTGGTCTTGCCTGTCCTGGGTCAGGGAGGGAGGACAAGAGCCCACAGTGTGGTGGGGGAGTGAGCAGCCTGTGTGGCCCTTAGCAGGTGAAGGAAATGTTCCTGCAGAGGTTGCGCAGCAAGGGTCTGTGGCCTGTAAAGTCCACCAGGGAGAGGAAGCGGCCTTAGCAGAAGCACACAGGGGATAGAACAGAGGAGAGGCGACCGCCAAGAACGCAGGTGTCCGTGAGGAAGGCTCAGGAGAAAGCAAATTCAAAGCAGGAGGGCAATTCGTGCCAGTGTTTGATGGCTGCCAGCACATTTCCCTTCCTGGGCTGAATTAGCCATGTTCCCAACAGTCCACTTACCCTACGGGGGCACACGCAGGAAGTGAGCCAGTTGGCCAACAAGACGGATGAGGAGAGCCTCACCGACACCCTGGGACAAGGCAAAGGGCCCACACCACGTGAGAGAGAGCCTTCACAGCTCTGTGTTGGTACCAAGTGAAGACTGAGGCTTTCTTCCAGACATTCCAGATCCAGGTGAGCCATACTGAGATAGACCCTTCCCCTTAACTATCTTTTCAGCAATATGCTTCGGACCTGCTGAGGGTTTTTTTTAAAATTAATTAATTAATTAATTAATTAATTAATTAATCTATCTATCTATCTATCTATCTATCCATCCATCCATCCATCCATCCATCCCTGCTGAGGTTTTTAATGCTTTAGGACAACACAATAGAAAAATCATCTGAATTTAAAAATGGTGACTTTGGGATGCCTGGGGGGCTCAGCAGTTGAGCGTCTGCTTTCAGCTCGGGGCATGACCCTGAGGTCCTGGGATCAAGTCCCTCACTGGGCTCCCCACAGGGAGCCTGCTTCTCCCTCTGCCTGTGTCTCTGCCCCTCTCTCTGTGCCTCTCATGAATAAAAAAAATAAAATCTTTAAAAACAATCAATTTTTTAAAATGGTGACTTTTTAGATTCCAAAAGGAAGAGTCCTCGCTTTTCAAAATCGGAGGGCTCAAGTATATGCAAGCCATTACATGTGACTGACACCAAGCGGGATACCCGGGCTGCCCTACAGAAGGCACAGATGGTTCTAGAACCACTGCCTTATGAAGGCCGACCTGGTGCACAGCCTACATGTCTTAAGCAGCCCAAGGCCCAGCCCACGGTCCCCACAGCCAGAGGACACACTGCGGCCTCTCTTGCTCACCAAACATGGACAGACCCACCACTCACCATCTCTCGTCCACGGCTCGACAAGGAGGTTTTCAGGCCCTGATTTCTCTTCTTTCCCTTTAACATCACAGGCCTGAAGGGTCAGCTGAAGAGGTTTACCTGATCGAAGAAAAATAGAGGTTGAAATGAGAGGTTGAAGGTGGTGCTAGTTTGTAAAAAAATAAAAGCTAGCAGGCATGCCAGTGGAAGTGGAGCACAGGTGGCCCCCACACTGCTGACTGCAAATGCACTCATGTAACAGCTAAAACAGAGAAGCTATACTGGACAAAAGCTGGCACCGTTCTTCCATGCCTTCCTCAAACAGACCACGCAGAGCTCTACATCCCTATGTAATTCCAAGAAGAGGTCTCTAGAATAACTACTATTCTGAAACAAAGCACATCATAAGATACAGATTCATACCACAGATTCACAGTTTGGGAGATGGATTCCTAAAATGGTGTTTTGGAGACAATACTTAATTTTATTATAATTGCATTTAAATATATAAATAATATCTTAGGGTCTTGGGTGTTGTTCCTTTAATATACCTGAAGGCAAATTTTGAAAGTTTTAAGAATTTTTAAAAGTACCATTTGCTACGATGACCTGAAAGCTTTTCTTCCTTTCCCTTTTGTGTTAAGACTATGATGAATACCCATTAACCTAGAACCCAATCCAGAACTAGGACACTGCCAATAACAAACATTCCTGCATGCATCACTCCCCTGTCCAGTGCTCCCAGCCCAAATAACTGCTCATGTGAATCGATAACTTTCCTGGAGAGTATTTTCCAAACACTACATACCCTTGCCATCCAGCTGTGCTTGCTACAGGCCCCTTAACCCCACAACAAAATGACCTCTTCAAATTTAGGGGGAAAATTGGATTTACCAGACATCAACAGTATGACCGTTAATTATTAAACATAAAATAAATGATTAAGTTGTATTAAGGCAAAGGTACAAATATCATGGCAGAGACAGCACTGTCTGCCGCTCTAACTGAACAGGATGGGATCCGATACTGGACTTTGTGGACAGAATCTTTAGCACTAGAGGCCGAGACAGTGAATAAGCTGTTCCTCCCACATCCACTGAGAAGGGTTAGGAAGGCCCATCCTGGTCAGCAGGAAAGCACGAAGGTGGACTCTTTGCTGAGCCCTGGTGGGCAAAGCGGTGGCAGGCAGGCAGCTCTCAAGAGGGATGGCAGAGGGGTGCAAGTCTAAGACCAGGATCCCTCCCTCCCTGAGATGGAAGGTACTCCAGCTTCCCAAACCTCTTGGTCTACACAGAGACACACCTGCACCTCCTCCAGGATGGCTGTGATCAAATGGCCACTAAGCCTAAGTGATCAGGCCAGTAAATCCCAAGAGTACAACCCCAGGGACACTCAGGCCCTCTTCTGATGCTGCCATCAATGAGCCCATACCCTCTTCTTTTTGCCCTCCCCTGTAGGAGAGGCTATGTCATCCCGGAATCATGGAGGATATAAGAGGATGCCAGGTTAGTGATGGGTTTGCAGCTGGTCCAGCACGCCTTGCTCGTTTACCGTATTTAAGGAGCAGGGTCTGCCTGACTGATGCCATGGAGGAGATGAGGGACGAGGCATCGTAGCGTGTGTCCAGGTGGTCAGCAATGGTACACAGACAGCTCAGCACTTTGGCAACACTTCCTCTTGCTAGTGCAAAGGCCAGAAGAGTCAGCTCCACCTCTGGAGTCGAACAGCAGCTATAAACAAAGAGCAAAAAACTTTTCACTTCTTAAAATCATGAGAAAACCCAGGCAGCCCAAATCCCACATCACTGACCAGCATCAGTAAAATCACATAACACATGCTTTCTCTGTGTTCATCAGACATACTTTCTCAAAATCCACAAGATAACCTAAAGAAAAACTAAATCAACCCATAGGACAAGGAAATTCAATCCTTACCTCTGTGCCCTTACTCTGTAACTATTAAATAATACTAACAATATCAATTTTAACAAGTCAGACTGTATCAACCAAACAACAAATAAACCACAATAAAAAAGCTGCTACATAAAAAGCCTCTGCTACAAAGAACGAATACTAGCAAGACGTCAAGAGCTCATTCCCCCAAGTACCAACAACTTACCTCAGGTGTGCTCCAACACATGCCTGTCTTTTTAAACCCATTACACTGCAACTTTTCAAACTGTCGGCACTATGACACAGTGCCCTCAGGGCCAGGTGGAAACAGGACAGAGGACAGCAAGCACTGCCTGTCAAGCCACTAAGGAGCCTTGCCTGGGCCCACAGATGAGTGGTGTGAGCACCTACATAGAGGCAGCAGGTGCCAGGTGAGGCCATGGGCTGGGGCTCCAAACAGGTGGAGAGCCTCTGCTCTGGGGACTCTGAGACACCTGTTCTGGCTGCATCAGAGGCCCCCCCACCTCCATACCCACCCCCTGGGGTCAGGTGGTGTCACTAGATAATGGAGCTTAGAGGGCTAAACTATGATTTCACTTTCTTCAGTCACTAAAAATGAGCCATTTTTAGCGTTGATATTTAAAACACTAGAAATTAAAAAAAAAAAAAAAGACTTTAACAAGCATACAGACCATCTACCCTTATAAGCCTCATCCCATCAACCTGGACTTTACCTAGTTATCCTTAAGAGGAAGCTGTCCACCTCTTCTAGAACGTTGGGAGACAGGAAAGTTGAGACATCTGTAGATCCTGGTGAGAGGGAAAGTGGAGGCATGTGCTGTAGTGCCTTCCTGCAATTGTGAGATGGAAAATCAGAACAAATCCAGGCAAAAAGGTAATTTCATAATATTTGATGAAAACCAAATTGTTAGGCACCTGTTGGGATTAATCCCTCACAAAGTGTTCCCACAGAGAACTTGGCACACAACATCAAGCCAGCTTTTCCCCTAGGAGTCATGGTGCCAAGTAACTTCATGGAAATTCCTTCTTTTTTATTTATTCTTTCTTTTAAGAGTTCCATTTCCCTCCACGAAGACTCATCTCACTCTTTGGGAACAAGTTCTCATTTCATGTAGGGTGGGCAAAGACACACAAACTCTACAGAAAACTCCAAAGTTCTTCAGATATGTGACCCCGCAGAGGCCGAGCAGGTTGTGGCCCAGTAAGAAGATTATTTATACATACGATTGTAAGATCGATAGCATCTAAAGACATGCAGGAATTTTCTTTCCTCCTAAACATATGAGCACCTGTCACAGTTTCTATTCTTGCCTGTGTTTCTTGGCCTTTCTGCCTTTTTTTTTTTTAAGATTTTATTTATTTATTCATGACACAGAGAGAGAGAAAGAGACAGAGACACAGACAGAGGGAGAAGCAGGCTCCATGCAGGGAGCCTGATGTGGAACTCGATCCTGGGTCTCCAGGATCACACCCCAGGCTGAAGGCGGCGCTAAACCGCTGGGCCACCGGGGCTGCCCACGTTTCTGCTTTAATGTCTGCTTCAGTGTTTCTCTTCTTTCGTCTCCTCTTACGTTAATCTTTCTGAAGTTTTACCTCCTCCAGACTAGCAGCCATCAAACAAATTTATGCAACCAAAAATCACAGGGTCCTCCTTTATGCCAGCAAGTGAGCTGGGTGAGTGAGTCCACTGTGAACAACTTAAAGGGATACAAAAAAATAACTCAAAGTTCTACAACTGACAGTCAATTATATGGTAACAATAATGAGAATCCCTCGAACAATTTATTTCTATTTCAAGACAGAGACACTAATATAAAGCCAATACTGTGTCAGCCTCCCTCTGCTCTCATTCTTCCCTTGCCCTACAAGGAGCCGTGCAGGACAGCAGCCACACCAAATGCAGCTGCTCTGTGAGTTCAGCACTGCACATGAGCATGCAGTGATTGACCAGATCTATTTCTACTGAGACAAGTAAACAATTTTGCTTCATAATGTTTTTTATTTTTCCTCACTGAAAATTTTTCAAAAAATTCTACAGTAGCTTTAGATCACCGATACTTAAACATGAGGAGTAAAAACATAATTGCAGATTAACAATTACAACTGTTTAGATATACAAACTTTATATATATCCATTCAACAACCTAACATATCTTCACAAAAATAAGGTAGAGAGCTCTCCTTCTTCCCCTTCCTGAAAGCTCAGTCCATAAGGCAGGCACTTGTGTGTTTGGGTGGGAGGGCATGGCAGCATGGTGGCCCCTGATGGGGTGCTGAGCACCGTGAGAGAGGATCTGCACACAGGATGGCCCACTAGGGCCACTGCAAACCCAGGAGAGCGGCCTGGTGCCAGGCCAGGGGATCCAGGGGATCCAGCAGAGCACGTGCACAAGGACAGCCCTGCAGAAGCCCTGCCAATGGTGCTGGAGCAGGAGTCGGGTGAGGAGAGTGTCCAGGTGAGAGCATGGGAGATGGAACACTGCTTACGTTGATTAGGACTAATTAAATAAGTAAATGTAATAAGGGAGGTGGGCAGCAGTTTTCTCATCATCAGAGAAGAGAGGTGCAATTACAGAGAGAAAACTAGAATGAACACTGGTGCTGGATCAGGACCGAGTATCACTGCAAACTCCAGCACCAAAGACAGAAATGAATATGGCTGTAAATGTATGTAACGTACACAATGTGCATATTACACACATGTGCATATTACGTATGTACAACACGTACTTCCTCATGGGGTCCACTGAGAGGGCCTGAGATATGCAATACCCCACCTGCAATGAGCTCCATGTGTTTCATTCCTAAATATCATTCTCCACTAAAAGGGATAATGACTCCTCAGAAACAATGGCTGATTCCGGGACTAACACAGGGAGCATTCAAGACAGGCCTGCGATCTCTGTTGTTCTAGAAAGTAAGGAAGCATTCCAAGCTGCTGAGGACATGTCAAAAGGACACATGAACCAGGCTAATGGAGTTCCCACTGGCCAAATCTGGACCAGTCTAGATATCAACACTGTGATGTAACCCACAGGAAACCATGAGTCCACACCCATATAAAGTTTGAGGAAGAATGGGACATTTACAGTCTCAAAGCACATCCTCACAAAATACTATACCAAGACAAAAAAAATCCCTTTACAATGGAAAAATCTGGCAGACTCCACTTCCTTCAAGGTGTCAAAGTTAATATGAGCAGAACTAGCAGAGGACACTCTAACGTTGTGGGTCACCTGACGGGACATGCAATGAGAACACATCCTCTTTCTGTGATACTCCTGCTAATGACATAAAACCTAAATTTAATCATTATGAAACATCAGATAAACCAAAACTGAACAACACTCCTAGAAATAATTTTCATTAACCTCAAAGTCTTAACATAGAGGAAAGACTGAGGAACTGGTCCACACGGAAGGAGCCTAAGGAGACATGACAAGGAAACACAGTGTGGCCTGGGTCCTTTTGCCACACAGGCCATTCCTGGGACAATGTGAGAGACCCAAAGGAGACCTGAGGCCTAGATGACAGCACTGTGTATCCCATGAACTTCCTGAGCTAGAAAGGGGCAGAGAACACTCCCTGCTGGCAGGAAACACACACTTGTATACTCAGGGACAACTGGGCACCAGGTTTGCAGACCATTCTCAAGTGGCTCAGAAGGAAATAAAAGCTGTTTGTACTGTACTGGCAATATTTCTCCAAGTTTCTAATTGATGTTTTTAACACAATTTTAAACAGGAAGCATGACAGAGGAGTATGGACAAATATGGGTCTCCATACGTGGCCCTGCCCACAGGAAAAAGTTCACTTAACAGCAACCACAAACATTCTCACAGGACATCCAGGGAACCCTATCAGTAATCTCTCTCTCAGGGACTGAACTTAAATATAACACGAGTACTTCCTTGCTTTTAAGGTTACATGTCACTACTTTTTGTCTTGGCTGTTACCACTGTGGCTTTTTGCCCTAAAAGGTTTTGGGGGGTTTCTTTAGATTTTTAATGTTTAATTTTTTTTAATTTAAATTTAATAAAGTTTTAATTTTTTACTTCATTTTAACTTACTTTTACCTTCTTAATTTTTATTTTCAAAGGTGCTCTCTACATTTAAAAATAAATTGTTTAGTATCTTTGAGAAGATCTCCCTCATTAGTGAAAAGATTCTCACTCAACCTTGAGTTCCAAGGCGTGATTCCCAGGGGTGCAACCCTGCCCGGTGACACACCTTGGGGAGCGTCACAGGACCCTCATCGGTGACACAGGAGTAAGTTTTACATGTTTCACAATGTGAGTAGGTAAATAACGCACAGCATCTGAAGGTGCTGTATCTGATACAAAGTGCTCCATGAATGTGAGCAACCTGCCCCATGGGTGAGGAACAGAACGGCGCCTGTGATCCCCATCCCAAAACGGGAGCCGAAAGCAGACAAGACACACCCAGGTGCCCAGGGCTAAGCCACAGAGTCTCAGGGTCAGGCGGAGAGGGGGACTTACTGCGTGTTGTGCAGCACTGTCTGGACGAAGGCAGGGTTGGTCTCCATGGACGCCGTCACCAGAGAGGTCAGCAGAGACCAGTACCAGATGGCAGAAGCATCTGACACGGAGACCCCAGACGTCTTAACTCTCTGAAAGCCAACAGCCCTCAGACCATGAATTCTAGTGTCACATCCATCGCTAAGACAACGTTTTATGTTAATCTGGACATCTGTCAAGCGCAAACGACAAATTCAGTGTTGGATTAACTTCTTCAGTTCAGCAAATGCTAGGCTCCCAACTAAAAGCAAAATAGTAATTCACATTTTGAAAAGAAAATTCTGAAATATACTTTGAAGCAAGAAATAAATAATGTGTACAATGGAGCTAGCATATAAGTTTGTCAGATAAGCATCACCAAAATTAGGAGTCCTAAGAATAACATGTAAGTGTAAGGGTGGCTTAAACCTTTCCATCACAAAGTTTCTTAGGAATTGATGCATCTTGAAAATTAACACAAAGATCACTTTTTAAATCCCAATTATAAATACACAGGAAGAAAATGTCTAGAATTTTTGATAGTGTTCTGAAATTTTGATTTAAACAATAGCTGGCTCACAGCAGTTGTGAGAATTTATTTTTAATAATCAAGTCCAAATAGATGACACAGGCATGACTCACTTTTAAGAGCTGTCACAATTTCTTATTTGGGTTGGAGAGGAGGAGGTGACAAGTTCAAAAGCACACAACTGAGAGAAGGGAGCAGCACAGTGTGAGACAGCAAGCGTCTACTCCAGGAGTTTAACTACTGCTTTGCCCAGGGATGAGACACAAAGACTCTACCTCCCTAGGCCTCAGTTCCTCTGAGCAAAGTAAGAACACTTCTTTTGGCCCAGGAAAGCATTAGGAGAAATGAGACAAAACATGAAGCATCCCGGCTCCCTGAATGCAAAAAGCCTGGAAAGAAATCACAGAATTGTGATTATTTCCAAAATGCCAGGTGTGAAGCAAGGTTATAATTGTATAAAAATGGAAACAAACTGAATGTCCCAGAATAAAGGGCTGGTTAAAATTAAGACAAATTCTTACATCACTAAATAAAGGTGTGAAGAACACATGGTCTGACAATGTGCTAAAAAAATTAAACGACAGCACAGAAAGAATATCACCATTCTTATAAATTCATGTACTTAACACTATGTTTTATCCTAAAACGTGTGCATGTGTGTAAACCACACACACATAAGAAAGGTTCTGGAAGGATCCATACTAACATATTCACAGTGACAATCCCTAGGTAATGAGATTTTGAATAATTTCTGTTAATCCATATTTTTCTAATAAGGAAACAAGAATAAAATACTTTTAATTAAAAAAGGCTTCTATAACCCTCTACAACACCATAAAGGTGAAATAATGGCTACTCCCATGTGCATCACGAGAAGCAAATCAACCTCCCAAGGAAATGTGACGGTTTCTCCACTTTAGAGGTCTTCCCACTGAGCAACCTCCTCCCCACCACCTGCCATCCAGTCCCCTTAATATAGAATGACAAGCATCTGAGCTGACTCACACAGCTGACTAATGTTGGCGTTCTCCAGAAGTGTCACATAGCCAGTGACATTGCTGGGAATGTGCACATCGCGGACATCCTGAAGATCGCTGGCACTTCTGCCCACGGCGACCGTCACCTGCTGCGGCATGTAGCTCTGGTCAGTGGCAGCCACAGCAATGGACAAGTGCCTAAGCACAACATCTGGCTTCATCTTTAAGCTGGAAAACATAGGGAGCACAGACTACAAATGTTTATACAGGTTGTCATGGGCCACATTCACAGGTTCCATCTCCATGATCCTAAAAACAACCAACCTGAAATGTTATGAGTTTCAAAGTCCTTATGAGCTTCTGCTTATGTCATGTCTGTAAAATTTCTTTCCATTCAAGATTAACCTCACATTCCCTTTTAAGCTATCAGTACAGGCAAGCAAGTACAATATGAACATCCTAAAAAAATCACTTTACCTGGCAAAAAGTAAATTCTAAACCTCGAGAACTGAATATATTCCCTCATCTATAAATTAGATGGCCAAAGGTCATATATACTCTCTATGAGAAAACAAGACAATTATTTCTATTTTCACCAACCGAAATTAGCCCATTCTCCGAAGAGACAGGTGACAATTTAGATGGCAGCTTCAAAAGTTCTATAAATACCAGTTTACTGCCATCAATTCTACCCCAGGGTTCCTGGTCATCCCATTCCCTTACTCATCTGCCAAACTGGCCAAGACAGCTGCATACAGATTTTTTAAATGCATGGAAAGGATCTTAAAAGGTAAAATCACATCTGAGATAAGAAAAGTATTTGCCCCTTGTGATATTAATTTTTCTGAAAAAGTAGTGAAAAAGATTTGAAATCAGTATTATAAAATACTAGTCAAACACTATTTTCTACCTTAAAATACCAAGTAGAGGAATTATCCATGTTTATGAATACATGAACCAGGTAGCATGATTTCATATAATTCCCTTTATTCTTGTTTTTTTTTTTAAGATTTTATTTGTTTATTCATAAGAGAGACACACACACACACACACACACACAGAGAGAGAGGCAGAGACACAGGCAGAGGGAGAAGCAGACTCCCCGCAAGGAACCTGATGTGGGACTCCATCCCGGACCCTGGATCACGCCCTGAGCCAAAGGCAGATGCTCAACCGCTGAGCCACCCAGGCGTCCCTCCCTTCATTTTTTTTTTCCTTTACTTTATTCTTAATGCATTTTCACAAAAAGTCACAATAAGAAAAAAATCAAGCAGTTAAGTAGAAAGTATTCTAAAATTTAGAAAATAATTTAATGCACTAACGAGACAAGAGAAAGCAAGAGGGTAATTTTCTTGGACTCTCAACTGGTGTTACACCACCCACCGAATCCAGTGTGAGCGAGCACTGCCATCTGATTGCCAGTATGATGATGTTTCTCCATTTGTCATCTTGTCGATGTCTGCAGGGTTGGAGGATGTTTCTATGTAAGCGTAGCACTTTGCTACTGACTTGAGTTTATCCATCTCTGGGCTTCTGGTTAGATCTCCAGGACTTTCTACAGAGAAAACCAAATTCTATCACATGACATCTCTTTCACAAAGGGGAAAAAAAGGATCATTTAAAATATCTAACATAAATATGCTTGGTATTTTGGCCCTGGAAAAATAAGTATTCCTTAAAAATCGCCTTCCCAAGAACTCATATAAAGCAGACATTGGCCAAGGGTTGCTCCCGGACCTCTGTGGTAAAATACTTAAATCATTGATGTATTTGCAAAACCACAACAGGGAAGAAAATGGTATCTTTCAGTTTAAATTTATATTTATTTAATTACGTGTGAGATTTTATAAACCATTTGTGTTTCTGAGAGCAGTTCAGTCCTACCCTCATCTACCTTCTGCTGGGTCACAGGTTTTCTTACCAGTTTGTATGCTATAGGACGCATATACACATGTACATACAGGGGATGTTTACTGTGAGCCAGGCACTTTTCCATATTTTTTCTAGGTACTAATTCAGTTCAGAGATGAGGAAACCAAGGCACAGAGAGTTAAGTAAGTGTCCAAGATCAGAGTTAGTAAAAAATCCAGGCTGTTGCAACATGTTACAAAATGTATTTTTGTTCCCTAGAATATCATTCAGCTTTTGACTCTGCTTATATCTTCTGCTGTACTTTCAGTTGCATCGTCTTAGTCTCCTGTAGTTTCCTACTCTCTAAGTCTTGCTTACCGAGGTCTCCCATCAGGAGTTGTGCACTAGGACTACTCTCTTCTGGTACTTTACAGTTTCTTTGCCGTTGAACATTTTAATCCACTTGAAATTGGTTTCAGTGAATGGAACTGAGGTAAAGAATCTGTTTTATTTTTTTCTCCAAAAGCTGGCCAGTTACTCTAATTCTACTCATTGACTAATTTGCCTTTCCATCCATTTGCAAAGCTGACTATACCTGGTCCTGTATTCCACGGGTCTGTTTTTGGACTCTATTATGTTCCATGGACCTGTCTATCCACACTATCAACTTCTGAGTGAGTCCAGACTGAGTGTAGTGGCTTTCCTCATTGATTCTACTACCACTTACAGAGTACCTTCTACGTGGCATGTACAGTTCTGGGTGCTAAGGATAATAACATGAACAAGGCAGACAAAATGCAAAGAAATAATAATGTCACAACTTCAAATAATAAGTGCCACTGAGACCATGAAACCTACAAAGGTGATAGTGACCAGAAGATGAGAAATGGTGGGGTGGGGGCGTTAATTAGATAGGGTAATGAGGTAGGGTAATGAGGAAGACCTCCCTGAAGTCACATCGAGCAAAATGTGAAGGGGGAAGGGGGGCAGGGGGAGAGACGAAAGCAAGTATGCAGATCACATTCTTAAGCTACAAACTGGTTACTGTTCCAGTTTTCAGAAAGGAAGGCAGGGAGAAGACCTTATTTATACTGCATTTGGAAGAAACAATGACAGAACATGTGTGCAGGAGCCCCCAGCACACACTTATACTTACCCTTTTCTCTCTGTACCAGCTGGTCCAAAGACTCCTTCAGAACAGAAGCCCTCATGGAGCACATGTTACTGCAGTGGTCCAGCATGGGGCAGGGGATGGCCATGCCGGAGAGTCGATTGCGGTGCAGGAAACGCAGGATCAGGGATGCGTGCACACCCAGACCCTCCTTGGACTCTGAGAATATGTCTATGAAACCTGGGCAGACAAAACCCATATTTGGTGTTTTTAGGAACCCACCACAACAGTATTCCCATGCTCTCTGCCTAGTGGCCTATCAGAATTGGCTGAATTAAAAGCAACCATTAAGAATCTTCATTGATATTCTCAGCTTTCATCATGTAAAAATCTAAACAAGTTTTAAGAAATGAACCAGTGGCAGGGGCGCCTGGGTGACTCAGTCAGTTAAGTGTCCAACTCTTAGCAATCTCAGCTCAGGTCTTGACTTCAGGGTCATGAGTTCAAGCCCCACACTGGGCTCCAGGCTGGGCATGGAGCCTACTTTAAAAAAAAAGAAAAGAAAAGAAATGAAATGAACCAGTGGTAATCTCAATTTAAAAATTAATTTTGTGGCGGCTGGCTTAGTCATGGAACGTGAGGCTCTTGATCTCAGGGCTGTGGGTTTGAGCCCCACATTGGCCTGGTGAGATTACTTTAAAATAAAAATCTGTAAAAATTTTAATTTCATAGAATTTTAGAAGACTTACAATAAATTATTTCAATCCAAGCTTTAAAATGTATAAGCTCTGAAATACTGACTAGAAGGGTTTTTTTGTTTTTGTTTTTAAAGATTTCATTTATTCATGAGAGACAGAGACATAGGCAGAGGGAGAAGCAGGCTCCCTGCGGGAAGCCCGATGTGGAACTTGATCCCTGGGGTTAAGACGTGAGCCAAAGGCAGATGCTCACCCACTGAGCCACCCGGGTGTCCCTCAACTAGAAGTTTTTAAACAAGCTTTGCATATAGCACGTCGACTAGGATACAGTTTATCGCATTAGAGAGTTTTTACACTACACTATGTAAGACGTGATTATGATAATGCAGCCACTGCCCTGCGCAGGATTCCTGGTGGCATTGCATAGCAGATAAGGCTCTGACCTCAAGTGCTCCTCCACTATCCCACCTTCCCCTCCAGCATGGCTCTGTGGAGTCAGCCGGTTCTGTGTGTCCCACTGGCCTCAACATCACCTGTTCATACTGACTGCTCCAGACATCCTGAGTGGCCCTCCTGGCTCCCCTTTATCTGGCATTAACATGAGTAATCTTATGGAGACACAAAACACAGGATGTCTACCCTGGGCTAAAACCCTTTCACAGTCCATCATAACCTACCATGTATATACAGGAACCATAGTGCCTGTAACCCCATGTGAAGGGAGGAGAGGATAAACCCAGCAGCTTCTCCTGGGGCACAGATATACTTGCAGATTTGGGGGAATTTCTTTTCTGTTGCTAGAACTTCTAATGAATCATATCAGACATAACAAAAAGTGCCTACATTATAAGTGTATGACTCAATGAACTTTCACAAAATGAACACCCCATGTAAGCAGCACCTCAAGCAAGACTCCAGAAGCCTCAGGAGAAATTATTTTAAGTGTAAAACAAACAGGTTATATCCAAGACTAAAATTTCACATTGATTTTTTTTTAAAGATTTTTATTTATTTATTCACGAGAGACTCACAGAGAGAAGCAGACACACAGGCAGAGGGAGAAGCAGGCTCCACGCAGGGAGCCTGATGTGGGACTCGATCTCAGGACTCCAGGATCAGGCCCTGGGCCGAAGGCAGGCACTCAACAGCAGAGCCACCCAGGCATCCTTTCACATTGATTTTTAAGATAGAACACAAGGATGAGGAGAACTGTGCACTGGAAGCACCCCATCACCCCATCCTGATGACACCCCCCAGACAAACCCTGAAGACACAAGTTCGATTCCCCAGGACTCAAAAATGCGTGCCACCTGCTGCCATCCATGTATAAGTTTTCCTTCATGGCAGACCCCACGGCAGCAGTAAGGTGATGACACTGCTGGTGGCACACCCATGTGCTCAGGACCGAGGTGTAAGCACAGACTCTTCTAACGGAAACATTTCTTCATAGGCCGCCACGAGCAGCAAGTCTGACAAACACTACGCACTAGAGCGATGATGTAAGAAAGGGACAAGCTCTGATCTTGCTTAGGAAGAGGGATAAGGAAACAATCCCAGGAGACAGGCCAGCCCAGCTCACCAAGGTTCAAGCTAAGACCATGATAAAGCAAGTTCTTTAAGCTGAGTGATGACAGAAAATGTTGACTAGATGGTCCTAGTCACAACTCTGGTACACAACCATTCGGGATCCAAACCCTGAGTTCTTCTAACCTAACTCACCTCCCCCAGCCACCCAGAGCAGCCGTGCAGTAAGTATTCTCTCAGGTGGGTCCCCTGGTCTCCCTGCTTCCTCTCCTTCCAAACATGAGTCTGAAGTGTCCACATAAAGCTCCAGAAGCTACCCATGTGCTGGTAACACAAAAGTGGGAGTAATACATAAATGCCAAGATGTAATTTAGCTAATAATTCAAAGCATAATTTTAACTGCCATAAGAGTAGGAAAAAAGTTCACATGTATGGACCACCTACAATGCTCTATAAAGATTACATAATTAAAGACATTTTGAGGAAGAATGGAAATCTGCATTCTTCATTAATATACAAACGTCATCCTTCCCTAGCTCAGTATGGCCTCTGCAGCAAGCCACAGAGGTCAAGGGCACACATGTACATTTATGCATCTAGCAAGTCTACCTGCCTCCACTGCTGCTCTTGCCAGGCTCTGCGCTAAGCATTACAACACCAACTGTGGAGTAGGAAAAGTTCTGAGATAAGCTGAGGCTAAAAGGATGATATGCAAAGTTTTTCCTTTCAAAAACTCAACTGTTTTCTCACTGGAAAAAATAAGAGAATAATTTAATTTCGATTCTGTCTTCTGAGTCCCCAGAAGAAACCATACATAAACACAAAGTTTTTTCATAGGTACCATGTAAAAGAAGTATTACTTATTTTATATTACTTTTATTATGACTCAAATGTCAGAGTGATAGCTTTCTAATAAACAGAAAACCCACTGGATGTCTACCACATACCAAAAATGTGTTAAATGTGAGGACACAGCAGAAATTAAAGCTCACTACCTTCATGGAGCTCACAGTGTTAAAACTAAAGACAAACACAGAGAAGAGGATAATTAATGACAGTGGTGACATGAGGCAAAAGATAAATGCAGGATGCTGAGAGAACATACAGTTCAGGCCAGGACCAGCTTCCTGAGAGGATGAAATTAAGAGGTCCACTGAAGAAGGTAGAGCTGTTCAAGCATCACTCTACTGGGAACACAAGAAGGTGACTACCTGGAACACTGACTCAGTTTGTGTGCTTCATGGAGACTCGTGGAGAAGCACATCTATTTCCCGCTGGCCTCGCCTCACCTCGCCTGTAGGACAGCAGCATTCACGTCAGCCCTATGAGAGCACTCTGTGGCCCTCGACACTCGGATGAGAGCCTTACCTGGGACAAGAGAACAGGCCTGCAGCTGTCTGATGATGTGGCTCAGCTCCCCCTGGAGATTGGCTCCACTGGAATTCTTCAGGGTCTCCAGCATGTACTCAGCATCAACAGTACCATCGCCCTCAGCATCAAACTGGGCAAAGGCCTACAACATAAGTGATATAATAAAATCACGTCTGTCCCAAATCCAGATACTTTGTTGCTGCCAGTGCCCTGGTGGTGGTTGGGGAAAGAGTCCATTTACATCACTCAGAGAATAAACAAGCTCAGGACAGTAAGTCACTGCACTCTGCAGAGCATATATATATAAATGTCATTACAGAGACACACAGTGTTATAACCTCCCTTTCCAGAGATTAATCTCCTTCTCCAAATAATTACAGAAAGCAACCAGGGCAACATTTTCCAGCCAGTTACAAAGTGTCATACATAAAGCTACCACCAGAGACTTGACTTAAAGTAGCACCTCAGGTTCCTGGGGCTTTTCCTTTCAAACCCACCTCGGACACAAGACTGAACTGGGTATTCACAGCGCTCTTTCCACTAACCTTTAGCCATAATTGAACTAGCTCACTGCAGGTATCGGGCAGTCTGGGGAACTGGGTATAGTATGGGATTCAGTTTGAATCCTGCTCTGTCACTAACAGGCTCTGTGACTTCCCACACATTCTGTTACCTCCGAAAGCCCAAGTTCCTTGATCTGAAAGATGGAACAAATATTATCAGCCCCTGCTGCTGTCTGGATGAGGACACATCTGAAGAGAACCCAATACAGTGAAAGCACATCAGAGCACAAAGTGCCCTGTCTCCTAACCTGCACTGCTACCCTCTCTTGTGTCCCTGGCACCAGCCCCTCCCACATTCAGGAGACTTTCCTTGCCTGGCAACAGCCCGATCTCCCTGGATCGCAATCCCTCCCCGATCAGTGGCTTCTTTCTTCCTGCTGATCCAATCACTCACAGACATCCCCCACCACGAAGTACCTCAGGAGTCTCCCACCTTCTTTTTTAAGTAATCCTCGCTCTTCATTAAAACTCCTGCCTTGGGACACCTGGGTGGCTCAGTGGTTGGGCACCTGCCTTCAGCTCAGGTTGTGATCCTGGGATTTGGGATCGGGTCCGGCATTGGCCTCCCCACAGGGAGCCTGCTTCTCCCTGGGCCTATGTCTCTGCCTCTCTCTCTCAGTCTGTGTCTCTCATGAATAAATAATCATAAATAAATACATACATACATACATACATACATACTGCTGTCTTTTCCTTATTTCTCTCCTTCATGGAATATGGGGAGGACCCACTGAGGTTTCAGGACCGACCCTATTTCCACCACAGACCTCCAAACACGGTGTTGAATAGGAACAGAGCAAATTCCTACACTCGGCTCCAAAAACCATGGGCATGAACACAGGATGGGGGGCAGAGTTCACGCAACAGAAAGACGCAGCATTCTATTTGCCCTTCCTTAACCTGACAAGATTATCCAAAAATTAATAGGATCCAAGGCTACACCGCTCAAAGAACAATGTTCAGAAGGAGAGAGAATTGATCAGCCTGTTCTTTTCTGATTAGACCCAGTCTGAAAGCTCCACACCTAAAGGAAATGAAATGGAAGGGATCAGAGGAAAGAGATGGTGGTGGTGTGAAGACCCTGCCTGTGAGAACGGATCCAGGAGTGCAGGCATTCAGGGTGAGGAGCAGGTGCCTGCGATGGGCTATCACGAGAAGGAAGCTGGACAAGCAGCCACAAAGAGTGTGCAAACCAATGCATATACCTCTACTTCCTCAAATCCCCCTAAGACAGTATTACCAAGGGATCTTTTTCTAAGAGCCAAGACAAAGACAACATTGTATCACGCAACAGCAACAATAGTTTGGAAGCTGGAGAACAGATGGAGGAACAGTGCAGGTCACTCATCCACAAGAGAGTGGGACATTGGGCTGGCACTGGGCACAGCAGAGACACAGGCTGCTCTGAGTGCAGGACTCCAACAGCTTTCACAGGACGTGGCAGCCACAGGAGCCATGGAGAGGGGACATAATCAGTGAGCGGCCTATTTTAAAAAGCAGTTAAAATTGGCTGTAATGCTGATCTTTAGGAATCACTGGGGTTTGTGTTCTTGTTTTGAAGGGAAAGGGTAGTAGCGGGATTGTGTATTTTTTTAAAAGAGTTCTTATCTATTAAAGATATTTAAGAAAACATTTATAGATGAAATAAAATACTTCTGGATGGAAAAGATTTGCTTCAAAATAATTTGGAGGAGAAAATAGGTGGGGTTTAGATGAAATAAAATTGGCCTTGAGTTGGTGGCTGTTGCAAATGGCAAACAAGAACATTCTATGATTAACTTTACTTTCTTATGTTTATTTTTTTAAGATTTTATTTATTTATTCATAAAAGATTCAGAGAGAGAGGCAGAGACACAAGCAGAGGGAGAAGCAGGCTCCCTGCAGGGAGCCTGATGTGGGACTCAATCCCGAGATCCCAGGATCATTCCCTGAGCCGAGGCAGACGCTCAACTGCTGAGCCACCCAGGCGTCTCTCTATTTTCTTATATTTAAAATTTTCCATTAAAACAAACAAATATAGACAACCCCCGGTTCTCTCTCTAATCAGAAGCCTGAGGGGTGGACTCCCTTGAGAGGGTGGTAGAGTCTCTGGACGATAAGTACCAAGCACGAGTGCTTACAGGGTAAAGGTTTATGAGACTTATCCTTCTGCTAGGGCTCCTAGAATGCTAGCAGCCAGTCTCACCCTCCAGGCAGGAGACAGGAGAGGTCTCCTCTGGGGAACCAGACAAGCCACAAGGACAGGCCTGGAGACACTAGTACTGGAGGGCTCCCCATCAAAGGGACCAACAAGTTCACCTTTCAGGGAGGCTCAGCCATCACCAAGCAGAGGCACAAGAGCATCCACCTCTTGAGTCCCCCAGTCTTTAGTATGAGTGGCTAGCCCAGGACCACTGGACATTTAAGGAAGGCTTCATGTGAAACAGAAAAAGCAAGGAAAGGAGAAAGGAAAGGAGAAGAAAATGTCAAAAAGATTATTCTTAATATCTTCAGAGAAATACTTTAAAAGACATTTTTAATACCGGCCTTACTGAAGTGTAATTCACATACCATAAAATTCACCCTTTTAAAGTATACGACCTAGTGTTTTAGTACATTTGGAGTAGAGGAGTCGGCAGCACTGCCACCTAATAAAAAAGGACCCTGAGATGTCATGAAAGACCAGGGGCCTAAAAACAATCTCTTCAGATGCTTGAAAGTTAAAAATATCACAGCAAAATGAAAATCTCAACATATCTGGGAAGATCAATCTCAAAAGGTTGGAAGGTAAATTGACTAAAGTGCCCAGATAGTAGAGCAAAAAGACACACTGATGGACACAAGAGGAAAACATCCAGAAGACCACCAGTCCAGGAGCCTGAGATCCAGACACGGTGAGCTCCAGAGAAGGAAACAGAAAAGTGAGGGAGAGAAATGACAATTCTTAGGATCCAAGATAATGAAGGATGTGAGCCTTGAAACTGAAGATGCTGAATACCATCCACGGTGGACAAAAGCCCATCATAATGAGATTTCATCACAGCTAGAGGCAAGAGAGGGCAAGAGAGGTTTCTCCTCCCAGGAAGAAGACAGTGTCCATGTCGGAGGTCAGGAGGCAGGGCCTGTTCGGCAGCTACACAGGAGCTGGAATAGCAGCGGGCCTCTCACATTCAGGGGGACTCTCTCTAACTTGGAGGTTAATACACACTCACAACACCACCAACTGCAACAGAGGCGAAGAGGCATTCTCATATACGCAGGGCTCTATGAACCAGTTAGTGTTCTCTTAATCAGAAATCTCCTAGAGGGTGCAGTCATCAGGATAGAGAACAGGCCAAGAAAGGGGAAGAATGTGGTCAAAGCAAGAGAGAAAATGCATCCCCCATGGCTGCAGATTCCAAGGCAGCACGTGCACAGCACACCTCAAGAACTCCCAAGCGCAGAGGGCAGCGGATCAGAGGCTCTTGAGGAGACGAGTGAGGGACTGTGTGCTGAACACAGTGCATGTGTTAGAAGAGATTCAGGCAAGTGGCACAGAATCTGGGGTTAAACTAATGCTAGAAGACCAGAAAATTAAGCACAAGAAAAGTACCAATTCCATCGTTAACCTCAGAAAAAAAAAAAAGATGTGTAGAAAGGGAACGCAGTCCTGGAGTACTGCACGGGTCAGCCGTGTACATCCCCACAAGAACATACGCACCAGGGGGTCTAAACAACTGTGACACAAATCTCCCAGGACAGGACACGTATGGATGTGGAAAGGACAAGAAGGTGTCAGACCACAATGGACTCTTTCTGCAGTGGGAACAGCATGGATAAAGTCTAAAGCTGAAAACTAAGAGTAAGGTAAGCACGCTGTCTGGTGACACGCAGGTACACCATGAATGAGCTGGCTGCAGGAGGTGAGCAGTGAGGGCTCCTGTAGAGCACGACCCTGGGTGGGACTGCAGATGACCAGGGCCTTTAGCACCAGCAGCCTCGTGGGCTTGGTACCATGTGAGAAACAAATATATGAAAATAAACAATTCTGAGTGTCCACTTCAAGCATGGGATATACTGGATGGGTAGCTTTACAACTTTTTTAAGTAGCCTAATACTTCCTCCTCTCTAAGTAAACATTTCACACAGTGAATACATCAACCATAAAAGATTTCTGGGACAACTGGAAAAATATGAACATGGACTGGGTATTAGATGACACAGAAGGGAACCGACAGAAAGGAGAGGACCATGGACTGAGAAAAGTAGGCTGCAAAAGGGTACCTTTTGCAGAGAGGCTGGTCTCACGTAGCTTTGTGCTGGTTTTTTAAGATCTATTTATTTTAGGGGGGCCTGGGTGGCTCAGTCGGTGAAGCATTTACCTTTGGCTCAGGTTGATCTCAGGGTCCTAGGATCAAGTCCTGCATCGGGCTCCCTGCTCACTGGGGAGTATGCTTCTTCCTCTGTCCCTCCCCCTGCTGGTGCTCTCTCAATCTCTCTCTCTCTCTCTCTCTCTCTCAAATATGTAAAATCTCCTAAAAAAGAAGTTTATTTATTTTATTTGAGAGAGGGAGAGAGGGCAACAAGAGGAAGAGAGAGGGAGCATCCCAAGGAGACTCCC